AAATGTGAATGAAAATATTCCATCCAGTCTGTTTTTCAAAATTTTTTAAAAATAGAAATATATTAGAAAATATGTTAATTTACACCTTATTTTCAATACTATAATGTAAAACAAAAATGGACTTCATTTTATTGATTGACATTGCATTGTAGTGCAGTGGAATAAAATGCATTTGAATTCTTATTATGTTAAACAGTATAAATTCTCTTGCCAGCAAAAAAATCCACTCATCAGTCAAAAAGGAGTGTTCATTTCTATTGGATCTTTTGCGCATACCCAAACTAGTCATTCGATAAAAAATACCAGTAACACGTAACTTTGCGAAAGCCCTTCCACTTAATAACTGATTCTTAATTTTGATTCATGTCAAAGAAAACAAATATTTAAGAATATGAGAATAAAAGAAATGCTCTCTAGTCTGTTTTTGAAACCTTTTTTTTCAAAGCATAAAATGAAAAAAAGTGTGTGTATTCAATCAGTTTTTAAATTCAATTTAGAAAAAAAAATGACTAAGTTGATTTTGATCGGACAATTTGGTAGGCATCACAATGTATCGCATTGTACAGTTGTATTGCAGCAGAGTGCAGTATGGTGCAATTCTACTTGTATTTAAACAAGCACAATTATTTTACTTGTCAATGTATTAGAAATATTCCCCACCATCCACCCTCCAAAGACAGCTATTATATACAATTTGTCCTTGTGATTGAATGTTTATTTGGAAATTTGCATAATGTAAGTTTTGTTTCAAAGTTCGATAACTCAATTATGTCCCTTTGAACAACGTAGACAAAACGATCATTGATTTCTGCTTTATATTATGTAAATGTTTAAGCAATGCTAACGAGTAACAGGCTTGTGTACTATATATAAGACGTTAGAGAGATATTCACAACTGACCATGTGTTAAAGTCAGAGTAAATAACGGTTACGGGTAATGTCGCGTGTAAAGGACTTAGTGTGAGAATACTGCTAAGCAGTATTGGAAAGCGTCTTTGAATGTTCTACAAAGTCATCGGCGCTTTGTTTGAGTCTCAAAATATTCACTCATCAGTCAAACAGGAAAGTTTATATATATTTTTCACTGTTTTGCCTAATAATAAAAACTGACCAAGTATGTTTTAATTAGACAGTACATCAAGCATTACATTGCAATGCATTTTAGGACAGTTATATTTTTATTTAAAAGCAAAATTAATTAACTTGCAATTAAAGAGCTTCACTCGACACTCCAATTTTCCTCGGCCTGTTTCGCATGTATCCATATCAGTCTTTCAAAAAAAAAAAAAAAAAAAAAAAAAAAAAAAAAAAAATCAGCAAAAGTAACTGTTGTTTGATGAGAACTTAGCTCTAAATACTGTTTTCAGAATATGTTCGGTTTATCTTTCCTGGTGCTTATCTCTATCACTCTCAAAATTTACACTTATTAGTCAAACACGAGATATCTCTCTTTTTCAATCTTTCATATACCCAAACTAGGCGTAGCATAAAATAATAAACAGCAATGAAAAAAATTGTCGAAAAGTCCTTCAACATTATTACTGCATTGTTAATTTAGATTCATATGAAAGAGAACAATCATATAGTTGCAAACAATGCTCGATTCCCTGTATCGTTATGTTTCTACATGGGACCTTTCCGTAAATGCATCAAAAACAAAGATAATGGTATTCCGAAACAGTGGAACAGTAAATACGTCATGGACATATAATGGTAAAATCCTTGAGTGTGTCGATTCTTTCAATTATTTAGGACTTACATTGTTTCATAATGGTAAATTTAGTTCTACACAAAAAAAGCTGGCAGATCAGGGGCGAAAAGCACTTTTTGGACTAAATCGAAATATCCAAATGTTTGAATTTAATGCAGAAACGCATTGTCAATTGTTTGATACATATATATTTAGTGTTTTAAATTATGGGTGTGAAATTTGGGGCTTCCACAAATCACCTGAAATAGAGCGCATTCATCTTATGTTTTGTAAAAACCTACAAGGAGTTAAAAGATCTACTTGTAGTTATATGGTTTATCGTGAATTAGGCCGTTATCCATTAATCATAACCAGGAAAATAAGAATTATGAAATACTGGTGTAAATTATTTCGTACAAATAACTGTATATTGAAATCTTCTTATGAATATTTATTTTATAATGCTGAAAATAGATTACATTCCAAACTTAACTGCGCAAGGGATGTTAAAGATGGGTTGTTTAGAATGGGACTTGGGAATTTTTGGATCAATCAAGATTTTAAATATATCTTTATATAAGGAAAGACTGTTGGATATCTACTTTCAAGATTGTAATGCCTTTTTAGAAAATTCAACGAAGTGTTTCTTGTATAAGAACATTGTGTGTGACAATTTTTCCAAAATCCATGCATATTTGACAAAACCTATTCATTCTAAGTTAAAGAAGTATATTACTAGAATAAGGCTTTCTTCCCATAGCTTAAGTATAGAAACAGGCAGATATCAGAAAATAGAAAGAAGTAATAGAATATGTTAATTTTGTAATGATCACCGTATCGAAGATGATTATCATTTTTTGCTTAATTGTCCTGCATACGAGGGCTGTTCGGAAATTATTGAGACATTTTGTATATTTTTCTTTCTAATGAACGTCTTTCAGTGAAAATTTGCATATACGTTTGACAAACATTAAGAATTCATAAAAACAAGAAATATTTCACAAATATTGAATTTCCTCTCTTCAATGGTATATAAATGTGTCAATTGTAGGGGTACCCGGCGCAGTCACGAAATCAGATATTGAAAATACGTAACACCAATGTTCAACACTCCGGTGGACCTATAATAAGAGCGAAAATAATTCAATTTATGTATATGATTTTTAATTTTATTTTGACTTCATGTTGTGCAAGTTTGTTAGAATTCTGATCAGAAATACGGAGATCACTAGAAAAATTAAGCGCGGTAAAGAAATCTGATAACGACGACAGAATGGATTTTGACGTCAAGGCGGAGCAGCATGATACCTAAAATTTTGTGTAGCGCTATGTAAAACTCCTTTCCAGACTGACCAACCTGCTAAAACAATAACAACGAGGAAAAAAAAACATGTCTAAGGGTTTGTTTCATGTATTTCATTGGTATATATTTTTTTCTAACCTATAATTCAACTACAGTAAAATCAAAAGCTCCGGCAGACCACCAATTTTTACCGTAACGGAATTAATAACGTTGACCCGCGTTGCATAAATCGGCACTGCATGATGCTGAATCATCCTGTATAAATGACACATGAAAAATTTACAATAGCGAAGCAACAGCACACATTTTAAAGAATCGTTTAAGAAAAGAGACAGTTTAATTTTTGTAAGGTGTATAATTATGATAATAAAGAAAGAAGAGTAAACGCTTCCCGACCGTTTCACATGCAAAATCATCACCGGCTGACGTGACGTTAAAATGACGTAGCGATGCTGCTCCAGGTCAATAGACATATGCATGTTTATTATTTCACCGGAACTTATCTAATTATCCTTTAAATTAGAAATTTTGTATAATTGTTTTATTCGTTCTTTATAAAATGTTGACGAATTTTCCTGAAATTATCTCTGCCCTTTATGGAGTTAAAGTAATTGTCTCAATAATTTTCGAACAGCCCTCGTATGATCCTTTAAGAAGAAAATATATCAAACCATATTATTTCAGATCTCCAAATATGTACAAGCTTACTCAGCTACTCAGCTCTCATGATGTTGGTGTTTTAGTTGGATTAGGGAAATTCATTCTTCATACAATGATATTAAGAAATGATGAATAATTTAATTTATATGTATATTATATGTATAGATATTTTTTCATGTATTAATGGAGAGTTTATAATGCTTATTGTAATTGTTGGTGTTGAGGAGTCGGACAGATGGATACTAGGGGTTCCATCCCCCGTAGACTCTCGCCATGCGTGCATAATTATGTTCATTTTGTGTAGACTCTCGCCATGCGTGCATAATTATGTTCATTTTGTGTATGCTGATGGGTCGTATGGCTTAAAGTTGTTTAATAAAGAATTATGTATAGTTGACAATATTGATTAATCATATAATTTCACTTTTGGATGTCATGAATTCCTATCTGAGATAAGATATGTACGTTGACTCTAATCTCTTTAATATGACCCAGAATTGACCAGCATGAAACATTGTAAGTTTCGATACAGTCATATCCATTCTAAAAAGTATTTGTGTCAATGTTCTCAGTTTATTTCCATAATTGTTATTTTATATTTTGCAGACGTGTTTACCCTTACGCTTGTATTTACAACGGTTTTTCAAGGTATTTAGTTTCTTTACTTTCATCTACGATGTTTTGATTCGAAACTACTGAATGAAATAAGTCGTTAACCGTTCTTCAATTCAATACGAGTAGAACATGCGCTTCAGAAAGAAAGTCGAAGGGTGGGAAGGATACAAAGTATGTTTTCCCTGATGTATTATCATAAATCAAGCTATAAAGTTCATTAATTTGTTTTCTTTTGCTAATTTTGTTCAATTTTAATAACGAGGTTCAATTTTCTATCGTTTGTAGTTGCGCCTCAACTTTAACACATAAACGAATATTTTTTGATTTTTTTTTTTCAATTAAATGAAATAAACCTGTCGTCCTCTTGCAGAATGATGTACAAATATTCAAAATCAACTATTTGAAAGATTTATTATACTATAGACATCGAAATTACCAATCTCTTTGTTTCACAGACCTTTTCATCTTCTTGCATTGCAAAATCGGTATTCCTTATATGAGAAGATTTGATATGGGTTGCAGCTATTTCCTATCCTATGTACTGGAAAGACGTTAAGAACTATAATAAGTATATTTATTTTCATCGTTTTTGCTCGCCAACGCTGAGCTGGGAGGTATCAGCGATTCTTCTTCTGTAGGAATAGTTGTGATTTAGAGATGTAGTGCACGGTAAGGGGTGGGACTTTTTGAAATTTTTAATAAATCAAGGAAGATTTGTAAAATAAAAAAGAAATGGGCAAGGAATATGGTTTGGGAGCACCGCTTTTTAAGCTGGGTTTCTCAATAACTTGAGAAAAAACAAATATCCAAGGCTTTTGAAAATTAAAAAAGTTAGGCCTTACCTGGAAATGCCGTTATTGTAATCATATATACAGCATGTCACACACATGACGAGTATGGTTTTCTTATATTATAGGATCTTTGGCTGCTATTTCTTGTTTTTCCTGTCCGGACAGAATCGCATATCCTCGGGATTGTCCGTTTGTAACAGTGTGCGGGGATCACGAGGTTTGATATTCACTTCTTTTTTTCAAAGTAAAACCGCTATGAATATTTCTATGAATATATCCCCTCAGTTATATACTAGTATTCCCTATTATTGTACTTTTCTTGTAATGCAAAGTGAAGCATGGAAATAACGGGGATAATAAGAATTAATATATATCCCGGAGAATTTAGGAAGTTGAATATACATAGAAATATGCTCAATTCAAAATAATTTCTTCACCTTAAATTATGTTGTTATAATCGATTTATTAATTAATTTGTAATTTTTTTGTCTGAAAATAGATTTGTTACGTTGACCAGTTCATAACGCCAGACGGACATATTTTCTACAGGAGTGGTTGTCGGTCAAAATCTGTAAGAACTTTGCAATAAAAACTGAATCAAATAAAACACATTTAAGAACATGATATTACGTTAAAATTAAAAAATAAGCATAGTTTTCCGTCTGTTATTTAATCAGAGCGGAAGGCTAGCTTCTGAATTTTAACAAGAAGCATTTCACAAATTAGATTTGTGGACTGAGTGGTAAGCGTGACGTCCCCTTAGAAAGGAGACAAGTTGGGGTGGGGGGAGAGATCAAAACATGTGAGGAATGCTGCAACTCTGACCACTGCAATTACGGGGGGTGTGGACAACCTGGTGAGTAGATTTTACTTGGGGTTTGGGAGTTTCAGTCTTTGCTTTCCTCCGAAAAGATAAGGATTATGAATATTATCCTTCTAACTTTGATTCTAGCCCTCCCACCTATGGGCAAAAGAGGACCAATTTGTTACAATTGTTTCCAACAACAGTTTGAGGATGGATGCAACAAAGTGACTGTGTGTCCCGAAGATTGTGTAAGAATTACAGACTCACTCGCATTACCAGCCCTTCACTGATCATTTTTATTTAATTTTAAAATCAATTGTACTTGAACTTATCATTAACTTTTTATTTCTCAAATATCTTGTAGGAATGTCACATCATGCGGGCACCTGGGGTCCACTATGATTTGGCCTACACTACAGGGTGTGTACGCAAATCGGTATGTACATGTAATGTATCTCTCAGGAGTTTATCATCAAATTCAAGTAGGATAGAAAGATCTGCATGCTAACATGCAAAATTTCAGGGATAAAAATCCCTACGCTAGATTAACTGCAGAATGGATCTCCTACCACTTCAGACATGCCATGCATCGGGACATGCTGTGGTTGGTAGAAGTATGAACGACCACAACTACAACTTTGCCCCCAGAGAAGTGGAGAAACGTGCTGGGTTCTGCTTCACCTGCTGTCCAAACGATATGTGTAACCGGAACTGTTCCATGGCACATTCTCATGCGGCTTCAACAACGGCCTTACCAACATCAACCTCCGTATCTTCTTCATTGTCGTCATCTACAGCAACAACAACCAATACAACAGCAGCAACATCAACAACATCCAATACAACAACACAGACTACAACATCAACACAACCCTCTACAACATCCTCTACAACACCAACTTCAACATCGACATCAGCTACAACCTCAGCGACTACTTCGTCAACAACATCAGCAACAACTATTAGCACAGTTACCACCACTACAGCAACAATGACGTCAACAACCACAGCGACACCTAGTGAGCAATCAATTTTGAAGATTGTCAATGTTTTCCATCTGGTTATCCGAAGACACGTTAAAACTTAAAAAAGAGAAAAGAAAATAAGTACAGTTAAAAACACCAATTTCCCATATAGTATTGTTGTATGATGGTTGATTCAAAACGACCATATCATTTGGATTATATATTTAAATTAAAGACCTTAAAGTTTTAACAAACAGTCAATAATGATGACCCTTTATTTTGGAACTAGAGCATACTTCATCCATTTTCAGCGGTACTTACACTGATAAAGTCTCATTGATATTATTTCAGAATGCCCCGCCGATTTCCAGCAGTACTTGAACCATTGCTACTATTTCTCCACCGAAATTAAATATTGGGGAGAGGCCGGTCAGATCTGTAAAGTAAAGGGAGGCTACCTAGTAAAGATTGAAGACCAGCTAGAGGAGAATTTCATACGGGGCGCCATTCAACCTCTAGTAGATAGTAATCAAATGCCAAGTAAGGAAGCAAACTCCACGAATATTTACCAGTAATAACTAATACATGCACGCGTCCTCTTTGAGATATGGATTATAGTCAATTTAGCATGCAGTCTTAAATTGCAACCGTCCACTTTCCGCAATACATAAAAAAAACATCCCAACAACTAAATATTGATTTAGTTTTTGGATGTATTTTTTTTTTAAATACAGACATCATAATATTATTTACATAGCGGGATCAAGTCCCTATGGCATGGCCTTATGTTCAAAACGCCAATAAGTTTGTTTCTTGATTGTTTTTACTCTATAAATTGTTGAACTGTAAATTGTAGATAATCTAAAGATTATCAAGGGTCTTCATAATTAAAATAAAGCATCATTTCTGTTATGCAAATACCGAAGATGTCAGCACCTAAAACATCGCCAAGGAAATTCAATTGGTTCAAAGGTCAAAGTTACTAAAGACAGAGATTTTGTTATATACTACTATTTAGTAATTGTGGATGTTCTGGGACAACATATTTGAATGTGGATAGATTTACCATACAATCTATAGCTTTTTTTCTTTGCAGATTATGTGTGGGGATACTATATCGGCGCTCACTTAGTACAGGGACAGTGGCAGTGGAGTGATGGGGTACCACTCAACTATACCAACTGGGGAACCAATGAACCGGACAATCCGGGGGAGCAGAACTTTGGATTAGTCTTCCTTCCAGGACATTACGTGGGAGATTACAAATGGGGTAGTCACAAAGATATGCAAGGAACATCGCGTTATATATGTGAAAAAGACCTGATTTAATAAAAGTTAGACAAACCTTCAAGGTGGCGGAAAAACGGATAAAAGCGCCGCCTTGTATTTTATTTACTAGTAGTCCTTTACCAATGTGTATTTTGAGACAAGAAGTAAAACTCTTCAATCGAGAAAGTGCAAAACACCAGAAATTGAATCTCAATACTCCCATTTTCTTTCTTCATTTGTCATGTTCTAATCAGTTTGACTTTTCAAATTTACAGTCTTAAAAGTGCAATAAGGTTGTGATATAACTGATATAAGTACAGGTGATTACATCAATAAGGAAAAGTTCATCAGTGCTGCCAGTGGACACACTGACATTTGATAAGGAAACAATTACTTGACGTACGTGGTAGGGATGGGTATCGCCAAAAAATTCGTATCGCTATATACTGCATCACGATTTATTCCCAAATTACCACGATAATATCATGATATTTTTACAAGCAATTTTTGCAATGATTTTAAATGAATATTCATAATTTTTCCGAAAAATATGCTGAAAAACATAACTTTACTTTTTTCAATTTTTATTGACATAATATCAAGCAATTTTGGATGCTAGGATGCCGTGTTGCCGTTCTTTTACCGTTTTCAACATTTTTTTTTTACACTTCCTGTAATTGTAATTTGAAAGATTGAACAAATAAATGAATGATTTCTGACATTTATAACTACAGTGTATGTACCTAAATACCGGTATTTTAGTCTCCGTATCACGATACTATCACGCAATTAAATTTAAAAATCACGATATACCGGTATACCGATAAAATCGCACATCCCTAGTACGTTTTTACCTAGTGACGTAGTGTTGGCAATATTTTAAAAATGTCTAGTGTAATTATCTGAGGATGCTTACGTAGCCCTGTTCTTGATAAGATCATTTTAAATGATCTTCCCTATACAAGCACACGGGGGACTTTCGAATTAGACCTTAAAAGCTGAGGCCCCGTGTCACAGCAGGTGTTAGCACGATAAGGATCCCTTAAGTGACTTGAGTACAAAGTAAAGGTCTATACTTGAAGCTTTTTACGGTTCTCATGTGAGTCTTCCAAGGGACGTAAAACTACAATCACTATACATTTATATTTCTATACTAAACTTTGACCCCAATTGTGGCCTCACCCAAGTCGAGGGGACCATGATTTAAACAATCTACACTATATAAGGAAGCTTTAACTTCTGTTCTAGTAGTTGAGAAGATTTTGAAATAATTCCTCCAAATGTTGTCTACTGCCTTGTCTACTTCATCTCCCCTTGAAAGAGGGCGTAACTCAACTTGAATCCCTTTACATAGGAATCAGTGGTTCTGGCGAAGTTGAAAATGTGAAAAGTTTACGTACGGACGTCTTAGTCTGAAAAGCTCACATGAGCCTTTGGCTCAGGTGAGCCAGAAAAATAAAATCCAGGGCCTGTAACTCCAATATGTATGAAATTTGCTAGGTAGCTAGAGCTTGCCATAATGATTCTTTTCCAGACAATCCAGTTTTGCGTATCTGCTTTTAATTCGGAGTGAAAAATATCATATCACTCCCTAGGCTTACTTTCAATTTATAGTGACAGCAGCCTAGTTTTTCTTTTGAAAAGAAATCATTGTAGATGACATACCTCAGATCAATTTTAGATGTTAAAGTCTCTGAAAAAATATAGGAGAGTTCATCAAAGTTGACATTTCAGGACCCATAACTCTTAAAGATGCTCAGATTTCGATGAAACATGATGCTGGGCAGCTAGATCTTGTAATCCTGATTATTTTCATCCTGCCAAATATTCTGCTTTTCTTTCTGAGTTAAGCAAACACTTGCACTTAACCTCGTTTCTACTTATAGTAACAGCAGTCTATTGGATCCAACTGAAAAGTGGGTCGTTTGTAAAAGATATACACAATTGCCCTGTAGTTCCAGAGAAGGAAATTTTTGAAAATGTTTAATGATGAAACTAGAAAAATCATCAGAATTTTAGGGCCCTTAATTCCTTGAAGAGAACCAAGATTTTCGTGAAATTTCTCAGGAAACTAGATCATGCCATTCTTCTAATTTTCAATCCACTCAGGATTTGCCTTTCTGCTTTTCTTAAACTTATTAACAAGAACTGCATATCACCTTTATGTTCTTTTTGTCGCAACATGTTTTTTTTTTCATTGAACACAATGAAAGTGTGTGTCCTTTGTTTTTGGGGAAAGTAGCGCATCAGAACCCTTGGCTAGCGAAGATGGCCTCCTTTGCAAAGGATGCCCCACATCTCTGAAAAACCAGCCCGGCAGTTTCCAAGATGATTTTGACAAAGTTAACATCGACAGACGAGTCAGACAACACGACGATGATAAAGCCGGATGCCAAGTGATGACATAGGCTCACTTGGCTCTCTGTGCCAGATAAAAACTTTACAATGTAGCTATTGTGCACAATGTAGTACAGCTAAGTTCATTATGCTTGGCGTTTTGCTCAAATGTACTAGAAATGCTGACACCCGGCGGCCAACTTTTGTCTGACTTCGTCAAGTTGAAACATGTCATGTATTTTTCTACAGGATATATATTTCTTTCAAATTTAATTAAATTGCAAATCCTGAATTTCTAATACCACTTTTTCAATAGTTTTATATTCATTCGTTTACAATGTAAAGGACAGGACAGTCATTTAGCTAGCTTGGGCCAGTATAATTTATGAGAAATGACAACTTACATAGCTTTTTAACTTAATGTATTTATTGTCAGTTGTACAGAGGAATTCTACTTCAATTATCAACGTATGTGTATAAAAGTTTTGTATAAAAAACAACAAGTCAATCTGAAAATGTAGACTTTCAGTAGTGATGCCATTTAACAAACTATACAACAAATAAACACATAAAATGCCCCATGTACAAAATTATCAAGCATGTATTTTTATGGGCCATAGCAAAGAATGGAAAACAAAACATTTTATATATATATATATATTACCAAAAATGTATATGGAATGTTTTTGGGTATTAAAAATGTAAAAATATACAAAAGTGAATTACCACATCAGTGGAATTTTTTGCGAGACACAAAATTGACAATTTTTCCTGAAAAAAAAAGGTATATATTTTCAGGCGAGGCAATATTAGCGATGTTATTTGTTATTTTGTGAAGAAAGGGAACTATTGTTTCATTAGCAATATTCAATTTTAGTGATCTAAACACTTGTTAATAAAGCCAAAATTAAATCCTTGCTAAAAATTCTGCTTATATGGTATTCTTAAAATCTGATATGAAGATAAATTAAGTCCTCATTAAATAATAGACTTGTGCATATTGCATTTGTTAAAAAACACACACAACCCCCCCCCCCCCCCAACCCCCCAACCCCCCCCCCCCCCAAAAAAAAAAAAAAAAAAAAACCAAAACAAAACAAAAACAAACAAACAAACAAACACACAAACAAAAAACAAAGCTAGTTTTATAAAGGAAAGGTAATAACTCTTATGATTTAAAAAATATTATGCTTTTGTCATGAGTGGAATTAAAATTTCTAGCCAGTACTGGGAAAGAAATGCTAAATCAAAGAAAGAAAGAAAATATAATAATGGTTTGATCTTAGGATTACAATTTACTGCAAACCACCTACAATTTACAACAAACAACCAATAAAAAATATGCCTGTCATCACATGTTCTTCTGAAACCTAGCACAATCCTTCACACTCACACTATGCATTCAGGGTTCAGGAGATACATTTCTAGTTTGTATTAAAAACTGAATAAGTAACAAGAGGCCCAAGGGCCTTAACGGTCACCTGAGTATAATACAATAATTTAAAGGATGCTTAGAGTATAATATGAACTGAAAGGTGAAGCTTTGTTGCCCAAAAGAAAAAAAAATAGGGTGATCATGATCAACAAAATAATTGGTCTTAATATTCATTAACAGTTCATAAATTAGGTTCTAATCTGTTCCCCATTTATCGCTATCACCATACGGTATATTAACAAATTATCAATGCTTCTCTACTATTTTAATCCTTTGTTGAAATCACTTACATTGGCCTCTCTTGGTCTTTGATGAACATTTAATAAGACAAGTTATTTTTGTCTCATTTTTATTTATCTACTACTTACAAGCCTATCTGATCATTAAAACAATGAAAGTACTTTTTGTATTATACAATAAAAGTTTTTGCATAATTCTCTTATTCTATTTACCTTTCAAGTACATTATTTACAGTGATAAATTATCAAAAGTAAATGGCAAAGGGGAATAACTCCTCTCAGTAGAATACAAACTAATAGAGCCTGGCCAGGACCAGAACACTTGAGCAAATGGTCCGGATGTTCAAAAATCTGGTAAAAATTCCCTTCCTTATAAAAATTTTTACTTTATTTACCTCTGATATGCCCAGGTGCGGAGAAGATTTTTAAAGAAATAATGCATTTTAACTACAGATTCACTATATTATCAATAGACCCCCCCTCCCCCCGAAACACCAGACCTTCTGACCCTGGGACCATAAGTTTGCTCATCATTACTAATCACTTTGTTTATCTGCTTAACACTAAGGAGCAAACAGGATTATTTAATAGAATTAATGCATTTTCACTATATTATCAAGAGCCCCATTCTCACACCAGCACATCTGACCCAGGGGTCATGAAATTCACTACTCTGAAAGAAGCACTCTTGCTCATCATAACTATACACTTAGCTTCTTTGCTTTTTTAACCAGAAGCAGACAAGAATATTTTCAAAGAAATTTTGCTTTTTCACTTTATAATCAATAGAAGCCCCCCCCCCCCTTCTCACCAGTGCCCTTAAACCTGGGGTCATAAAATTCACAATTTTGGAAGAGGCATCCTTGCATATCATAACAATGTACTTAGTCTGTTTAAACAATACCCAGGGGCAGAGAAGAAGATTTTCAAAGAAATAATTCACCTTGACTATAGGATCTATATAGCCCCGCCCTAGCACCAGAACTCCTGTCCCCAGGGCCATGAATTTCCCAATTTTGGAAGAGACATCCTTGCTTATCATAACAATGTACTTAGTTTGTTTAAATAATACCCAGGTGCAGAGAAAAAGATTTTTAAAGAATTAAAACATTTTAACTTTATAATCAATAGAGCCCCGCCCTAACACCAGAACCCCTGATCCAGGGGCCACGAATTTCACAATTTTGGAAGAGGCATCCTTGATTATCATAACTATGTATTTAATGTGTTTCAATAATACACAGGAGTAGAGAAGAAGATTTTCAAAGAATTAATGCATTTTCACTATATAATTAATAGAGCCCCACCCTAACACCAGAACCCCTGACCCAGGGGCCATGAAATTCACAATTTTGGAAGAGGCACTCTTGCTCATCATAACTATGTACTTAGTTAGTTTATCTAATACCCAGGAGCAGAGGAGAAGATTTTCAATGAATTAATGCATTTTCACTATATAATCAATAGAGTCCCGCCCTAACACCAGAACCCCTGCCCCTGGGGCCATGAAATTCACAATTTTGAAAGGGGCACTCTTGCTCATCATAACTATGTACTTAGTTACTGAATTTAATACCCAGGAGCAGAGAAGAAGATTTTCAAAGAATTAATGCATTTTCACTATATAATCAATAGAGCCCCGCCCCAACACCAGAACCCCTGACCCAGGGGCCATGAAATTCACAATTTTGGAAGAGGCATTCTTGTTCATCCTAACTATGTACTTAGTTACTGAATTTAATACCCAGGAGCAGAGAAGAAGATTTTCAATGAATTAATGCATTTTCACTATATAATCAATAAAGCCCTGCCCTTACACCAGAACCCCTGCCCCTGGGGCCATGAATTTCACAATTTTGGAAGAGGCACTCTTACTCATCATAACTATATACTTAGTTAGTTTATTTAATACCCAGGAGCAGAGAAGAAGATTTTCAAAGAATTAATGCATTTTCACTATATAATCAATACAGCCCCACCCTAACACCAGAATCCCAGACCCTGGGGCCATGAATTTCACAATTTTGGAAGAGGCACTCTTACTCATCATAACTATATACTTAGTTAGTTTATTTAATACCCAGGAGCAGAGAAGAAGATTTTCAAAGAAATAATGCACTTTCACTATATGATCTATATAGCCCCGCCCTAGCACCAGAACCCCTGACCCTGGGGCCATGAATTTCACAATTTTGGTAGAGGATTCAATGCTCATTACAATGATGCCAACCGTTTTGACTGCTTGATGTCCAGGAGTAAAGAAGGTTTTTAAAGATTGCATTAATTTTGGTGGTTTTAGCCCCACCCCTCAGGCCCCAGGGGGACAGGGACCATGAAATTCACAATTTTTGTTCCCCTTTACCCATAGATGCTATATGCCAAATTTGGTTGAAATTGGTTGAGCGGTTTCAGAGAAGAAGCTAAAAATGTTCAAATGTTAACGCACATCCCACACCGACGGACAAAAACGGATAGCAATAGGTCACCTGAGTGACTCAGGTGACCTAAAAAGCAAATAACTACAAACAAAACCTGCTGCATTTAAATATTAAACACACATAAACTGTCTTATTCATGTTTTTGTGACATCCCTTTCCCATAATTTCAAACAAGTACTTTATTGACAGCTGACACATCTGAATCCAATCCTTACTCCTTATCAATGGATGCATTGAAAATAGATCTGAAAATTCCAAGATGTCTGATCTATAAACTACACACCACTATGTAACAAATTCAAAAGAACTCAACCACAGATGTAGTCTATCACATAAAAAAAAGCACCTCTGCTGTGCTATCACAGATTCAGGGTTGTCCCCAAGACCTGGGGGCCAGGGAATTTCCCTGCCTATAATGATATAATCCCCTGGTTATTCTGGTATTCCCCCTTAACCCCCTGTTAGGGGAGGAACTCCTTACTGCCTTCTACTTTTTTAATGTCCCCTGTTATTTCAATTCTTAGGGACAACCCTGCAGATTCATTCTTGCATAAATTTGCATAATTAAGGAATCAACCTCTGAAATTCATCATCACAACTGACTCTTGAGTTTGTCTCTGTACTCACTCTGTTGCGTGTAACAGCAGACGGCACACTGTCATCAGCCAGCACCTTCTGCTTCTGTATCCCTAATATTCTCTCTGAACCAGATGACAGGAAAACATCATCAGAGCTTTCCATATCCACAAAGTCACTGTCGTAGTCAGAAGTCATTCTTGTCAGCTTATTGGTGACCATGTCCATCCCATGATCTTCTGTCCTCTCCTCTGACGATTCCAGGCTGTCTCGGAAATTTCCAGGCTTACCCAGAAAATCTGCTAGTCTGCTCCAGAAATGAGGCTTCACACTGGCGTCAGTCCAGTCTAAGAATGTCTTTCCCATCAGCTTGCCTGGAACCTTACACTTTCCATATTTGATCAAAACCAACACATCATCTCTCTGTAATAAACAAAATAATTTTACTTAAAGAAGTTTTTATCTGCCAATGTTCTCATGTCTTATTGATTTCTTAACAGGTATTATACAATGAGCCACACTGATACTGATGATTCTTTCTTCCCTGGCATTTAATTTACTGGTAAGTGGTATTGAACTTACATTCTGCATATTAATGATACATGTATTATAAAAAATCTAGAATATACACATACTGTAAATTCCTTATTTTAAGTGAGTTCTTAATATCGTGAAATAACTCATAAATGTCAAACAGCGAGAACATGAATTCTTGATTGGGCTGTTTGCCAAGAGGTTTTATGTGCATAAAAATATATAAACCAGAGATTATATTTCAAGAGTGATGCTTCTCACAAGCTTACATGATAATAAATTTCTTGTATATAAATAGGAATTTACAGTATTTAATTAGTCCCAGTCAATTCATATCACATGCAATACTTTTCACAGGCGATAAAAGTTCCCCCTTAAAGAGCCAATAGAAGACTTAATTTTATTACACTATTATGGTGTAATGCTCTTAAATGAATACATGTACAAACCTTGACAATGGCTTTGTTGTGTGCCTGCTGTAATTCATACTGTCCCCACATAGACTTCAGAAAGTTCTTGGACATGACTATAATTGTCTTTCTGCTCTTATAAACTGCATCCAGCACATTTTCAGCAATTGCCATTCCTACAGAAACAGAAGCAGAACAAGTTAAAAAATTTGAATGTATAAATTACACAATTATTTGAAAGAATATTCTAGTAATCTAGAAATTAATCAGTGAGTATCCAATGTTGAAATAAGTACATGTGTACTAATAATTTTTTTTTAAATCCAATCAAATATTTCTTTTAATGTGTGCATTTCCATTAATCTGCCAATTTCTTTTCCATATTTACAATGCACACATTTCATTACAAAGTTAATCCATTTCGAGTGTTTTAATGGCTTCCTTGTCACCTGGTACAAAGTCCTTAAAGTCAATGTAGACTTTGTATCCCTCCTTCTCCAGGTTCCTCAATAGCTCCTCCTTTACCCAATCCTCATCCTCACTGCTGTAGGAGATGAATACATCGTACTCCAACTCACAGACAGGGACTACAGACATAATAAGTGACAGTTAGGACAGAGTACAGTAAAACTCGATAATAGCGAAGTTCTGGGGACTTGAGAATTTACTTCGCTATATCCGTAATTCGTTATATCCATATAATAAATTCGTTAAAGTATACATAGCGACTTCGCAATATAGATTTTTTCCTTGAAGTATGACTACCAAATGTATTAAGGGAAGTATAAAATATAAAATTTACCGAGTTCAAAAATTTTCGGATGAATAGTGTTCTAAATATATATACTTACAAAGTAAAAGTCAGTTCAATATTTTAAAAACTAAACTCTCTAAAAATTTGCTACAAAAGATGTAAAGTTCATTATTTTTAACTTCTAGGGGACACAGAATCGGTTCGCTATAACTGTAAATTCATTATATCCGAGTTTGTTATATCAGTAATATTTTACAAGGAATTGTTAAGAATTTCGCCGGGGATTGCAAAAAACTTCGCTATATCCGTAAATTCGTTATATCCATGTTCGTACTAAACGAGTTTTACTGTATTAGTGAAAGATGAATGTAAAAAAAAACAACAACAAAAAAAACAAGTTAACTAAAATTTTAAAATATCAATCAATACCCAGTACTTTTTTTCTCAAACATGTAATTTCTTTATACAGTCATTTGACCAGTTCCAAATTTTGACCAGTTCCGAATAATTAATAATTCAAGAGTTGATAATTAATAAATTCAAAAGTGTAAACATAAAATCATACATATGGTATGAAGGCTTATCTTTGAGTGTTAGAATTATGTGTAGTTTGATTTTTTGCCGTCAGTTTGTGTTCGCTATCATACTTGAATCAGGCAACATACTTTTAAAATGCAGCAAATTTGAATCACCGCGATCCATTTGTCTGCAGAAAAAGTCTGTAAAGACGTCAAATTTTCACATAAAACAACATTTCAACTATCAAAAGTAAGTTTCATATGTATTTTAACAAATACCAAAAGCTTGCCGAAAATAAATAATCAGACCACAGGGAGATATCAGAATATTTTTGTGTTGTCATTTTACAAGTTCCGAATACCAATTATAAACACCATATAATATGTTAGTTTTCTGTTATTTCTTCATTGTAAATGTGACTGATATTTCTCTTTATCTTTTGGAAATACCACATACTTACTGGTAAGCATTTATTTTAACTTTTCCTAGGCATGTCAATTGATAATGTGTGGGACGGATATTTTTAATTTAGGGTTGAATTGCATGGGAACCGCTAAGGTATTCGGAACTCGTCAGCTTATTCTTAACTAGTAAAATGAGTACCCATATTTACTTGTTAAAATAAAAAGTTTTTTTAAAAGGTTGAACTTTTATGAAACAACATTTAATTCTGCAAATCACTGAACTACTTTGACAAACAAATTAGATTTTGAAATAATGCTGTTATATATTTATAGTACCGACTAACTGGTTCCCTAATCGCAACTGGTCAAACAACTGTACCCCTCTATTTACTGACCATCATAATGCTCCATGTCAGGTGTAGGCCACTCCATCTCTTCCTGATGCCGTTTCCTGACCACGATCCCTATGATTGATAGGGCAAGGAGAATAAGAATGCCCCCCGCAGCCACACTGATAATGGCCCATAATGGTATGGACTGGGATTTATCATCAGCTAAAAATAAGATGGAAAACCTTTCAATTTTTATTTGAAATGTCAATTTAAACATAATGCATCAATAGCAAACACATGATACAGTTATGACATAAAATGGTAGATTGTTAACCGAGTTCATTTCATGTAACACTTAGAAAAAGAAATATCTACTGCATTTAAAGAATCCTAGAACACCAAGTACACTTTGTCAAATATTTTCAGACTGAGGAATCCAAATTTGAGACAAAGGAATGACTACATCCACTGCAAAGGGTAAACAGAAACAGATTCTGTTATTTACCTAACTGGGCTATCTCATTACATATATTTACTTGGCTGAGCTATCTCATTATTACATGTTCCTGTCTGAGTTATCTCATAATTTATCTATCTGAGCTATTTCATTAATTACCTGGCTTAGCTATCTCTACAGTGATGTTCTGATGGTCCTCTCCTAAAGCATTGGCTCCAAAACACTGATATGTACCTAAATCCTTTTCCTGGTTAAAAAAAGAAAATGAGATACCAATGAATACTGGAAAAAAAACTATCCACTATCAACTTGTAAAACCTGTGACTTTTTGAGAATTGAACCAGTGCCACCCACTTGACTTACCGTAGCATTGTTTATTGTAAGAAGTAGTACACTCTCAGTCTTGTTCTCACTGGTGCCAATTCCATATGTTGTCTTCTGAGTGTCTGGAACTTGTGTGCCATTAAAATACCAATATCTCTCCAACTAAAACACAGACCCAAAAAGATACTGTAATCATCACAGTTAAAATAATCGCTGTGTGTGTATATTATTATGACAAGGAGGGAAAACAAAATTTGGGACCTCAGCCGAGGTAAAACACAACCGCAAATAGATTAGGGAGTATTGTTGGCGATGCTCAAGGAAGTGTCACTGATGACCTGTATAATCCTTCTAACAATTTACAAACTAAGAAACATTAAGGACCCTCAATCTATACGCTAAAGCAAAATGTTTTTTGGATATTGAGAAAATTATATTGTGTAAAGATGTAAATATTGAGCTTATTTATTTATTTCATTTATTATTAGCTTATATCATTTTCAACATAGGGTACCTGGCATTTACCCCTGAGAAAATGTTCTGGAAAACAAAGTATTGATGAGCATAAATCACTGTTGATTATTTCAGTGGGGAAAATCAAAATTTTGTTTGAAACATATCTGATAGTCTCTATACATTGGCAGCTAGTTTTTTCCAAACTTGCTGGAAAGGTCTGAGAATTTGCATTAAAACACAATTGATAAGAATATAAAGCAAATCATTTGCTTTATATTTTTATCAATTGTGTTTTATGACACCTAAAATTATTTTTTTTCACTCACAGTAAAACCCAGTGGGTTGTTTTGGTTAGGAATCCCAACATAAAATGTACAGCTGATGTTGAAGCTGTCACCTATACTAATGTATTTCACTCTACTCACAGGATCAACGTCAACAACTCTTGGGGCTGTCTTGTGAACTTTCTCTGTTCAAAAAAAAAAAAAAAAAAAAAAATCATTTTCTTTTTTTAACATCAAATGTATGCAGCATATATGCCAGGTTCCACAATTCATCATTTGTTTTCTCTAAATGATGAATTCTCATATAACTATGATCAGCAACCCCTTTTTATATGATGAAATATAATAAATCTACAATGATTCTGATAATTTTCAAACAAAAGTGAATTAAAATTAAAATCATCTGAATACTGTCAATAGTCTTGATCATGATTTTAATTAATAGATTTTGAAGCAACACAAGTTGTACAAAGATTACAGAACTTCAAAAGATTTTAACAATGTTTTGCATCTACATTAATAGAGCATATATGACATAATAAGTCAACTGAATCATGACCAGTGTCATGCTAATCTACATGTGTGTACTTCATTAAGGAAATACTTTACTTTTTGTAGATTTATAACTTCTAGTCTTACCATCAACAGTTATTTCCCTTGCATAACTGTCAATAATCTCCCCTTGCTGCCAGAGGGAGCAATTGTACCAGCCCTTGTCCCTCAGTAAAGGGTCCCCAATGAACAACTCTTCATCATCATTGCGCAGTTTAATTGTAAACTGTTGTCAAGGACCCAAATTCAGTACTTTTTAAATTAAAATTTTGAAAACAGCTAGAGATTCAAAATTTTAGTTTCTTCTGTGAAAAATTTGATTGCATTTTATCAAAGGATATCTCTCATTGGTAGTTATTTTTGATCCATCTTTGTACCATGTTATGTTTGTTCCCTGAGATCTGGCAGCAGCATTGCGATGGCATTGTAGATTAATGCCCTGCTGAGCATGCTCAGTAAACTCTGTATAGTACCAATATTTAGATGCAAGAGCAGACTTTTCATCAGACAGGTGAAGTCCATTCACTGCTTTCAAATGAATATTTTCACTTCCATCTGCCTCTATCCTTAAGAGCTGGGTGTGAAAAATGACTAACAATAACAATATGACTTGCTTCATCTCTTTCCTTCAGCAGATTGTACCTGAAAATATAACAGTCAATAGAAAATTCCATCTCATATTTAATTAAGACCTGGTAAGGTCCAAGAAAAAAATGTTTGATTAAAGTTACCCGACTGACTCTACTGGCCTAAAGTTATATGTGCCAACCCAAAAGCTATTTTTGTGGACATACAATACAGAAATTGCATGCATGCATACCTGTATGTTTTCCTTTGAACATTACTTTTTATATGTTTCCTACCACATTGTGAGAGCTGTTGGGTAGATGGGAAAAAAAGGTTTTACACCAAGAAAAAGTGAGCTTCATGAGTGATCAAAAAGTTTTCAACTCTATATAGAAAAAAAATTAAATTAAAAATCTTATCTATTGACCATATTTTTTATTTAGCATGTACATTGAAACTTGCCTGATCTGGATGTTGTATATTCAAAAATCTTGCATTAAAGAATGTAAACTTTAAGTCCCTTTCAATAAATTCAATTGTTAAACATGATAAAAATGTTGTCTAATCTGGAATATTATCTTATCTGGCCAATTTCTGTCTGAAGTACACAAGTTTTACTGTAATAGTAAACAAATATATTTTTCTTAGGCCTATAATCAATGCATGTACCACAGGGTCTTAAAAAATAACCTATTTAACTTTTATAAGCATATTTTTTTAATATATGTACCTAGTCCCAGAATTGTATAATTTCAATCATCTGCAAGGTGACTATAACTATATATTGAAACCTAAAATTCTGCATAGGTAGGTACAGTGCACACATAACCTAAAATGGTCATGCAATCTTCAAGATTGATATAGGACTGTTTGACATATACACCAATATACAGATTTGGGATTAAGTCTAAACAGTTATGATCCTGAGTTGAGAGGAGCATGCCACTCTGTATATATACAGTCTACGGTCAAACTTGGTTGGAACTGAGAAAAAACTTCTAGATAGCCAAGGCTTCAAGATGTTGAGGGTAAAATACTTAAAGAATAAGTGGTTTGGACTTCCAATTCACTTTGATATATCCATGGTATTCGAGATATTGGTGTTTGAGATACCAAAGTTCGACTGTACTTTGGATGTATTAAAATTCAAGGGACCAACACATTTTTTTCATTAATAACCAAAGTTTAAAATAACTTAATAAGGACTGAAATTGGCCTATGAAGATATTTTAAAATATTGTCCTATGGAGAGTGCCTGTCCCGAGTCACAATTAGAAAGGTCTTGAGACACAGATTATTCTAACTAGACCCCTATAGGTAGTACACGCTTGGCCACAGTGTGTCTATGCCTTCTCAATTCAGAATAAATTCTATTTTCATCGTAACAATATTTAAAAAAGAGAATGTACAATTGACACAGTTAAAAACGTGTATCGTTTGCAACGTATGATGCATGATAATTAAAAATAAATTCTATGGAGATTCTGAGTAATAATGATAATCTTACCTTTCAACGCTTCATGAAGTTACAAAGTTTGAGTGTTGCAACCTCCCCCTAACTGCCTAAAACTGTCAGCAGGTGTCAGTTAGTATTTCTGTCATCCAAACTTGCCACATAAAATTTAAAAAGTGGTCTAAAAAGGATAACATACCACACAATATTCATTTTAACCGATCATAACTTGCCATGCTGATTTTCGAAAATCGGTCTGAAAAATGAATTCGAAAATGAAAGTTGTTTCTCGGAATTCAATAATGAAAAAATGACACCGAACCCGATCATATTTTTAATGCCCCCCCCCCCTTTTTTTTTTAGTTTGTAGGCTACTGATAAAATCTGTCATTTGAAATAAACATGAAAAAATAGAAAAAAAAATCAAAACTTTGACAGAAAAATGCAAAATTTCATTTATCAACATTCATTGTTAATATTTTTAGAAGAAAGGAATGTGTGTAATTTTTGGGTTAAATAATTTTTAACTTATTGGAGCATGTCATTGTGATAATTGGAATCACATGCAAGATTAATCATGTGCTCAATATTAGTTATCATATTCATACACGCTAAAAATATCACTTAAAATCATTGGAAACAATTTTATGCAATATTACATGAAATTCTGAGATCTTCTTTAAGTCATACGGAGTTATAAAAATTTCATTGCAAAAGCTAAAAGATATTTGGAAATATCATCCAGAAACTAAAGTGTTACAGGCAGACCCAAACTAATATCCCCCACTTCTAGTGAAAGCGGGGCAGAATTAAAGAAATTACTTTTTACCTCCTGTACACCTCAGACTTAACCCTTTGTGTGCCGACTTGCTTTAAGTGAGTGGTAACCTCAGTACCGAGTTGTTTTGGAATATTGACAAAATTGTCACATTGGCGTACTTGAATGCAAATATCTTAAAGTTTTGAAAACCAATTTGCATGAAATTTGGCAAATATGTAGCAAATATTGTTTTTTGAATTGATAAAGTTTTTTTTTTATAAAAATTCTTATATTTTGATGTTGCCATGGTAACAAAATTTAAAAACAATGATTTTTGAGTTGTTTTTTAAACTTACATTGTTCAGAAAAGTGTTGCTCTGATAAAAAATAAATCATTTGCTTCCAAAAATGAATTTTAAATTTAATATTTTATATATATATAAAAAAAAAAAAAAAAAAAAAAAAAAAAAAAAAAAAAAAAATTAGACAAAGTCAATAATTCAATAAGTCAATGTCATAAATATTTTGTGGAAAGTCATTGTATACCTATCTGAATATTTAAAGGAATGTGTTCTTGTATATGTTCAAGTGAATACTGAATTACACATACAAATAAATGCAACTTTTTTCAGTTTATAACCCAAAAGAGCACAATTATTATAAAATTCCAGTTAGCCTGTAAATCCAAACCCAGTAATTTTTTAGCAGATAGTATACTGGCAACCATATAAGAAAGTTTGATCCCCAAGGAATATGCAGTCTTTAGGGTCAGGAAATTAATAATTTTTGCTTATGGTTGAATTGTTTATCTCTTGTTGAATGTAGTACCAGTAATTTCAAAACAGACCCAATACTTTTTGTTTACTTTTATTGATACTTTTAATAAAACAAATTTAAACACTGACAGCACGGGGACAATGTCTATAACAGGATCATTGGTAGATTGTGGTGGGGTAGCATAGAAAATACTGGGGGCAACATCACAGAGTTTTATACATATATCTCTTTGACATGTCAAAATCTCTTCAGAATAAACATGATAAAGATCTTTTGGATTATGGAAATAACATGCAATTCGTTTCCAAATATAGTCTTCTACTTTTTTTTTTGATTTTCCTCCTTCCTATCAGAAAAAATATTAAAGTTAGTGTATACTTTGACATGTCAATTTTTTCAAATTTAACAAAAAAATACATATCATAAACCAAATGGTGAAAGTAAGGCTTAGTTTGTTCAATTAATCAATACATGTGTAATATTGATACAATACTCTACTCATATCTTCTACAATGAAGACATTAATAATCAATAAACACTTTTGTATGGTTTAAGAATTATCTAACCTTCAGATCATAAGTATATATATATATAGTGTAACAATCTTTAAAAAAATGTGTAAAAATCTTAAACATCTCTACTGAAAGGGGCTTGGACACAGATTTGCATGAAGTTAATATTTTCTCAACTTTTCTATATATTATCATGACTTATATGTTGCTAGAGCATTTCACATGGAAATATAATATAAGCTGTTCAGAAACTTGTTTTTATCTATAAGTTATTAATTTAAAACTACAAATTTTGGGACGTGTTTGATTGACACAAATCCTTGCTCTTCACAAAGTAAACTTCATCCTTAATAATTAAGAAAAGTAGAAATTTTGTTGTGTATTAATAAAAAATATTAAAACTATAATCCAGAAAATTCTGAGTAGAAATGTGAGAAAGCAGAGCTAGCTCATCAGTATTGTCAGTCCGTGCTCAGTGATGTGTGCAGAAATTAACAAATTGAACTAACCTGGTAAAAAGTAAACATTAACAATAAGATAGCTCGTGGACTGTTTACAAAAACAGATGTTTGAAGTAATGCAAAGAAGAATGTCATTGAATTCTAAGAATGTTGATGTATGCAAGTTCAATTCATTTAACTGGTTTTATTTTTTGAATAACCAAAGAAATTTAAAAATAAACAATGTAACTGTGTCTAGGCCCCTTAAACAGTACATGTACATGTATCTAATTTTTTCTTTTTGCTTTAAAATTGGCATAAAGAAAATTGTGTATGTTCAGTTCATGTAAGTATTTTAAATATGACAAAATATTTTTGCCAGAAACATGAAATCTATTAAACAACCTTTGAAATTTTCTTTGAAACATGAAATTCTTTCAAACAATTAAGAAAAAAAAGGACTATTAAGTTTTTGTTTGATATTATTGTCAGTACATTGGAATGTGTGAAAAAGGCAATTTACATATTGAATATTAAACTTTAATTTATAAATATATATAAATATATGCTGTATATTATAAACGTGCTACTCTACTGTTAGTCTGATACCAGCACTTTCAACCATTATACAATAAGCCTTGATACATTTGAAATTTCAACCTCATGTATAAAAGTTAATTCATTGTACATGATGTGGGGAAAAAAACATGTTTTGAACTTTGTCTACAATTCAAGAAATCAAACATCATAATAAAAATTTTTTTGAGAAAAAAAAGCTCATTTTGATGTGAAGCAAACAAAACCCAAACCTTTTAACCACTTCCTTTTATTAAGCCCCAAGTCTTTTTTTTTTATTTTACTCGAAATGAACATTTTAATTAATAAAATGTCATTTCTGTATCATTGTACAGCATTGAAAATTCATATCTAATATTTTTAAAATGAAACCTTGTTTTCTAAAGTAAATGAAAATACTGTCAAATTGAATACTGTTCAAAGTTTCTGAGTTCAGAGTATTTCTTGGTGATAATTAGGAAAAAGGATCTGTGCAAAAAAAACTTTTTTTAAGATTGCACATTATATTAAAGGTGAGCAAAAAATTAAACGTGTTAAAATGACCAAGACACTACATAATGTACGAAATAAAAATATTGTAATTTGGTGAAAAAAATGCATCAAGATCATTAAATGAGTATATATTTGTATATACAGCGTTGCAAAATGAAGCAATTTATAATGGAAATACATCTCTAACATACACAGTAAATGCTAGGACTTGGGAAAATACAATTAAAACTCATTAAACTATTTATTTAAGATTGGTGATTCATATAAATATATAAAATTTCCGACAAACGGACCTTTCCTGTCTATAACCCTTTCTAAGGGATTTTTTACCTCACCACAATGTTCATATCTATATCCACAGTGTAAAATAACAAGCAACACTCAATACATTTTATAAAATAGAACAACATTTAGTGAGTGTGATGAAATAAAAAGTAGCACTAATTTCATACAACAGGAAAAATATCTACAACTCTTCTGTTTTCCCAGCTCACTACTTAAAAAAAAAAATTAGAAATAATGAAAAAAAAATGTATATGTAACTGATGAGAGCTAAATGAAAAATAAATATGCAGCAACGTGGAGCGATTTGAATCATCATATTAAATGTTCTAAAATTGACTTTTCATTTTAAAACTTGCGAGTAGTTCCACAGAAGGATACCTTTAATAATGTTTAAAATTTCTCTTATTTAGATTATCAAATGGCAAATTGAATTGACAATAAGTGAGACTTTTATCATAATACATGTATCACAGTGAACAATATCAAAACAGGGAGAATTGGTGGTATTTATACCTGATGTAAAAAGAAATCTAAGTTTACAAATTGAATTTCTTTTAAAAGATTATACTTTTAAATTATTTAACAAAAAAAGATCTCTATTTTTACTGAACTATATGTGTATTCAAGAACTTAAATGATTAAAAGTAAGCCATGGAACATTTGTCTAATCAAGATACCCTAAAATAAACCCAAATTATGCTTCTTTTATTAAAGTCATTTTGCAGATTTGAATAACTAAGATGGAATCTAAGTATCAACTAATTTTTCAATTACAAAGTCAACAATAAGTCCCTAATATTGCACAGTTAATCACAGAATATCCAACAAGTCCATCAAAACAAAAAAAGTTGCCATTATGCTTCAGTGAATTAATGCACTGATAAATATTACACAGAAAAAAAAGTCCTTCGAGAAAACAGTAAAGCCATTTTATCAATAGTACAGTTTTGAGAAACAAATCTATGACATAAATAGAAAGTAATAAAGTTCTAGACTAGAGAATGTTTTTTTTTTAACTGTAACAAATGAATCAAGAGAAAAAATATACAAAGTAACATGAAAGTCTTATCTCTGTTATAGAAATGAGCTATAGTGAATTTTACAGAATTAACAAACAACAACCATTAAATAAATATATTTTCTCTGTGTTACATAAATCTCCTCATTATCTGTAAAATTATTGTTTATAGAGATCACATTCAGAAATACTCTCAATATTAATGAACTAAAATATGTTAAAAAAAAAAAAAACTAATGATTTTAGTTTTTATCACATTTTGTTTCTGTTAAAACCCATATTCAATGCTGCTAAAAAAGTAGCACTTTATTATGAAATATTCCAGTATGGAAAACTTAAACAAGAAACTTTGTTAAAAACTCAAACAATTGAAACATAAAACAAGACAAAGGGAAATGAGACATAATGGTTATAAGCACAAATATGAACTTAATTGTGCAATTTGCAAGACTTAAATAATCGAAGTAAGCTCAAAATGTGTTAAAACATATTTTAAAAAGTGTTGCGTAAATGAGTACATGTGCCTGCATAACAAAAGTGCAAGAATAGTAAATTTTAAGCTTAACTTTAAGACTTAACAACAGTTCTGAAATCAACCCTCTGTAAATCTAACATCAGTCAATTTTCATTTCTTTATCTTCTCTTTCAGTCTAAATTTCCTTAATTAAGGATCATATCCTCCGAATATCTGTTTCCGCGGACTCTCTTGTTTATCATCATCCTGTTAGCACTCACTGGTCTCTTGTCGCAATCCATGTAATCCATCTGGTAATCCATGTCATGTGGATTGTGGAACTCTGAAGTATCTGTCATTGTGACCTATGAAATTTTTACAAAAATGACTAATAATTACAGGGCTAAATAATTTTAGGAAAGAAATTTTACATTCTCACTAGAATTCTGGACACATACTAAACCTACTGTTTCTTGAAAGAATCATTTGGAAGGAGGAGTTAATGCATACATATACATGTAATTGATTTCACCTTCATAAGCAGATTTTGCCACTAAAACTAAGACTAATATTTTATTAGCTGCAATAATGTAGCCCTCTCCCGATTTTTTTTTTTTTGTTTTTTTTTTTTTTGTTTTTTTTGTTTTGTTTTTTTTTTTTTGGGAGAGGGCTACAACTCCTTAGGATCTCCGTAATGGTGCAAGTGCGGGAGTGATTCACTACCGCACAGATTTCGGCTCAAATTATCAGTAAGTGGGTATTTTATTAACATATCTTACCTGAACTCATAAAATGTAGTTATGCAAGACATGAATTGATCCAAAAATATACAGAACAAGCCGTATATCGGTTATTTTTCGTGTATGTCAACATCACAACTTGAATTTATCCGCCATGTTTACTGACCTTGATCGATTTTATTTTGGGACAACCAATGAGAAATCGGGATCTAGGGGAGCGGATCGTTTAGGATTTCCCTTATTTTAAGCATAAATATCACTGTTTATGAAAAAAAATCACATGGAATGCTTTTATTTATCGACGTTTAGTGATATCATACCACACAAACATTTATCAACACCGACATTTACTTTATCAAGTGATTCTAAAATTCAAGCACAAGTCTCTGTACATCACGCGAGAACTGTCATGGCTGCTGAAGAGAACGACTGGTAAACGCGCAGATTTATTTTACTTGGTTTTCGCTCATAAAGGGCTATGATGTTGATAGTGAATAAAAATTCCGTCTTATTGGAAGTAAGTTGAATGCAAAAACAATTTATTTTGCCTGCAGTCGCCCGTATCTAAAAAATATATTTGCACCATTACGGAGATGCAGTGGAATTGTAGCCCTCTCCAGAAAATATCAGATTAAAAAAAATCGGAGAGGGCTACATTATTGCAGCTAATATTTTATTCCTTCAAAGCTTTACTGTTGGCACCATTGAAAAGACAGCATTTATGTAGTATTATATTGTATCAAAAAAAAAACAAACAAGAGGCCCATGGGCCACATCGCTCACCTGAGTAACTTTGGCCATGCTGTTCATTACCAGACTTCCCCCATTGTAATACCTATTGTGGCCCCGCCCTACCCCCAGGGGCCATGATTTGAACAATTTAGAATCTACACTACCCCAGGATGCTTCCACATAAGTTTCAGTTTTTCTGGTCCAGTGGTTCTTGAGAAGATTTTTAAAGATTTTTCCTGTATATTTCAATGTAAAACTTGGATTCCCTATTGTGGCCCCGCCCTACCCCCGGGGGTCATGATTTTAACAATTTAGAATCTACACTATCCCAGGATGCTTCCACATAAGTTTCAGCTTTTCTGGCCCAGTGGTTCTTAAGAAGAAGATTTTTCAAGATTTTTCCTATATATTTCAATGTAAAACTTGGATTCCCTATTGTGGCCCCGCCCTACCCCCGGGGGTCATGATTTGAACAATTTAGAATCTACACTATCCCAGGATGCTTCCACATAAGTTTCAGCTTTTCTGGCTCAGTGGTTCTTAAGAAGAAGATTTTTCAAGATTTTTCCTATATATTTCAATGTAAAACTTGGATTCCCTATTGTGGCCCCGCCCTACCCCCGGGGGTCATGATTTTAACAATTTAGAATCTACACTACCCCAGGATGCTTCCACATAAGTTTCAGCTTTTCTGGCTCAATGGTTCTTGAGAAGAAGATTTTTAAAGATTTCTCCTATATATTTCAATGTAAAACTTGTATTTCCTATTGTGGCCCCGCCCTACCCCCGGGGGTCATGATTTTAACAAATTAGAATCTACACTACCCCAGGATGCTTCCACATAAGTTTAAGCTTTTCTGGCCCAGTGGTTCTTGAGAAGAAGATTTTTCAAGATTTTTCCTATATATTTCAATGTAAAATTTGGATTCCCTATTGTGGCCCCGCCCTACCCCCGGGGGTCATGATTTTAACAATTTAGAATCTACACTATCCCAGGATGCTTCCATATAAGTTTCAGCTTTTCTGGCTCAGTGGTTCTTGAGAAGAAGATTTTTCAAGATTTTTCCTATATATTTCAATGTAAAATTTGGATTCCCTATTGTGGCCCCGCCCTACCCCCGGGGGTCATGATTTTAACAATTTAGAATCTACACTATTCCAGGATGCTTCCATATAAGTTTCAGCTTTTCTGGCCCAGTGGTTCTTGAGAAGAAGATTTTTTTATGACCCCACCCTATTTTTGTCTTTTCTTGATTATCTCCCCTTCTAAGGGGACTTGGCCCTTTATTTTAACAATTTAAACTCCCCTTCCCCCAAGGATACTTTGTACCAAGTTTGGTTAAAATTGGCCCAGTGGTTCTTGAGAAGAAGTTGAAAATGTGAAAAGTTTACAGACGGACGGACGGACAGACGGACGGACAGACGGACAGACGGACGGACGACGGACAACGGGTGATCAGAAAAGCTCACTTGAGCTTTCAGCTCAGGTGAGCTAAAAATGAACAATTATATAAACAATATGCTACTCCATGGTCTTGTACCAACATCTCCATTCTTGTTCTTTGATGAACATTTAATTACTTCCTATAGTTTTGCTATCTCTGCTTTCATGTACACCTCCATTGTTGGTTTACAATTCATAATATGCTACATGTACAATTCAAAACCTAAATGGCTAGAATCCAGAGTTAAAATTCAGTATGCTCAGAAGGCAATGCCAATGTCAGCCATAGTTGCAGTGACATAAACTGTAAAGGGTTTGTGGGTGGTGTAGTGGACCAAAAACCCTTTAGCTTGCAATGAATTGATATTGTAGTATATTTATATTTACCTCACAAACTATATTAAACAAGAACTGACCTCCATACTGTTGAAGTTTGGGAATCTGCATGTGGTCACCTGGGAATGCACGGGTGGAAGGGAGGCCGGCATGTGGTTATTCTGGAATGCAGCTCTCTCCAATGATCCACAGTTCCCCAAATTAAACTGTGGCATCTGGACCACTCTCTCTGCTGGTCCACGACCGGTGGAGTTAAACTGCTCCATGAACTCGCCTGGAGATTCATGGGTTCCCTAATAAGTAATACAATTAAATGTAAGTACACTGTATAATGCTCACTTAGAAGAATAATATTAAAAGCAAATATGGAGGAGTTCTTTTCAATATTCCCTAGAAAAGCATATCCAAATGAGAAATAACAAATAAAGCCTAGACAATTGTGGCCAACATAACAATTAAAAAAAATCACATAAAAATAAACTAAATAACAGCTTACGAGTATAAGTATGGTGCATTAATTTAAAGACTCATTTATGCAAATGTATATCAAGATGTATACATGTATTAATAAGTTATGTGTCAATGAATATCACATCATCTGCTATATTTAATTTTTTGGGTTATTAATGAATTAACATAAATATATTAACATAGCATAAACAATACCATAATGTATGAAAGACTGTAAAGATACTGAAAGAGATAGTTGACAGTAATGATGCTCTGACCTATGAATTCATTGGGAAACATTCACAAATTCAATTTGCCATTACCTCAGCCTGTGCAATGGCACAATAAACCTCTTCAAACTGAGCATTCAGCATCCTGTCTGCATTGGTCTTCTGCAATACCAGACACAGGTTAATCAACTCATTTTCAAGGAATGTGGATCTTTCTGGGGCTCCATGCCATTTGACCATCTCAGAGAAATGTCTGCAAGCAAGAGCCAGCTCATGGGATTTCTTCCTCTGCTGTCTCAAAATCTGGAGTGAAGAAATATCTGGTGTGTCATTGGATTTAAGGTCTTCACAAACATTCAGGTATGCTTTTATTTCTCTCTGGTACTCCACGGGAATGCTTTTGGTCTTGCACATTTCTAGAAGGACACTCATCTTCTTCTGCAGGACTTCTAGGGAATCTTTGGGATTGTTGTTAGGGTCCTTCCATTTGATCCCATTTTCTGCTGGCCACCCTGGGGGTTTCTTGTCTGCAGTCCAGATTTGGCTGGAACTGTATGGGTTCTGTCCAATACAGATCCTGGAGAGCTTGGGCACCAACTCGCGTAAGGTGTGTGTCAATATGGTTTTAGTTTGCTCATCACTTGTGGTGGACCCAGTTTTCAGGTTGCAGCATGTGCACTTAGGAGCACTAGGAAGACTTTTCCTTTTCCTGCTGCTCTGTTTTGTGTGGAATGATGAGGAAATCTGGGTTGATCTTCCTTCAAATGCCTACAAGTTTCCATACAAAATGATGATTTCTTTGCTCATAAACATTTTACTTACATATTGATTTTTTTTAATTTACTCAATACATGTATAATCATTTTTTTTGTTCCATTTTACAAGGGGAACATTACCAGTAATTTGAAACTGAATCTATTCATGAATTTCATCTCCAAATCTGAATTAAACCTTGTGAATTAAGTTTAAGAAACATTAATTGAGAGGTCCTTTGGCAACAATGCTAACCTGAGTCACCATTCTTTTCAATGAACCACTTTATTGTGGTCACCAAAATAACAGTAATTATTTCAACAACTGAATTCACAATACATTCAGGTTAGATCATGTTACTGTAAACTTGGAAACTGTTGCCATCAGAATGTCAGTACATTTCTGTGCAATACTTAGAAAAAATGTGCATCTACATGGTCATCACATAGGGATTCTTAATTAATTGACTAATAATGACACTGCTCTTAATTGACTAATTAATATAATGCACATTATATGAACATGCTTGCATATCAATATGATTACTTGCGGTCCTACTGTTCTTATGAAGATTTTATAAAATATTTTTCCTACATAATTAAATGTATTCCTTGTGAATGTTTGCTCTCTTATCAGCCAATATTGGGGACCCCATACCAATCCCTTGGGCCATGAGTTAAATGAATTTTAATCTACATTATATAAGGAAACACTCATTTAGGATTAGTTTTTTCCAGCTCAGTCATTCTTGAGAAAAATATTTTTAAATTACCAGAGCTCCAGATAAGGTGCGTATTTGCAGAAATACGCATTGAATTTTACAAAATATGCAATGAAAATTAGAACTGGGCGTACAGTTACGCATTAGCAATCGTAGATAAGCATTACACCACGAAAGTACTGCATGCAATGGTTTGAATAATAAAAGTACGACGTAGCTAACGATATGAATTGAGGTTAATTTTAACTCAGGGTTTGATTTTTCTCAAAACGAAATACTGATTTAAAAGCGTTTTATTAACCAGGAATATTCAAGTAATGGCAACGACAATTTCCATTTATGGAGAAAGAATCAAAGATTTAGATTAAAATCGATTTCTTTAAATGGACTTTTGCGAGAAGCACTGACTTTTACAGTCGACGGCTTACTTTGACATTTAAACCTACCTAATGTATGGAGGTACGGAATTGATAACAGACAAGAAAACCTTAATAATGATTATAGGTATGGTGTTAGGGGCACAAACATGATTTACCGGTATGCAATCAACGCAAGAGATGATGGGAGGCAGAATTACATAACTTAAAATGCCTTATTCGTGAGGTATAGTATCTCCTTTCAATCTCATTTTCTGTAGGAATCAAATAATGAAGAAAAATCATTCCGGAAAGAAAACTAAGCAAGAGTTGGTCAATGTGGGAAGAGAGGGAGTTGAGGGTAAGGTGGCTGTCGTTCCCTTCCTAGATAATGCAATATGTTCTTTGAAATGGCCCATTACTATCGTTTAATTTATTGTAAAGCTTAATATTTATATCGCAAAAGAGCTTCCGTATATTTTCCTGGTGCAAAAGTAAGCTGTCAATTGTAAAAGTCAGCGCTTCTCGCAAAAGTCCACTAGAAAGACTATGCACTAGGCATAGTTACATGTACTTTTAAGCATGCACACAAAAGCTTGTGTCGTCTATGTAAGATGATATTTTAACAAGTGTAATACATAAGTGAAGAAAACAATGTTACCTAGAAAACAAACGATAGTTGGAGGAATAAAGTCTTAGCTGGAGAAAAAAAGTTTGTACTGCAATGTTATCAAAGAGGACATGATGTGTAAGGGGAAAAAAAAACAGTGAAGACCATATTAAAACCATATCGGGAAAAAAAAAAAGAGCTCTGTTTAATTTCAAGACCAATTAAATAAATAAATAAATTGCTGTAAAGGGACATTACGCATAACATGTATTTGAATTTACCGATCAAGAGTTCCCTTAGATTCTCTAGAGTTTTCTGTTTAGAAGGACAGTTACACACGGTTTGTACACAACATTTTTTTTATGATGGGTTCATCTGATTTCTCTCAACTTGCCATATTAATGAAGATTTTTTTCTCTCAGTTTACTCTTGTTACGATATCGTCTTAAATAAAGGAAAAGTTTTATGTGCCTATGGTAACTTTACCTACTGTATGATCTTCCTTCTCAAAAAAGAACATTTCTCAGTTTTAGCAAAAGTCTAATGGATATTTTTAAAATTTATTTAAATGAATGCAGGAACTGTCCTTTGTACTTTTTTTTTTCCTTTCCTCTTCTAAAACACTTATATTTCGATTACAAGCTCAAAATCAAAATAGATGTCAAAACATTATGTATTAACAAAATACTCTTAAATCATGATCATTTTGCTGAAAATCAAAACCTGCATTGATTTGAAATCAGGGAGTAAATACACTTTGGGGTAAAAAATTATCTGGAGCTCTGAATTACCCCACCAAATTTTCTTCTTTTTTTCTTAATTATCTTCCCTTGAAAGGGGGTTTGCCTTTGAAACTTGAATCCCCTTTGATCAAAGGTGTTTTGTGGTAAGTTTGGTTGAAATTGTCCCCGTGTTTCTGGTGAAGAAGTTGAAAATGTGAAAAGCTAACTGATAACTCAACACAGATACTGAACACTCAGCTCACTCAAGCCTTTGGCTCCCATATACTAAATTTCTTGCTTTTCTAATAAATTTATCCTTGGTTGCCACACTTACATGTAATCGTCTCAGGAACAGGAAACATAGGCTAGCTACACGAAAATTACTGGTGTGCTTGGTGCCAGGACTGTGGGCGGGATGCAGTGACACCTGCTGAGAGTGGTTCCTCACGTGCAAGGTGCCCTGAAAATAATTGAATTAAACCAGATCATCAATAATGCTAATAAATATTATCAATTAACTGAATTAAGGGCTCCTGACAAATAAAAAAATAAAATTATTACAATTCATGGAAAAAAGATAAATACATTTTAGCTTAGGTTACATAAAAAAAATATTCATCACATGCTGTACCAATATAAGACTCCAATAAAAGGCTGCAAATTAGACTTGAGCAAGTAAGCTGCAAGTCAGAGGAAGAGAATGTGCCCTAGATCAAAGTTAACTAAAGTACACGTAAATTCAAAATAACTTCATCAGTATTTTTACTTGAGAAAAACAAAACAGTTTGATATTTTATTGAGAAGCTTTGGAATACAAAAATAAATTGCTCTTTTATTCATGGCATTTGCATTAATTAACATTTATTGTCTGCCATTCATGGCATTTAAGCACAATAGAACAGATGTTCCAAATAAAAATATCAAGAAAGTTCCAAAATGACCTAAAAGGGTGTGATAAAGGGTGAACTGATACATAGTGTGTGATAAAACACATATATATTAATTATTTGTCTGATTATCAAAGATATTTCCATTGTATTTTATTACAAGAGGATAAATAAAAATAAATACATTTTAGCTTACATGTAGGTTACATACACACCTTCTAAAAACCTTGAATATAAAAAGGTAATAATTTTGATAATAATAATAATAAAAAGTGAATAAGAAATTTCTAAAGACAATTTGATGATGACCATGTTTGGAAGTACAGTGTACTTGTAAATCCCAAATATCTGATATAACAAATGAAATGTTCACTGATTCTAAATTTTCCATTTAATTAATAAGACTTAAACTAGAATCATGCTTCTGCAAACCATTTACCAATTCAACTTCAACATATACATGGAATTCAAGACATTACATCCTAAATTATCTATAAATGAAACATACAAATGATAGTTTCAACAGTTAAGTTCAGAAAGATGATAATCTGAATAACTCATCAATAACAGATAAAATGTGTTTGTTTTTTTTGTTCGGGAAGCATAAAGACTTATTTAGCCAAGAAATATCATATTCCCCTTGGACGAAGCCCTCGGGAATATGATTTTTCTTGGCTGAATAAATTGTCATATTTCCCTCATGCTCATGCAATAAATTTACACTATTACATTGTTGTCAAAAGAAATAAAAATACTTAACAACAATATCAAGACCAGAGGTCAAAGTATCATTTCCAATATATGGTATTTGAAATATCTCATATTGACTTATTCATATGTTAGAAAATGATAATTTAAATGGGTTAAACTCATCTTATATATTTTTTTTTCAAATAACACTTCAGGATCAGAAATTAAGCTGGACTGTCCAAAAACAGTATAAAGAGCTAAAGCCACGAACCATCATATTTGGCCCTGTGTTTTTCACAAAAATAAAGTTTCGGTTCAAGAAGAGTACCATACGTTAAATATTAGAGGACAACATCCTTCTTTTCCATACATAACTTATATCGTTATATAATGCGCCATTAAACACGTGCGACGGTTGGAAAATGCGACGGTTTCATAAAAACGTTAAAAAATGCCGTTTTTTCGACAGATTTTCCCAAAGTTAGATGTGGCCACAGTCAAGAACAACTTTTATACTTCCCATAGATATAGATATTACCGATATAAATTTTAAAGTTTAATATCGTTGTTGTTCGTGGCTGTGGCCAATATGAAATTTGATTTTATATTTAAATTTTGATGGATCAAATAATCCTTAATTTGTAGATCAATCGTTTACATTCAATTCATGTAATAATAAAAAAATATAAATTTCACAAAATATGCTAGAAAATCAGTAAATTGTTCATTTAAAACGCTAAATGTGAAAAATAGTCAACTACATACATTTTCTGAAATAAATGTCTGGAAAAACTTTGTGGTTTTTACTATGACTAGGTCATTATGTATGACGTTACTAGTAATACGTCAGTTGTGACGTCATAAAGGCTGTAAATTATTTGGGATGTTGCTGAAAAGCTTTTAACGCTCTAGATAGTGCCCCTACATGTATTTACATGTATATGATTTAATTACATGTAAACCCAACTGGATGATACCATAAAATTATAAGTTATCAGAAATTCCCGCCACGGTATCTTTCTTTACTACCCCTCCCCCCTCCCCTCCCTGAAATAATTCAAAATACTGTTGTTAGTAGTGTTATCAGGCATGACTTAAATTGTAAACAAATTAATAGAGAGTGTAGCAAAGATATCACGCTATACCTTTTTAAAACAAGCGAAATAATAATGATATGGGTTGCTGTCCAAAGTGAAAATTAAAAAAAAAATTGAAAAAAAGGAATGAAAAAAATACGCATTAAGATAATCATCTAATTTCCGCACCTTTTTTATGTACATGCAGAAGAATCATCTCAATGGATTTACAAAAGTCAGTTATATCGATGGCTTATACATGCTGATACAAAATAATGTATAGTTATAGTATACAGTTATGTGAGCACCGATATCGGGTTTCGTCAAAACACTTGCACATGACGATCCCGCGCCCGTGATCAAAAACAAAAGAATATTTCGGTATATTTTTAATATGTCTGTATTTATTAAAATCGAAGTGAGGCTTTTGATGCATATGTACATAAAACATATACCCGATCTTGTCATCCTTTGTGAAACATAATTCAAATATACATGTACCCCCAGTGAGTAAAATTGCATTAAATGCATGTCGTATGTCTTAGACATCAGTATAAAATGTTTATGCATTTTTTGTACTGTGCTCCAAATATTTCATTGTAACTAACACAATTTAATTATTAGTATAGTTATGCTTCAGATCGTCAGTCAGTGAAAGGGTAGTGATTATAAGTCTATTTAGACAAAACATAAATTAAATAGATAAGTACACTACATATAATTTACCCAAAGTTTTAATCCGTCATCATCTCTTCATTGCAACTTTATTAGTATACGGTTTTATCTAAGAATTCAGCGATGTGAAAACACATGGAGAGAGAGAGATCGAGAGAGATCTTAGAATGTGTTTTAAAAAACAAATCAATAAACGGGAATATGTTCTTTAAAACGTATGGCCGTAAGTTGTTTATAGCTAGATTTTTTTAAACCCAACGAGGTAGATTTTTTTTTTTTTTTTGGATAATAAGTTTTACTCTTTTTTTAAACCTATTGTCAGCTTATTCTGGTTAGTACACTTGTACCTCCTCCCTCAGTATAAACTATTAGTAACATGATATGTAGAATGGTAGATCCAAGACTTCCAGTTGAGATTGAAAAAAAAGAGGGGGGGGGGGATTACAAACTAATGGCAACAAAATTTTCATCTAATGTAGTTATTTTTATTTTATTCTCTTAGGTTGTCTTGAATTTAACTTTCCTTATTGTTAATTAATAGAAATCAATCTAGAAATTGAAAATTGTTAAAGACTTTCCTACTCCTCTTATTTTTTCCTCAATGAGAAGGGGGGTGGGCACTGGTTTGGCAGCGCCTCTTTTCACGAAAAAAAAAATCATAAAGAAAATTGAAAAAAAAATATGTACGGACAACTCTTATTGCTTCTCCGAGTAAAATATTTTTAAGCAAGCTTTTGTTGATTAAAATCAATCTTGCGCTGATTGTGAGACAATAAAACAAGGATAAAAGAACACCTGTACATGTATTTCAATCATGATAGTGACCCACATATCAGCAATATCAGTGTAGCTCTACTCTTTTTATAAACCATAAAAACCATAATGTGCAAATGAAATCGAAAGTGTGGATTTTACACAATGGTTACGTGTGATAATAACGAAAAATTCCTCATGCTTAATCTTTTGATACATTTACATGGAAAATAATCATAGAATTTTCACAGACTCTACCTTTACAAAATCCCTGCAGATATTAAGGTATTTGGAGGAAAAAATTCGAATATTTTGCAAAAAAATGGGGGGTGGGGGTTCCAGCAAATACTGTTAAATATATAATAATGGACAGTGACGAGTAATTTTTTAACAAATTTATTTTTTTGAAGTGTACTCTACTGTTTTCCATATTACTCCAAAGAAACTTACATTTAGGGCTAGAATGTTTTGATGAGTTCTGTTTACTAATTAAACCATTCTGATAAATTGCGAAATCCCTTTCCAATTAATGTAAAATTGACCCTGTTTCTGTATCGAAAACAACGTTCAAATTATTGTTACAAATGAATAAATGGATTAGAAACAAGTCCTTCCAACTTTTTCCTTCTTCCTCTTGTCCAAATAATTCAGATCTTTTATACGTTAAAATACTCGCAATATCAGGATCTAAGAATTTTGCATTGAAAGTCTCTTTCAATTTAAACAAAACTTTTTGCAATTAAACTTTTACCTACATGTAGTTATAGAATTAGCTCTTCAGTTCAGAAACATTCGTTTCAAGATCATTTCAGGTATGTTGTCAATTATTTTTTTCCCAACTGCCCCCTTCCCAACTTTGAAAAACGATACTACGTGCCTGGACGCACATGCCAAAGATCAGCTTAATATCTGCTGGCCTGTAGGGAAAAATCCGGAAAACTTAGTTGGTCAGACTATCGGCATTTGAAGCATGTCGTATATTGTTTATGATGATCTATACACAATACTTCACTAGGAGCGAAGCATCGCTCAAAAATGTGTTGAAGGGATATAAATAGAGTGTTCCTTTTTTTAATATTATCATAGGGACCAGGTAGAATGAAAATATTCCAAGACAGTCACACAGATTATTATACTCCCGCTTGAAAAGTTGGGGTATATAGTGATGGGGGTGTCCTTTCCGTCCGTCTGTGCGTCCGTCCATTACGCTTTGGGGTACACATCTCTTATCCGCAACTCCTCCTATACCACTCAATAAAATTTAATGATACTTTCGCAGAATCTTTGTTAGATAGTACCATTGTGCACCTCCTATTTCACTTTTTGATCGGACACATATTTCAGGTTTCCAATAGCAAAACATAGACACTGCCATTCTTTAAATAATATTTAGGGTACCCATCTCTTATCCGCAACTCCTCTTATACGCCTGAATAAATTAAAGATTTAATGATACTTTCACAGAATCTTTTTACATTGTGCCATTGTGCACCTCCTATTTCACTTTTGATCAGACACATATTTCGGGTCTCCCATAGCAAAACATGGACTTTGCCATTATAAATATATGATAGGCGGGGTATCATTTTGTGAGCTCAGTGCTCACAGTACCTCTAGTTTTTACTTCATGTATCTATATAATTCAATCAGTTAAACACGAGGTTACCATAAAGACGGCAGGTAAAATCAAGTTCCAAATGCTTTTAATCGTCTTAAATTAATTATGATGTTTATTATATTATTGATACTAGTTTTAATTCAAAGTCACATATTCATACATGCAAAATCGATCAAGGAAGTTTTTCCGCCCTACGACGTTACGTTACAGAAAATGACGTTCTACTAGCATTTTTCTTTTAAAACACCACCATACTTCAAACTCTCTTTTTCAAAAAATATAATTGATATCGAAAAAAGAAAAACGGCAAAGCAAAGCTAAAGGTGTTCACTATCAATTGACAAAAACCCATTAATTTTTGACACAGGGCCATTTTTGATGGTTCGTGGCTCTTGCTCTTTGAAGTGTTTCATTTTGACTGACCTCTTTGTAAGGCTATACATGTATGGAGATGCGGATATCAGAATGTGTTATCCTAATCCTTGATGATTTTTTTTAATTTACCAGATTCAAGGTCAAAGGTAAAGTCAATTTGGATTATGGTAATGAAAGATATTACCACTATTTACTCTGTTTTGATGTCAGAAGATAATGATGAAGTCATCCGTAAAAGATCGATCTATTTTTATTTTTTATCCACATGAACTGAAGTTCCATTAATTTAGATTTTTAAAATACTTATCCTGATTTGCCTATTTGTGAGGTTTAAAGATTTGACTAGAAGCAAGTCATATAAATAGGTCTAAACACAAGAGTAATAGAGAAAAAATACTGATGCTGACAAATGGATGCACAGACATCATGAATCTATAAACCAGACTTCACATCTGAAATCCTAACAAATGATAATTCTTAAACAAAAACACAGTCAACATTATATGATACAAATTCTTTAAGCTTACATTAATTCTCGAAAGGAAAACAAAACAGTAGCTAATTTTTCGAAAGATCCTCTTCATGCCGTGATGCCCAGAATTCATAGTAGCCATATCTCCGCCTGCAGAACACAATAACAAATGACACATTATTTAACTTACGTAAATAAAACAAGAGGCCCAAGGTCCTTAACGGTCACCTGAGTATAATACAACAATTTAGAAGTTAAATACACTGAGGGATGAAGCTTTGTTGCCCTAAAGCAAGAGAAGTAGGAAGATTAGGATCAACAAAATAATTAGTCTAGTATTCAGTATCAACTCATAACTTAAGTTCTAATCTGTCCCCCACTTAATATTATCACCATGCAGACTATTAACAAACTAATAGTGCTTCTGTACTATTTTTAAACCCATATTAAGACCTCTAGCATTGACCTCTCTTATGGTCTTTGAAGAACTTTTAATAAGATAAGTTATTTTTGTCTCATTTTTATTTATCTATTACTTACAGGTCTGCCTGATTATTAAAACTAAGAAAGTACTTTTTGAATTATACAATAAACATTCTTGCATAATTATCTTATTCTATTAACCTTTCAAAAACATTATTTACAGTGATTAATTATCAAAGATGAATGGAAAAGGGGAATAACTTCTCTCAGTAGAATACAAATTAATAGAGCCCTGCCCAGGACCAGAATGCTTAGACGAATTGTCCAGATGTTCAAAAATCTGGTAGAAATATGCTTACTTATATCATTTAAACTTTTACTCAGTTTGCTTTCGATATGCCCAGAAGCAGAGAAGAATTTCACAGGTACAATGCATTTTCACTACAGATTCAACAAAGCCTTACCCTAACACCAGAACCCAAGACCAAAGGTCAAGAAATTTACAGATTTGGAAGAGTTACCCTCATCATCATAACTATGGACTTCAAAGAATTAACACTTTTCCACTATATTATCAAAAGCCCCCCCCCCCCTTTTCTCGTTGAGCCAGAACTCCTGACCCTAGGACCACAAGACTTAAATTCTGTTCGAAGCTCCCATCTTCATCATAGCTAAGCAATTTATTTATCAGCTCAACACTAGGGAGCATACAGGATTAGTTAATGACTAATTAATAGAATTAATGCATTTTCACTATATAATCAATAGAGCCCCCCTCCCCCCCCCCCCCTCCTCAAGAACCCCCAAAACTGAGGCCATGTATTTAAAAATTTTGGAAGAGGCATCCTTGCCTATCATAATCATGCACTTAGTTTGTTTAAATAATCTCCAGTAGCAAAGAAGAAGATTTTCATAGAATCAATGCATTTTCACTATATAATCAATAGAGCCCCGCCCTTACACCGGAACCCCTGACCCTGGGGCCATGAAATTCACAATTTTTAAAAAGGCATCCTCATGCATCATAACCATGCACTTAGTTTGTTTAAATAATCTCCAGTAGCAGAGAAGAAGATTTTAAAAGAATCAATGCATTTTCACTATATAATCAATAGAGCCCCACCCTAACACCAGAACCCCTGACCCTGGGGCCATGAATTTCACAATTTTGAAAAGGCATCCTTATGCATCATAACCATGCACTTAGTTTGTTAAATAATACCCAGGAGCAGAGAAGAAGATTTTCAAAGAATTAATGCATTTTCACTATATAATCAATAGAGCCCTGCCCCAACACCAGAACCCCTGACCCAGGGGCCATGGCTTTCACAATTCTGGAAGGGGCCCACCTCCTCATCATAACTATGTACTTAGTTTATCACCTTAATGCCCAGGAGCAGAGGAGAAGATTTTCAAAGAATTAATGCATTTTCACTATATAGTCGACAGAGCCCCGTCCTAACACCAGAACCCCTGACCCTGGGGCCATGAAATTCTAGGGCTGGGACGATATATCGAGATATCGATAATATCGATTCTGTGTGAGGACGATACGCATATCGATACATATGAAAAAATATCGAAATATCGCAGAAAAAATTCTGACTTATGTATTTCTTTGTTTACTGAACATTTTGGGTTGAATATATAAAATATATATGCTAAATATAAATATAAATATGGAATACATAATAATTAACAACACTTGTGTAAAATAATTTTGTTTTACAACAGATATACAACTTCTATGAATAAATTATTTTTATTTGTGAAGAAACGTTAGGTTCATTTCAATACAAAAAAAGATTTTATAACCAATTAAACATATCGTGATACATATCGTATCGTGGCTCAAATATCGTGATACGTATCGATATAGAAAAAGTTGTATCGTCCCAGCCCTATGAAATTCACAATGTGGGAAGAGGCTCTCTTACTCATCATAACTATGTACTTAGTTACTTAATTTAATACCCAGGAGCAGAGGAGATTTTCAAAGAATTAATGCATTTTCACTAGATAGTTGATAGAGCCCCGCCCTAACACCAGAACCCCTGACCCTGGGGCCATGACATTCACAATTTTGGAAGAGGCACTCTTCCTCATCATAACTATGTACTTAGTTACTTTACTTAATACCCAGGGGCAGAGAAGAAGATTTTCAAAGAATTAATGCTTTTTCACTATATAATCTATAGAGCCCCACCCTAACACCAGAACCCCTGACCCTGGGGCCATGAATTTCACAATTTTGAAAGAGGCACTCTTCCTCATCATAACTATGTACTTAGTTACCTTATTTAATACCCAGGAGCAGAGAAGAAGATTTTCAAAGAATTAATGCATTTTCACTATATAATCAATAGAGCCCCACCCTTACACCAGAACCCCTAACCCCGGGGCCATGAATTTCACAATTTTGGAAGAGGCACTCTTCCTCATCATAACTATGTACTTAGTTATCTTATTTAATACCCAGGAGCAGAGAAGAAGATTTTCAAAGAAATAATGCACTTTCACTATATGATCTATATAGCCCCACCCTGGGGCCAGAACCCCTGACCCTGGGGCCATGAATTTCACAATTTTGAAAGAGGCACTCTTGCTCATCATAACTATGTACTTAGTTACCTTATTTAATACCCAGGAGCAGAGAAGAAGATTTTCAAAGAATTAATGCATTTTCACTATATAATCAATAGAGCCCCACCCTAACACCAGAACCCCTGACCCTGGGGCCATGAATTTCACAATTTTGAAAGAGGCACTCTTGCTCATCATAACTATGTACTTAGTTACTTTACTTAATACCCAGGGGCAGAGAAGAAGATTTTCAAAGAATTAATGCACTTTCACTATATGATCTATATAGCCCCACCCTGGGGCCAGAACCCCTGACCCTGGGGCCATGAATTTCACAATTTTGGTAGAGGGCTCAATGCTTATTACAATGATGCCAACAGTTTGACTGCTTGATGTCCAGGAGTAAAGAAGAAGATTTTTAAAGATTGCATTATTTTTGGTGGTTTTAGCCCCACCCCTCAGGCCCCAGGGGGGCAGGGACCATGAAATTCACAATTTTTGTTCCCCTTCACCCATAGATGCTATATGCCAAATTTGGTTGAAATTGGTTAAGCGGTTTCAGAGAAGAAGCTAAAAATGTTCAAATGTTAACGCACGACGCATGACGCACGCCGACGGACGAGAACGGATAGCAATAGGTCACCTGAGTGACTCAGGTGACCTAAAAAAAATTAGTCATTAGTAATTCTTAAAGAGTCTTTAACATCATCAAATGACTCCAGAAATTAACCAATTTGATAAAAAGCAAGTTAAACATTCTTCACTGAAACGATCCATAGAACCATGTAACAGGTCAAACACAATCTCTTGACTTTGCTATAAAGCTTGAATTAGCTATATCAGGGCTAAAACTGGCAACTGTTTTAGTCGCCATGCATCTCAAATTTTTGATTGGCGCCCAAAATTTCTCTCTAAGTTGCCTAATAGTATTGGTGACCATTTTAAGTTGACTTGGCAATCGTCAAATTCTAGAACTAGATCTATACACATTTTCCACTTTTCTAAAGAGGAGAAAAGAAGTTTAAAAGTTTTCTTTCACCTCATTTGTTTTTTAGTCATTCACGTGCGAACGAAATTTCACATCGGGTCAATGCACACAGGGCTCATGTAGACCACATAAGACACTAAGCTGCCCAAGGTAATTTTTTGCTCCAGAAAATTGATACTTGTGAAACGCAGTAAATTGGACAGGTGATCTGGTCAATTGTTTGTTAATTAAATTTTCACTCAATAGAGATATCGTGTAACATTAATGTTAGGTTGTGATTGTATGGACAAGCATATTATATGCAATTTTTTCACATATTTTTTTTTTTTTTTTCGGGGGGGGGGGGGGGGGGGGGGGGGGGTAAAAAATAGAAAAAAAGTTGCAAGCAGGTGACTATTCATACATGTACTATGTACTATAAAAAGCAATCCAAATCAAAGATAATTCCAATATTGTAGTTTTTTGAATACTTTTAAGTAAAAGATATACAGTCAAACCTTGTTATATCGAACTCAATTGCACTGAGAAAAAAAATTCGAGATATCCAAAGATTCAAGATATCCATGGTAAAATACTGAAATAATAATGGGTTGGGACTTCTAAACCGCTTCGATATAACCATGGTATTTGAGATATCAGTGTTTGAGATACTGAAGTTCAACTTTATTTCCATTGATTGGACAATTGTACACATACTTACATGTGTTGCTGCGTGGAATAGTATGATTTTTCACATTGTGCTGAATTAATACTAATCAATGTATCTTGTTGACCAGAATCGTCTTCCTTTATATAAATTTCATTCAAGAAGTAACTGTGTGGTCACATATCAATTGCTTCATATAGCCCCCAAAATTTTAGAACTTTGAGTGTAAAGACTGAAGGATTTTATGTTTGTTTGTTTTTTTTTACATGCCTTGTTTTCAGACCAGTTCGAAGTTGAACAAAAACTATCACTTCTCTAAAGTGTGAATTTTATGTACATGCTGAAAATATAACGCATTTAATAAAAACCGTGATAAAATAGCTAAATGAAGCTACTTTGAATGGCTTATTTAAGCTTTATGGCTAATTCAAGCTATATAACAGTTAGCTCAATCAAGAGATTGTGCTTTACCTGCTTAATTTACCATGTAATGAATTCCTAAATAAATACATACACAGTTATTGGGTATCAAAGATCCTAAACATATGATCTGTTTAATGCAATTGAGGGACTCTATTAGATCTTTAAGATAATTATCAGAAACGAAAGCGTTTCATGAAAAAAAAATTATTTCGCTAGAATTCGATACATCTACAAGGTAGAAAGTTGAATATCTCGGTATGAAATCGGAGCATTTCATTTACTTTAAATTAAAGTTAACAAACCTTATATGCTATAAAGGTTTAATATAACTGCAGAGTTGTTCTACGAGTTGAATTTCCAATTCGTTTGCTATGTTTATGAATTTCACCATCCGCCATTTGACAGTACAGCGGCAGTAAAACGCTTAACCTATATAATCTAAGTAGCCAATATGCTTGAAATATGGAAAGCCATTCGTATCATAAAAATTAAATATTTTTATTATTTTCTCTATTGTTGCCAGCTATCTGATAGGCTCAAACTAGATCACATGATCAAGTATAATATACAATTATAGCCTTTTGATGAGGTCAATCCCTAGATATATAGACCTTAGAGAAAACATATCGTCCGAGTACGAAATGCGAGGTCGATATGCTTTCTCTAAGGTCTATATATCTAGGAACTGTACCGAATCAAAAGGCTATAATTGTTTTAATTAGAAATGTCTTAAAATCCATGTTTCTAATGCTCAATAGTCACTTATGTAAGGCATTGTTATGTCATTCGCATTATGACGTCACAGTTAAATGCAGCTGCACTATTTGTTTTTAAAAACATCCAGTTTATAAAGACTATTGTGACGTCAGCACTATTGTTGCTTCACAGAAGCTTAAAATAGAAACACCCAGTTTATAACACTTTTTATTATTTTTCTCTATTGTTGCCAGCTATTTGACTGGCTCAAACTAGATCAATTGATCAAGTTTAAAAAAATCTTATAAACTGGATGTTTCTATTCTAAGCTTCTAAAAATTTATAAACCCGCTGTTTCTAAAATTGGAAACATTCTTCTGTGAAGTAACAATAGCACTGACGTCACAATACTCTTTATAAACTGGATGTTTCTAAAAACAGATACTGCAGCTGCTCTTAATTGTGACGTCATAATGCGAATGACACAACAATGCTTTATATGAGAAAGCATTGAGCATAAGAAACATGGAATTTAACTTTTGATTCGGTACAATCCCTAGATATATAGACCTTAGAGAAAGCATATCGACCTCGCACTTCGTACTCGGTCGATATGCTTTCTCTAAGGTGTATATATCTGGGGATTGACATCTTCAAAAGGCTATAATTGTATATTATTATTTTTCTCTATTGTTGCCAGCTATCTGACTGGCTCAAACTAGATAACATGATCAAGTATAAAAAGTGTTTTAAACTGAGTGTTTCTATTTTAAGCCTCAAAAAAAAAAATTAACCTGCTGTTTCTAAAATTGAAAACATATTCTTCTGTGAAGCAACAATAGTGTTGACGTCACAATAGTCTTTATAAACTGGATGTTACTAAAAATAGATACTGCTGCTGCTATTTGTAACTCATAATGCGAATGACAGAACAATGCCTTATACATGTATTAGAAAGTATTGAAAGTATTAAAAACATGGATTTTAAGACATTTTTTTATTTACTACAAAACCTTATTGCACATCCACAGGACACTCCCAATCATATTCCAAAATATGAATAGGCTAATGCGAAAAATGTGAAAAAATATTGAGAGTGTCCTCTAGATGTGCAATAAAGGTTTTATAATTTAAATTTTCACCGGGGGGTGTTAAAAACGATATTTTTCTACAAACCTGTTCTCTGAACTCCTCTTGCATTTTTTTCAGTGACCAACTCATCTTTTTAAATATGATTGTTGGTGTCCTATAGATATGCAACAAGGTTTTGGATTTTAGATTTACAGCCGGGGGGGGGGGGGGTCAAATAAAAAAAAATAAGCGTCCTTTTGGAATATGATTGATGGTGTCCTTTAGATGTGCAATGAGAATTTTGAATTTTTTCTTTGGGGGTCAAATGAGGGTCAAAATGATTTTTTTAAATACAAAAACCTAGTTCCCCGAACTTCTCTTATATTTTGAAAGAAGTCTGAGTGTGTCCTTTAGATCATCATGTCCATTTAAGTCTCGAAATTTCAATATTCACCCTGGGGCGATTGGGGGTTGAAAACCGACGTTTTGTTAATTATAGAATTATTGAAGTTTCTTCCCTTGTTACCAAAATGTGAATATGAGTACATTTAGAGGCAAACACCTAACTGCGAGTTTTACTTGTCTTATGACTATTTATAATAGTAAGATGTAAAAATAGGTAGCAACTGTTCCTTCGCCATGCGCTCGGCACTTTGAAGTGAAAGTTGCGGGTCCTTTGGATGAGACCTTAAAAACCGAGGCCCCGTGTCACGGCAGGCGTTGGCATGATAAAGATCCCTCACTTCTCAATGGCCCTTAGTACCGAGTAAAAGTCTAAATTTGAAGCCCTTCACCGGTATATGGTGACGTCTCTATATGAGTGAAGAATTCTCGAATGGGACGTAAAACAACATACGATCAATCATTCAATTGAATGGTTGGAGCTAGGGCTTTCATATTTCACATTTCTTGTGACACGACCTTTTTTTGGGTACTAACATATATGACATCTTGACCCTGATCTTAGACTTTGCCCCATTTTAGCAAAATTTTTCCAAACTTTAACCTTGGCCATATCTTTTGAACGGTTAGAGCTAGGGCTTTCAAACTTCACATGTATATTTCTTGTGACAAGACCTTCCCTTGGGTATCAACAATTTTGATCATTTGATCTTGGAGTTTGAACTACTTTTGAAAAACATTAAATTGGTCACAAGTTTTGAATGGTTGAATCTAGGGCTTTCGTATTTCACAGGTGTGTTCCTTGTGACAAGACCTTCCATTGGGTACCAACAATTTTGGCCTTTTAACCTTGACCTTGGAGATTGACCTTTTTTTGAAAAACTTTAACCTTGGCGATATCTTTTGAATGGTTGACGCAAGGGCTTTCTTGTTTCACAGGTATTTTCCTTGCAACAAGACCTTTTTTTTAAGTGCCAATATTTTTGACCTCATGACCTTCACCTTAGAGTTTGACCTACTTTTAAAAGTTTTAACCTCGACCATAATTTCTGAAGGTTGTTGCAAGAGTTTTCATGTTTAACAGATGTATTACCTATGACAAGATTTTCTTTTGGTGCCAACATTTTTAATCTCTTGACCTTGGAGTTTGACTTGTATTTGAGAAACATTAACCTTCGCCATGAGCAGCCATACGGGGGCATCAGTGTTTCACAAACACATCTTATTGACTATGTGATCGAGTTTCAAAAAATACGGTTATTGTATTCATAAAATGACGTTTTCAAGATAATTTAATTTTTGATACGTGCATCAAGATGTGCAATACAAGGGCATATATATAAAGAAAGACTTCATTTATATTTTATTACCGAAAGACCCCAAATGACGAGACGTGACAATCCACAAAGAATCTAGACGGAACATACTGAACAACCCCACAAAATTTTACGTACTTTCTTATTTATTTCTGTAATCTACGAAAGCCGAAGCGTCGATCTTGTTTAAAATGAAATAGCCATATTACCTTGTTATCTTGGAAAAATATTGAGAAATTTCTCTTATTACGAGATAAATTATATCGTTTTAACGAGAAAAGATTGTCTCTAACAAGAAAAGTTCTCGTTATAAAGAGAAAAGATATCATTTAAACTGGAAAAGACCTCGTAAATACGAGAAAGTTAACTCGTTATTACTACAAAAGATCTCGTGATCACGAGAAAATTATTTCGTTATCTTGAAATATCTTTTTTCTTTTCATGGGCTCTTTTCTTGCTATAACGAGATCTTTACTCTAACTTATAATTTCCTGTTATAACTGGCGAAATCTTTTCTTCTTATAACGAGATCTTGCGCGGATCTAGAAGGGGGGGGGGGGTCCGGAGAGGTGCAGAGTTTTAAAAAAGTATATAGTAAAGCAACTAGAAGTGACCTGTAACATCCCACCCCCCCCCCCCCGGGGTAACGCGGACCACTATTAAGTTGGTAGGAAAATTCATACATGCATATGAAGCTTAAGTAAGAAGTGAAGTAGAGAGGCTACCCCCCCCCCCCCGAAATAGGTTTTTCACATTTGGGAAAAGAGTTTAGATTTTATTTTGTTATTTTTTTTCGCCTGTCAAGAAAATTCGGGTTGGATTTTTTTTCTCACTGTGGTGGACCCCCCACCCCCTGGGAAAAAATCCTGGATCCGCGCCTGGAGATTGAAGACCTTAAATAATACGAGATCTTTTCTCGTAAAAATTAAGTCATTAGTATAAGATAATTTTCTTGGCCATAAGTTCTTTTAAATAAGATTCCCCGGCTTTCGTATTAAAGTGCATTTGACTTTATTTTAATTTTTCACGATTTTGTAATTACAATAGTCCCAATAATTTTGTCATAGAAGGAAAATACACGTGTGTCCAATGTTTATCTCTTTAGAAATACGTGTGTTTGGATACACGTATTCGGCAAAGCTATGAACCATATATCTTTACAGTTTTCAAATTCATAGATAATATGTTTCTTAAAAAGCCCCCCCCTCCCTCCCAAAAGTTTTTATTTGAAGCGAAATTTAGATTTTTTTTCAATAAATTCACGAATTCTGGTAATATTGAGATCAAAATACACATATAAAGAAAATGGCGTTTTATGTGCTAAATATGTACTAAATATGGTTTGAACAAATAACTGTTTAAGGTTTTGATAAAGATGCTACGTTTGTGTTACATTTGCCACCATAAAAAATGTGTGAGCATTGAAAAACTCGATATCACAGAGTTTATAGTACAGACAACATTTCTACGATCAGTTGGTTTGGCTTTCGTCATCTAGTTATTCGTCAGCAACAATCGAAAGCCTAAACTATCTGTAAAATTGTTCTAAAGTGTTTGGATACTAGTATTTTCACCGTAGATTGTCAAAACTATCTGTAAAATTGTTCTCAAGTGTTTACATATTTTCATCGTAGATTGTCCAAACTATCTGTAAAATTGTTCTCAACTGACAAGTGTTAGATATTTTCACCGTAGATTGTCCAAACTATCTGTGAAATTGTTCTCAAGTGTTTAGATATTTTCATCGTTGTCTAGATTATCCAAACTATCTGTAAAATTGTTCTAAAAGTGCAAAGAAATGTTCGCTCTAAATTATCCAAACTATCTATGAAATTGTTGAAAGTGGTTAAGTATTTTCACCGTTGATTGACCAACATATCTGTAAAATTGTTCTGAAGTGTTTAGATATTTTTACCGTAAATGACAATTGTAATAATTACTGACAGTTTCTGTGGGCATCAGTAAGTTTTAGTTATTAAAGTCAACTTTACTTATTGAAGACTTATATGTACAAAGCTTAAAAATGTCTATTCTGTAGCACATTGATCACGTACTCCAACCTTCGACGCGAAAACAAATAAAAGGAATGATATACTACCCGTATTCTATTTTATTATTTTTTAACTTATTTTAAATGCCAATGGAATACTTAAAACCAATTTAAAGAAAATCGTGATTAACTTGAAACGGTCTATGAAGATGTAAAAGCCAAGTGTCACGAAAAGTTCACGAAATAAGTATAAACATCTTGTTTTGATTTACATTAAAGGATGAAACTTTAAATACCCTAGCTTAGTCTCGGACAATATTACCAAAAGCAGGTAAGCAAAAATTACACAAAAATACTTTGAATTTTTATGTGTTCATTTTACATATAAATCAAGTACATGTAAATGCAATATCATTAATATTTTTTTAAAAATCTATTAAACACGTATGCTATTCACAAGTTTTATTATCCCATTATCCCATTTGGAATGAAATTGATCGAATATTTATGATCAAAAAATAAAATAGTGATGACTCTTGTTGAAGCACCATTAAACATTGCAATTCTTTCCAATGTAATAAAACTATTAAGACAGCAAATATTAAACACATATACCTTTTAAACAAACAAATGTATCTAAGCTTACTTACATACCCTAGTAAGTTTCCTTTTTGTTGAACTAGGAAATCATCATGGATGTGTTTAAGTGGACCATTTACTGGCTCCTGATAATATACCATACAGAGGGACAAGTGGCTCCGAATCAGAAACCACACATCTTTTTCATTGCGGTTGATGATATGGGTAAGAAAAGAAAAATAATCAAGGGGATAGAAGTACTAGTACAGTAAATGATTGGAAGTTCTATTCATAGGTCTGTTTCTCTTTTTTTTCAAAACCAAATTGCAGCATCTGCTGCACTTGTTTGAATTTTTCTAAAAGCAATTTTTCTTCCATATAGGTAATAACGATATTGGTTACAACAACAATGAGGTCCTGACCCCAAACCTTGACAGCCTAGCGGAGGCTGGGGTGATACTGGACGCTAACTACGTCTATCCCGTTTGTACGCCGTGAGTCCAGTGTTTTTAGATTGATTTTTGATTAGATGGATTATACCGTAGACATGATAGCTCATTGATGTACATTTGTCCTGGAAGTCAAAAGGACCCAAATTTGCTGAATTACAAAATAATGTGTTATTTTTAACAATTAAAAGAACAAAAGTAGCTCATTCTTGAATTATATATATTTTTTGGTTTTAAAATATCTTTAAATACTTACTTACTTTTAGTACTTACTTACTTTTAGTTCGAGATCTGCTTTCATGACAGGAAGATATGCTCATAAAACAGGATTCCAGGTAAGTTTCTGTTCAGAACATAATTCAAGTTGGAAATCAAGTCAGCATTAACTTTTTGGGTTTATCAACCATATTTTTCGTGGGAGAATCTGAGAAAACCTTAAGGTTGTATTAACATTCTTGCTGAGTATCAGGATACCATATCAGTCAGTCATTTTACTGATCATGTCTCATTAATAAAACACATAATTCAACATCTATTTTCATCAAGCATGAGGTTGTTGCAAACAGTCAGCCTGCTTATATAGAGAGTAAATACAAGACAGTTGCAGAAAAACTCACGACCAATTATGGATACGCTGCTCACATGATAGGAAAGTAAGGAATTTTCTTCTCTCTACATTCCTCTATTCGTATCTTTTTTTTAAAATTAAATAATGGAAATGATTAGGATTGTTAAATATCAGTCTACATGTTGAATAAAATTGAGCCTGCAAAGGCATTATGTTTCGTGATATCTAAATTTTTCTTTCGAAGATATTTATAAAATAATATTTTGTGAAGCATATAATAAAATTTACATTCAAGGCAAACTACATGTACTAAGTCACAATAATACATTTACGAAAAATATCTGATTATTGCATGAACATGAACATGTTTTGATTTACCGGTAAGTAATTCACACTATTTTGTCCTTTGTTCTCCATGAAAAAATGAGTACTTATAGAACCTTTGCGTTATATTTCTGATATTCGTACTGATATGTTTTGTAAACAAGGAAATGCTTCTACAAACTATAAACTCTGCTAAATAAGATTTATATATTTAACATTTTTTTTAGATGGCACCTAGGATTTTGTAAGGAAGCGGTGACACCAACCTTTCGAGGGTTTAACTCTTTCTATGGGTATTATGGCGGCGGAGAAAACTACTACACTTACACAGCAGGTTATATTATATATTATATATATTATATATATATTAGTCTTGGGTCTTTGCAATATCTGCAGTATCTGAACGTGTATATCTGTTTTTTAGGAGGATACAAAGACTTCCATGACAATCTAACAGCAACAACACCAGAAAACCCTAACTATCCTCAAGAGGATGAAGACGGGTATTCAACGGTAGGTAAACAGACCCATAGAACAATGGACAATCTCTGCCTGGGATAATTAAATTGAAATTTTCTATAGTTAATAATCAGTCCTCTTCCTCTATGGGATAGCTGGAGTTTATTATAGTTGATAATCACTCCCTCCTCCTCCTCTCTGGGATATTTGAAGTTATTTTGTAGTTGAATATCAGTCCTCTTCCTCTTCCTCTATGCAATAGCTGGAGTTTATTATAGTTAATAATCACTCCTCTTCCTGTCTGGGATAGTTGAAGTTTCTTTTTGTAGTTGGATATCAGTCCTCTTCCTCTCTGGGATAGTTGACGTTTTCTGTTGTTGATACCCCTGAACAGTGTGATTATGATTAGATTCATTGAATAACCATTCTCATTCTCTTTGAGATGGAGTATCCAATCAACGACACCATTTAGTATTAATAGGAAGGTCTTTTGAATTTTCTTTTGGACAGACTTCTCAGACGTACACTGATGTCACATTACAGTGACAACATTTAAGCAAGTACAAAAATAGACAAATAAATAAACCTGATTGACATTGTCTTAAAAAAATATCTTTTTTCATCTTTCCATGTACATCTCTGTACTTACATTCAAAACCGATGGTTGAAGGAAGATTTTCCTTCAATATGTTAGGAGAATTCACAGTTACCAAATGATATGAAGTTTTTAAGACAGACAGTGTCATGTCCTGCATCCGGACATTATACCATGATGGACATTTTGGCGATATGAAATTTCATACTTTCTTTGAAAGGAAATTTCATAAAGTAAGAATTCTGAGATAGTGTATCTTATGAAAATTTCAAGGCAATCGTAATTTGATATTTAGTATTCTGTTAAAAAGAACCAGAATTCACTATTTTGTGCAGAAATAGAATTATCCCTGCAAAAACAAATGTATGGAACAACGAAAGGAATTCATGGAAGCTTTGCTCTAAAAAAAAAAAAAACTAGCTTTATCTTACGTTCTTTGTTTTTTTTTTTCATAGTTTGAATACGCAAAAAGAGCCATCAGCATCGTGCAAAACCACAACAGCTCCCAGCCCCTGTTCTTGTACCTGGCGTTCCAAGCACCACATACTCCTCTTCTGGTATGTGTTCACGTGATTTACTACACGGATTATTTAAGCTTGGAGAAAAGTGAACTTTCTCTGAGATTTTAATGTCACATTTAAACTTTCTAGGCACCCCAGGCTCTAAAGGACAAATACCCTGGTACCTGGACGTACACAGACGAAGGTGGATCGACGGTCACTACAGATAGATCTACATTTTACGGTTGGCTTACATGTTTATTTAGCTTGTGGCTGTTAAGAAAGCAACATGAATGAGAAATGGAATAAATATAATATTTAAACGTCTTATTTTCTAATAGAAACATTAGCATGAAAATATCAAATCATGCATTACATTAAATATACCTTTAATCCGAATAACTAATTTTAAACTAAAAAGCATTTTTATTTGATAATTAGATAAAAACTACGTGAATACATGTAAGAAAAAATTAAATGTCTTTGATATAGAAAGGGTAAAAAATACATCAAGAGAATCAAGTTTAACAAATTAAATTGCCCAGGCTGATACGTATTCAGTTTTCTTTTTTTATTGCAGGACATTTTGAAGTTAATTGAATATAGAGTAAATTCATGTTTTGTAGCTATGGTGACTGCGATAGACCAGGCTGTTGGCGACCTCCACACCGAGCTGGAAAAATTAGGACTCCTTGAAAACGCCATCATCGTGTTTACCTCCGACGTACATATTTTCTTTATTTACACCTGGCCTGTGTTATACATTGATAGCAATAACTTGCTGAAAGTTATTAACCATTTTCGATAGAATAATGATTAGATAATGCATTTAAATCATGCATTTGAAATATGCTTTTATGAATTTTTATAAATAATTAAATGTGAATTGTTACATTGATTCTAAAATAGGTCTTTTGATATTTCTTAAGATATTAACTGCAGAAAACATTATGTCCTAGAGGTACATTTTTACAGTAATTAAAATGGGTTGTTAATTTTTATGTTCAGAATGGCGGACTGCCTAAAGAAGGAGGATTCAATAACCCCTACAAGGGGACCAAGGGCACCTACTTCGAGGGTGGAATTCGTGTTCCGGGATTTGTGTATAGCAAAAACTTACTTACCGTGTCCGGCTACAGAAACCAAGAGTAAGTTATAACCTTGGCTTATATTCTCTCCGGCTTCAGAACACAGGTACTTGTTTCTGTAATAATTTTTTTAACCCATAGTACAATAATAACACAAGGTATCCAACTCCGGCTTCAGAACACAGGTACTTGTTTCTGTAAAAAAAATTTTTAACCCATAGTACAATAATAACACAAGGTATCCAACTCCGAATTACACGGAGTACCCCCTCCCTCAGAATCGCACTCATTTACAATTTCAGAGAACATGCACTGGCAAACTGTTCATGTCTATGTCTTCTACGATAATTTATCTACACAACCGTATATGGCATGCTTGTCTTTATTTTCTTTTATCTCCGTAAACAACGTCAAAACTCTGCTCGTCGAGTGGAAAAGTCGAATTCAACCATGAAATGGTATGTGCTATTCCCGGGCAGAGAGCAAAATTAAAAAAAATCAGTGGGTTTGAAGATTCAATCCCAATGAATAGATAAAATTTGTTTACCTCTCATTTTCCATAAAAACACTACAAAATTTTTCTGATGTAATTTTAGAAACAGATCTTTAGCCAATCAAAATCTTTGCCAGTAAATGAGTGCGATTCTGAGGGAGGGGGTACTCCGTGTAATTCGGAGTTGGATACCTTGTGTTATTATTGTACTATGGGTTAAAAAAAATTATTACAGAAACAAGTACCTGTGCTTCAGAAACCAAGAGTAAGACATTAACGTGGCTAATATTCTCCCTATTCACATTTAAGTTATCGCTGGAAACTAATATTGAATTCAAGGTAAAGAATGAGTTTGACCGATCTGTTATATATAGTTTATTCAAATCACTTTTTTTTATGATACTAATCAATTGTTACAATATATGCTCTTTCAGAATGCTTCACGCAAGCGATTGGTTACCTACCTTCATCAGTCTGGCTGGAGGAAGCGCAGGTTGGTACTTTCCAAAAATGGTAAAAAAGAAAAAAAAGATCCGACACTTCAACAGACTTTTAATTTATTAAACTATCAGATTCTTATCCAATATCCAACACTATATACACATGTATGTAGATCTGCCTTCCTCACTGAGAGAAGACATATTGGTGATGACTTGGTTGTATGTCTGACACTAAATTGTGTCTAGACCTTAAATTGGATTAAAACCTTGGCAAGTTTTCTCCATAGCCTAAAGATGTGTCATTTTGACTGAAGGTCATATTTTGAAGTTCAAGGTCACTGGACAATAATCTGGATATTTTGTGTGGAGAATTCAAAATTACTACAGTAACTGGGAATAATATTTGGTATTTATAGTAATGAAACATTTCTAAGGAAATAAATATTCCACAACTGATTAAAATATTATCAATTAAGCTGTTCCCTATCCTCCTTGTGCCTGGTGTCACGTTGGCGTCTCCACTCAACAGCAGCAACCAAAACGTTATCAATAGCATAACATTGTTTTATTGATTTAATTAAAGACACGTCTTTAAAACCATTATAGTGATGGCCAGGAGTATATGCAAGGAGTATGAATAAAGAAGCAAAGGGGAATCCATTTTTTCTCAACATCTCGTTCTATGTGATTTGTAGTCATTGTTCATGTTTTCACCAGATTTGGCGTCAGACAGTGATTTAGTGGATATTGATGGTGTGGATCAGACTCAGATGTTACTTAACAATGGAGTATCAGCAAGGTCTAAAATTATTATCAACATCGACGACCTGAAAACTAGATCAGCAATCTTTGGTATCATGTATGTAGACTTTTGTTAACTCTCTAACTGGCATGTTTTCTTCCTGGCATAAATGTCAGTTTTCCTGTTGATTGTTTGCCTTGCGTCCCGTCGAGAATATTTTCACTCATGTTGGACAACCACCAGTTACCGGTGGAAGGCTGTAAATTTAGAGATGTTATATAGCCATTGAACAGTGACGCATCTTTTTGTGCTGGCATCTACTGCGAAACAGTTTATACGGTTTCATTCGAAGGACTAGTCTCCACGTCCCGCAGTGGAATTCGAACCCGCGACATAAGAATCAACCCCTAACTCCGCGACTCTAGACTAAGTTAGGGATATTTACAAAATACAGAAATTAGGGCAATTCTTTTTATTAACGTTGTTTTCTTATTCAAATGACAAGGACGTTATATAGTTTTATAATATCTGTTTGTCATCATTGTAGTAAACAATATGGCACAGACGTTTGGAAATACGTTCAAGGAGACATTGGAACAAGAGATATGGTCTACACTGCGACAAAAGTCAGCAAAAAGAGGAATTTTCTACAGCGGCTAATGGACTCACTGAGGCGGAAATTGCCCAAAAGAACAAATCGGGCGATCACGGACAGATACCTGTTTAAAATATCTGGTATATACATTACGGGAATATGTATATGTCTAATGTGTACTTCTTTCTCACTCAAAATTAAAAAAAAACATTTTTTGTATATACGGCGACCCTTTTCTTATATTCAGTCCATGAAGCAATGTTCTTCTATTACTGTGGGGTCATTTTTAATTCTTGGGGATCAAGAAAATTTTACGGTTCGCGGGAACTTAATTTCGATCGTGGCTTACTCGAATACTGTGAAATCACATATTTTCGTTGGGTCAAATATTTGAGGTTTGAAGAAAAGATGTTGGTTCGGGGGGATTTGATTACGTAGTTGACGAAGAGTTGAGTAGTTATGTATATGAAATTTTGCATTTCGTGGTGGACTTGAATTCGTGGGTCTCTTCATACCTCGAAAACAAAGAAAACAAACTCCACGAAAATTAGTGATTTGTCAGTATAAGGGAAATTCAGTGAACTGGTGCAATAGGAAAGTTTTTGTTCGTGGGGATGTTAATTCGTGAGAATGGGTGACCCACGAAATCCACGAACATTTTTACCCCATAAACAATGATGATTCCACAGTATATATGTAACTCTCTAACAATAGGAACAAGGAGTATTTTATAACAAACTACCGAAAATACTCCTGTGTACTTTATGTGAAGTCAGATTTAAGTCAGAATTTAAACCAGTATAATTATATTTTTTTTAATTAGACGATGTCACCGAAGATGTCAACCTGTACGGTGACTCATCCTCCGAAATTCAAAATATCCTAGCAGACTTACAACAAGAAGTAAGAGCTGAGAAGCGGATTGCGGTGGACCCAATAAATCCGTACGAATGTAGCAACGCTAACAACAAGGTCGACGGATTCTGGACCGCAGGGGCGGGGGATGGATGGTGTGGTTGTACGTAATAATCCCCACTGAAAATAAAAAATATTCTTCTATGATTTAAGAGTGTGTTTTTTTTTTAAAATTTCCTTGTTATTAGGTGGGAATATCTTGAATAGTCCTTGAATGCGATGGCATGATTTTATTCCAGACCCAAGCTAATTGCTCTGTTAGTGGCTATGAGAAGATTTTATTCGACAATTCGCATTTTATACTTTATGACGATGACAAATCTATGAATACTGTCATTCTCGCTTATATTTTTAAATAATTGCTCGTGTCTCTAAGAAACTAAATATATATGTAATTTCAAGAAATTTTGTATCTTTCGTTATATATGCGTTATCTTACCTTGCACTCTTCAGTCCAGTAGTCGTTGTCTCACACCATTATTGCATGAGAGAATTTAAAAGTTAGACCACAATTTACCTTAATTTTGTTTTTTTTTTTTTAATCATCCGATTTATTCTATCATTGCTCTATAGTATAATATATGGTCAATAAAATATTTATGCAAAAGTAAATGTGTATACATGTATGTTCTTCTTTGTTTTGACAACAATGCTGCCGATATATTAAAAATTAATGATTCCATATAACATTGGATCCATTAAAAAAATCTATGGAAAAAATACAATATAGCATGTATTATTGATGGGGTTGAGATGATAGAGAAACTCTAATGTTACAAAAAGCATTCACATTAACACCAGAAAACAAAAATATCAACTAAAAAAATAATACTGATAATGGAGGTTATCTTCGCTAACCCTCTTTATATTAACGTTTACCCTCCCACTATGGGGGGAATAGTGATGTGCATAATGGATGATTTAAATATCAAAGGTGATGGTTTACACGAAGATTCTTCGTTATCTTTGAGTGTAACATGAAAAGAACACCGTGTAAAAATATCGATTGATGTGTCAAAATAATTTAGAATTGGTTATTAATTTAGTTTTGTGTTTGCTTAAAAAAAGCAAAGAGTTAATATTCATTATTTGATAATCCTCCTCAGTCATTTATTAAAACACTCACCTCAGCTTTATACCCACTGCGCACTTTATCCTGCAAATAGGATTTTCAGGAATCTATGGCTCATTTGGAAAGGATTAAAAATTTGATACTTTTTTTGGATAACATAACACAAACTTAATTTCCTTGGACATTAAATCATTGTGTAATCATACAATATCGAAGTATAAATTTTCTTTTGTCTTCCATCTGTTTGTTTGTTTGTTTGTTTGTGTTTTGTAAATGAGAAGACGAGAAAAGAGACCTGTATCCCTACCAAAGAGGTTATTCGTATAATTACTGTGATATAGGTAACTAATACGGTTAAATATTTTATATGTCACCATCGTTTTACCTAAGTATATGTATGGTCCTTGTTGAAAACTTGCGGAGGCAAGATTAGAGCTCAGAGATTAAATTCCAGTCTTTTCCAAAATTGATTTTAAATAAGTTATATTTTATCTTCTCAAAAATAAGTAATGAAAAGTAACTGTCACATCTGTAGTTGAATATACATGTAAACTGTTGTTAATTGCAACTGGAAGAGCGATAACAAGGACGAGGCAATAGCTATTTTTTTTCGAAATTGCATAAAATATTACTTTTTGATTCAGCACAAATCAAATAAACCTTTATAATTATTCAACTGCATTCAAGTAGGGCTTACTTTTTACGACTAGTTCTTTAGAATTCTACAGATCCTGACAACACAGTCAGTAGTCAGATATTTTTTCCCCATTTAATCCAGAAAGACAACCATTGGGGATGAAACATCCCAGGCATTTCTTTTGTCGAGGTCCAGACTTGTTTCTTTTCTATCCAAACGCAGGGGGGATGACAGATTCCAAAAGTGTTACCACCCATTTTATCCCCTTTGACACTTGTAAGCGCCTCTTTTATTTTGCTAACAGCAACTCAGGGACAAACTTTTTTAACCAATAATGCAGCAGTACAGGATAAAACGGATGACAACTCGTAATTAATAAAACAAACGGTACCAAAATAAACACAACCTTGGTCCGGTTTTATTTCTTTTATCGACGTTTATATGACATCCCTATAACAACCATTTTTTTATCTTAATCTTTTCATGACGTCTGCGCATATCGAACGTTCAGATAAAAATTAACAAAGGATTCAGAGGGAGAGAGCAAGGTCTTCCGCGTACTAATCTATAGGTAAGAAATAGTACCAATAGTTACTGTATTTATAAAAGATCTTAAAAAGTAAGTTTTGTATAAAATATGAAAATATATATTAACTAAAGGATTCTTGTCTGCTTAAAACACTCGAATCAACATTTTAAAATAAAAATGACATGTAATATGGGCACTATATAATATGAAATATTTTGGTATAGGGAAACTTGAATAAAGAAGAGAAGAAATATGGACTGCATTGCTAAAATCTTGGTTTTGGTCATTCTTTCTATCCTACTTATTAGTGACAGACCAGGCGTAAGGAGTTGTAAGAAAAATATCCTTATTTTTATTGGGTTTTTAGCTAAGATGGTTTATTTGTATCCAACAGAAATACGTAAAAAAAAGTATTATTACTTGCAATCATTAGGTGAACCACCTATGACAGTCTCTGTGACAAGATGCTTCTGAGCATTTCTTGGTAAAAGATCTTTTTTTTTTTTTTTTTTTTACTTTTCTTTATGTCTTATCAATCAAAAAGAGAAGGTTATATTCTGCATGCTATAACTTTTTGAAGTAAAGTGTAAAAAGTGGGAAAAATAACATTTGAAAATCCATTTTACGAAAAGAAATACTATTAGAACTAGTGAATAAGATTATGCATTTTTTCGGTCTAAATTCTACTATAAAAGTTTTATCAAACTTGTGCTGATCTTTAGACGTAATTTTGATTTGAATTAAAGGTAACATTTGTACAAGTTATATATTTTTTTTTCATAATAGCTTCAACAGCAACGACCCCAAATACCACATCAGGTAGTATGTGTTTATTAAAAAAACATAAACTGTCAAAACTATGGTTAAACTATCTAAGAGCTTTATCTTTTTGATTTTCCCTAAAGATTGAACTGGTCATAAAATTATTGAGATTATGGGTATTATTTTAGGTGGAACTACAACATCTACAACTAAATTGCCGAATGCCACAGAAGCAGGTACTTTTAAAAATACTGTTCAGAAAGCTATCAAGTTTGTAGAGATGATATAAAAAATTTCCTAATTGTTGCTAACTTAAGAGTACATCGTCAGAAACCTACAGCTGTTGAGGCTGCAGTACATTTCCTCCATCACCTATGGAAAGATGAAAAACAAAACAAAACAAAAAATATATGCCTACTGAATTCGTAATAAACCTTTTTATCTTTTTTTTTCACCAGCGTCTTCAACTACAACAACGTCTATTTCAGGTATTGTACACTAGTGTAAACATTTCATTTTTTTTTTCATTTTAAAGACAACTTTTCGCTCCAATTTTAATTCGTTGTCTTCTTTATACTTAAAACTCTTTTATTTTTCAAAGATAATTCTCACAATCCTCGAAGTTTAACAGCACTTCTGTGGAGCGAAAATAAAGTTGCAGCAAATTAAATGTTTAACATGGTTCTTAAATTTACAAATACGGAGTATAAAGAAAACTTCTAAATATCACATGGCCTCAATAGTTTATTCTCCCATTAAGGTACTACCACAAAAAACCATTCCAGTAATGCAAGTTCCAGCCAAATAACAACATCAAGTGGTGTATCGTCATCTGTCAACAGTACACGGGCATCAGCTGTGACGTCTTCCACCCAAAATGGAGGAAATATTTCTAGTATTCCTAAATACAACTTATATCTGTTTTTGCCATTAGGACTCCTCTTTTTGAGATAATTTGGGAAATACAAACTTGTGTGTTTTTCACTACTCTATGACGCGGGTTACAAACGCCGAATGAGTAATTATATGTAATGTTATTAATTTCTTTTTCGTGATTATTTACATCGGAATTACCTAAATCATTGTATTGTAAAATGTATTTCATAAAACAGGTACAGTACAACACTCTGTTGGAGGGGGGGGGGGGTGTTGACTAATTATAAATTTAGTGGTTTGCATCTTAAAATATATGAATTTGTGCAGAAGTTTTTAAGCTTTAATTTTCTGACATGTTAACTAAATGTATGCTTTAACTTAAGAGCCATTCTCTGTAATGGCTTGAACTTTTATATAGGGGTTGTAGCACGTGTAGTCTCAGAATTTCTCCAAGCTCTCTCTGATGAAAGTCTTTGATACCATAAACTCAAATCAGGCGAATATTGGTTGGTATGTGCCATGGTTTCCATGGCAAAAAGCCCTAAAGTTTAAAAAATGGGATTTTTGAACATGTTCAGAGTCCCATAGTTAACGTTTGTAGCATTCAAATTCTTTTTGCGACATTTGTATTAGCTAAATGTGTGCTTTATTTTTAAAATTATCATATCTAGGGCGTCTTTTCTTGGGTTCTAGATAAGATTAAATTGCAGAATGCACCCCTACTTAAACTGAGTTTAGATTATAACTGAGTTTAGAAACTTGAAACAGTTTCATCATTTCGTAATATCTAGCTCGATAATGCGAGGTATTTTAAATATGGATTAAAAATTTTATAAAATTAAATAAAATTCTAAATATAAGTAACAGTTATACATAATATGCCTAATACAAAAGATCATTCAGTTCATTGTATACGCACACCTTGACTTCTTGTATGGAGAGGGTACATGTATTTATAGGCATTGCATGCCTATTGTCCAATCTATTCAATGTACTGAATAAATATTGTTTAAATTAAAAAAATGATTATGATAGCTGTGGATCCGGTTTATCTCAGCATTCAATGTCTTCTAAAGATAACATCAAAATGTTAGAATTCAAATGGCGTGTATTGTCAAATCAAATCTTTCAATTACGTACGTCATTTATCAACTTCAAATCACATGCAATTTCCAATAAAAAAAAAAAAGAACACATGGAAGATCAATTTAGGAATCAGAATTTTCAGGTTTTTTGGCTCCTTTTTGGAATTATGCATGGAATTATTTCTCAGCGAGCTTGAAATAAAAGATACCACAGAGTCTGACACAACTGTTTCATATTTGGATATTTTACTAGAAAAAGACTTTAATGGTAATCTAACAACAAAGCTTTATGATAAACGTGATTACTTTAACTTTTCAATTGTCAAATTCCCTTACTTATGCAGCAATATACCCCTATCACCTGCATTTGGGGTATATGTCTCTTAAGTTGATTCGATACGCAAGAGCATGCTGTACGTAATATGAACAATTTCTAAAACGAGGTAACTTATTGACAAACAAGCTGATGAAACTAGAATTTCAACAGTCTCGTTTAAAGTTATCATTTCGTAAGTTCTATGGTTGATACAATGACCTTGTCAGCAAATACAATCTATCATTAAGTCATATGCTGACTATCGTTTTTCATACTTATTGTTAGGCCATTATTTATATTTATGAATTGTCGACGGATTTTTCCGTTATTTCCTGATATGACAAGGAGCACACGGCGGGTATGACCGGTCGGCAGGGGATGCTCACTCCTCCATGGCACCTGATCCCACCTTTGATGTTTTTGGAGGTCTGTGTTTGATGATTGATCTGCTCCCGATTTGTATTTTTTCAATGGACTTTGAGCTTGAATACTGTTCGTTATCTCCATATATTTCATCGAAATATAAGACATCAAAAGATTTTTGGTAAAAAGAGAAAATCTGTACAAGTAGATATCATCTATGTTGTGCACTTAATGTGAAATTAATTGAGACTTCTATCACAGAACATTTTAAACAGTTGTGATTAATCTTTAACTTTACTATAGTGATAAATTTGAAACTTTGATTTATTATAGTTAACTATAATTTTCTATAGTAATTATTGTTAGGGCTTTGTGAAAGTTCAAGGGGTTATGTTGAAGATAACTGAAGATCGATTCATTTTCAAAATTACCCCACCCTTTTCAAAATGGTCCCTTTCTGGGTATTTAATCTTCTTCTTACTTCTTCCATTATGGAATTGCACTCATACTTGAGTGTTCAAAACCCGACAGCGGACAGGAGGCTCAACATAATAATCATTTAAACAGTTTCAAAGGTTTTTCTACCATTCTTCTAAAAGTTTTTTTGTCAAAATTAACTCTTACCTAGAGCATGAAATTTTGAATCAGGGGACATGAATTTTACATTAACCCGTACTTTGTTTATGCAAGCATTTTATCTGTCATATGAAAACCAATCTAAAGAGATATAAACCCTCACTGGGATATGTTCACAATTTTTGTACTTGTATACATGTACACGGGTCAGTACTAATTATACTCATGTAAATGTTTTAATGTCAAAGAGATACAGCTTTGCATGGAAATAGACTAGTACAAGAAGGTTACGGTAAAGGACTGCATAATACTTATGTGCAAATTAAAATCATGCTAGCAAACTGAATGCAAGATTTGAAGAAATTGAAAAGAAATTTAGTGACTCACCTCTAAAGCTTAAAGGAGGAGTAAAGCCTGAAATGCATACCTGTATTTTTGACTTCCCTTCCCTCAAAATTTATATAAAGAAATGTGTAAATATTGATTTATAAGTCCCTTTTAGCGGAGTTGCTTAGATGTTCCGGCAACTTATGATGACGGATATGATAACATTTGTGAAACTTCAAGTCCACCGATATTTATATGTCGAAAAGCTATTCAATGTTTGAATTACAGCCATCATAATCTTAGTCTATTATATCATAATAAAGACGTATCCAGAGACAGTAGTAGAGCACACACCTATATTGTTGAAAGTCAGTATGATTAGTCCACTACAAACACAGAATATTCTCAGGACTTTCATGTGTTTAGCAGAGAACAATTAAGATCGTTAAACTGTTGTTAGAAACATATATCTGATGGCCCCATGTATTTTTAAAGCATCTGTAAATTGGTTACTTTGATGGCATCCCAAACAGGGTCTCTGTTGGTGTTTTTTGTTGAAGTATTTGAAATCCCGCCAATTATCTGTTGTACAGCATACCGTATAAGTGGAATATTTAGCGAGACGCAAATTTAGCGGTTTATCCCAAAAAAATTGGTATATATTTACAGCGAGAAGTAATTTTTAGCGATTTTATAATGTCAAGAAAGATTTTTAACAACCGATACAGGTTAAATTGTTGGCGATATTCAATTTTAGCGATCTCCAAACCCTCGCTAATAATGCCAAAATTGAATCCTCGCTAAAAATTCTGCTTATACAATATTCAAATCAGAACACAATGAAGATGGATAGTATGCTTTTAGTTGAATTTAAGAAGTTTTTTGGAATTATTTTTGTTCGTGGAGGACTTGTATAATAGTGGAATTTGCGGGTCACACCTACCCGTGAATTTCCATCCCTACAAACAATAACTTCGACAATATATCGGTTCGTTGAATTTTCTGTCATTTACCAAAGAAATAACGTTCTCTCAAACGAGTAAAATTCTGATTGCCCCTCCACGAATTAAAATGACTTCAATGTATACACCTTTTTATTTATTAGTATTATTAAACATTACATCATGATAAAGGTATTCTTGTTATAAGAATAAGATCGTCAGTAAGGACGCAAATCGACAAACTTCATTCAATTTCGTTTCTGACACTAAACGTTGAATCAAGCATTATTTAAGAATATAATTAAGCATCACACAGCAATATATTTGATAAAAGTATTGATTGCGTGCCCGATCTTATTTATTATCCCCAATTTCACTGAAATTAATTTGCTGAGTGACACCATAGAGATATGCTTGGAATAAATTCCTGTTATTCTTCGGAGCAACGATAAAAATTACATTGAACACATTGCTTTGAATGGAAATATAAATATGTTCAATTTGAAATGCTAAACTATTTTTGAAATCTTATAAATATTTTTAATGGCATTTGCTTGTTTAAAAGTCTTCAAAAAAGCATCACTTGATTGTTTCTAAAATGTACATTTATTACCGGAAAAAATATGTGCTGTTTAGGGGATCATCTGATCGTTTTTAAATATAATTGAATAGAAATAATACTGATGAGTGATACTTCACTTTTGTGTGGTTTTTTTTTTTTTTTTTTTTTAAATTTCGATTTGATAATGAACATGCACACATACTTCTTATAAGTGAATTCCGTAAAATGCATTGCATTCTTCCCGAATTATTGAATAAACTTTAAAAATTGTTAATTTTCAAAATCCATTACTTTCTTTAAGTAAATAAAATAATAATAATAAAAATACTAATGATAATATATATTTTTTTATTTGACAAAAATTTACTCACTTTTTCATTTTGACAAGAATATATGGCAATTTCTATTTACCAAACTGTGCATTTTCCCACACACAATTTTGTGTCTTAAAATCAAACACAGTACCTCCAACACAGGACTGAACCCATGCATTTAGTCCAGTGTCGCAGTGAATATATTTGTGGGGGTCTGGATGAGGAAACATGGTGATGCCTCGGTCTATTTGGTCTTGGATACAGGGGTTGGACGATACATGCGTATCTTCAATACAAGCATGATTGTTTTGGTTCCATACCAATCTCTGTGGGCAGTTCATGACCCATGCATTCCCCCATACGTCGCAATGGATGAATTTTGAGTTATCTTTGCTATACGGAAAGAACATTTCTTGGTTTGCTAGCGACTGCGCAGTGCAGGGATTTTTCACATCCGGGTCAAGCGGGATCTTGTCTCCAGTATTGGTGGTTGTTGAAGACCCGCACGAATGAGAACCCTGTTAGATCGAAAAGAAAATAAAAACATTCAAAATATTTCAAATTGAAATATGCACATAAGTAACCTGAATATTCTCAAATAATTTGATAGCTACATGGAAAGACATATTAATCTGTTTGTCTTCATTAAAACAGTACCGTACCTGTGAATACCGTTCTCCCTGCGGACATTGAGTAATGTACATCTTATGCTGATAATCGCATTTGATAAACTTTGTATAATCATATGGATGAGCATGGAAAAGCTCGTTATTTTGAATAGCTTCTGTGGTACAAGGGTTAGGCACCGGGGCCCCATCCAAACCTGAAATATACGTACAATTGAATATAACGATTTTAATCCATTCAACAGACCTCAACCTTAGGACTAACTTTTATTCTATAAGAAAGCAAACATTTGAAGGGTAGTATTGAATTTCCATTAAAAAGGCTACCTGAGGAACTACATAGGTAATCCTTATACTTCTCATGGAGCTGAAAGTCAAGTTTTGTACATTCACGCTCATGTCCGTTTTGGCGGCATACTATCTCTATTCCTGAAATGAAATTTGACTCTTGTGGTGGGTGTTGACATAACAATTGTGTTAACACCAAATATTTTGAGCAGAAAAAGGAAACAGAAGTTTCTGAAGAGACTGTAGCTCTACTGGTGTGTACTTATAAAAAAGAAAGATGTTTTTTAGTATAATCTACTTGTGTAAAAAGTCTAATCAGACCAAAAGTGTAGGAGGAGTTGCGTTTTCAAGAAATTTAAAGAATTTTCTATTTTTAGTAACCATGGCACAGAGTTTGTCGAAATCCAGGACCGTTATAGGGAATTATAAGGAATAGTCTACTTCTCAACAAAGTCCTATTGAAATTGTATCAAAACTGTAGGAGAAGTAGCGTTTTGAAAGAATTTCAAAACAATTTTTATTTTTAATAATCATGAAAACATCATTCGTTTATCGATTATCAATCGATAATTGTGTATCTTGTTATTGTCTATTTGTGTACCAAATCTCAATGAAATTGGCCGACCACTGTAATACAGAAGCGTTTTGAAGGAATTTCAAAGCAACCAAATCAATTTATAGCAAACATGGCGACACCTTCTATCAAAATTTAAAAAAAAATCGAATAAAAATAAATAGAATGTATCTTAGTGTAGTCTACTTGTTTACTAAGTCTCATTGAAGTTGGACCAAAACTGTAGGGGGAGGAGTATTTTGAAAAAAAAAATGTTTACAGACAGACGGACGGACGATAGAACCTTACCAATGTAAAAATCATTCTAGTCACTGACCAGTAGAGCTAAAAATTAAGATACTCTAATTTTACATCTCTCCCATATGAAGACACCAGAAATTTGAAGTGAAGTGCCAGATTAGCAGTGATTGATCTTTGGCGTGCCAACACCTAACTTACAATGTAGTAAACCTCTTAAAGTGTCTAGCGAAGAAACAATAATTAATCTCTAGTTCTAGATCAAACCGCCATAAAAACAGGTTGTTTTCCCCCACTCACCTGATTTGTTAACGTACGTTATCGTTGTCACGTAGTGAGCGTCGCTGCAGTTTTTCAAGTCAGCTGCGTGTTCAGGCAAGCGTGTCCCAACATACGTCATATACAGTGGACGTCCATCTTTGGTCTTATTCAGGATAAGTACAGCAGGGTGGTTGTCCGTAGCTGTCACTTTGTTATTATAGAGAGCTGCACTAGGGTGGGGGTTGTCGTAGGACATGTACACATGGACTATTCCACAGTTTACTGTCAACTATAAGAAGACATTGCACTATTGTGCGTGTACGTTTGTTTCAACTTTGGTGGGATTCTAGCATGACTTAAATTGTATTCTCGTTATATGGATACTGGTATTTTTGAATGGTTTACATAGAATTTTTCACAGCAGATAAATATGAAGATTTACAAATTTAATAAAATATCCAAAACAATGCAACCGATTTTTGGACTGTATCTTACTTGCATCACACTGTCTAAGCCTGTATCATTCCCTGTGTTGTTTGTGGATACGGCAAATGTCTTTATATCTGTTTTGTTTTGGCTTAGGTGCTGTGTTATTATGTGTGTATTTGGTTTGGTAGTATTGGTTCCGTTGTCTGTCTGAGACGGACCAATAACAACTGGTGCTAGGAGAATGAAAACGACTAATTGTTTGTTTGTTTGTTTGTTTGTTTGTTGTTTAACGTCCCTCTCGAGAATTTTTCACTCATATGGAGACGCCACCACTTGCCGGTGGAAAGCTGCAAATTTTGTCCTATGCTCGGCACTTACGGCCACTGAGCAGTGAGGGGTCTTTTTCGTGCCAACACCTACTGCGACACGGGACCTCGGTTTATACGGTCTCATCCGAAGGACCGGTCTCCACGTCCCACAGTGGGATTCGAACCCGCGACGTAAGGATCAACTCCTTACCTCGCGACTCTAGAGCAGACGCTCTAACCACTGCGCCACGCGGGCGACGCGACTAATTGTAAAAATTGATTCAGCTGGAGTGTGAATACATCAAAATGGGAAACGCTTGTACAGTAATTCATTAAATTTAAAAACTCACGCTGTTTCATCAACTTCAAAATGATATGATCCGATACTGCGCGACGTGATCTTTTTAGAAAATTATTACGCGCACAAATGATTTTTTGCCTCTTGTCCAAAATTATGATGATTTAAAAAGAAAAATAGAAATTTAAAACCTCTTTTCTCACCAGGAAAAGGGAGGTTCATTAAATTAAATAGCATTTTGGCAATGTATGCTATTCGCAATGCTAGATAAAATAGCAATTAAGATTACGTAAGTTTGGTTTTTACAGAAATAAGGTTGCGAAACAATACTATTTAAAACATCCCATGATTCAACAAGTTTCAGATATTCGTCGGAAGACTGAAATGCGTGGTATTCAATTTTTTCGATAATTAATATTCTTGATTTTTTTTCAATATGTCAGAATCAATATATTCAAGTAATTCATGATATCTTGATGTATGTGTCCAAAATAATATTTTTAAAAAACATTTTGTAACGCGTATCAACTATATTTTCAACTGAAATTAGTTGCAAATGCGCAAATTCAAACCATTTCACTTAAATATAATATAATATAATATAATATAATATAATATAATATATAATATAATATAACCTTATTACTGCAGCAAAAATTGCCATAAAATACCTCTGCAAGCTGCCTTTTGAATTTCGTAAATGAGGCTGTCAATGTCAGAAAATCCCGACAGAAAAAACACATGTGTGCAGTTAGGGTCGCTTGCCAGTGATTCTAGTTCGTCATCACAAATGCTACCAATTCCGAGAGCAAAAAGGACTATACCGTCATCTTTTGCGTACTTTGACTCGCGAACTGTATCGTATATGTTCGAACAGCCATCAGTGATAACTAGACCGACTTTTGTTGAACTCGAGCGTGACCCAAAGCGAAAGACAGATTCTCTGGCCAAACGAATTCCTGCGGCAATATTTGTACCGCCACCTGTGTAATTTGTTTTGTTGATGGCAACATTCAGATCATGGTGGTTACTGTAGGTACCAAATCCGAATTCCAAATTTGCCGAAGAATCAAACGTCAAAAGGGCTACTTCTACTGCTCGTGGACCGATCTCAAATTTTTCAGTTACATTTTTTACGAAGTCGAGCATGACAAGAAAGTCATCCCTTCCGATGCTTCCCGATTCGTCCAGAATAAATCCAATATCGATCAGGCAGTCAACTACAAGTACAAATGTATTCATAATAAAGATGGTGTAACTTAACCATAACCGTATAATAAAGTTATGATAATTACAACGGAATATGACAATAAATAAACCCCTATAAGCTTCATTAAATTGCTTACCATTGGGTATATTTTGAACTTGAGATATAAAATAGTCTGATGATTTTTCTGGATGATAATAATTATTCCAAAACTCAGCTTGTCTTTCCAAAACACCAGGTGTGTTTTTCCCAGCCCTTAACAGTAAAACCAAACTGGCAGCAAGTCCTGAGTACAGTGGTTTTGTCAGATCTCTCCATTTCACAGTTTCCCATGCTATGTTCAGCTTTTGGTGGATGATTTTGTATTGCTCTGTTAGACGATAATTTTGTTTAGTTGCATCAAAGCCTGACTCCTCTACCTAGGATGCAAGACAAACGTTACACTGGAATAGTAAAAGGGAAAAGTGACCTGTATCAACTAACTCGTATGGTATATCAATTTAGCTGACAACAACTATCAGAAAAAAGCAAACCTGCCATATTCCACCATAAAAGTTTGGTCTAAAAGTATTGTGGTTTAATCCATCGTTTGATTCAAGGTACGCCAGTCGCCTCAGAAACAATCTGTCGTTTGGGTAGATACAATTTTCTCTTATAATATCTACCACGGCCTGAACAATGTCTGGCCCCACGGCACGATCCTCCCTTGTACGGTCAACGGAGAAGCATACGTTTGCAGCGGTTATCAAACAGAGGAATACAAGAAACATCTTGTAATGAAGGCCCATTTCGTAAGTGCAATTCATGTATTTATATGTGGACTAATGTTTGCAGACATAGGAGGAAGTCTACCAAAATGATACTGTTGTTAAGTGATTTAGAAATTTTTTTTAAAAAAAATATAGATGAGTCAGTTATCATGTCTGGTTAATCTCAGAAAGTTACATAATAGTATGATTACTTATAAAACAACACAATGTTATGTTTACATAATGCAAAAAATGCTAAGTTTGAATACTCTCGAGACAGTGCTTAGCACATTTTGAATGAATATTTCAATTTTTGTCTGCACATCAACGTTGCTTTTTTAAATTTTAATTAGATTTGATTATAATTTGTCATTACTAAAACTTAATAAAGGATGGCTTATTCCAACCCCTTTTTCACTGGAAGTGTATAGATTCTATTAACGCTGGTATTCTAGCTAGGTTATACTAAGTAGTATATGATGGGTGATCTGATTTAATGTCAATTTTATAAGAGAGTGTTACTTCTGAAATCTTTAAAAATTAATCATTGTACATGTATATTAATATTTGAGGTTTTTATGCCCCCGTAATCGAAGATTCGGGGACATATAGTTTTTGCCCTGTCTGTCCGTCTGTCTGTCTAGTTGTCTATCTGCCTGACTGTCTGTCCGCAAAAACTTAAACCTTGCTCCTAACTTTTGATTAGAGCCATGACTTTCATATATATATATCACATGTGTATTCCTTGTGACAAGACCTTTCTTTGAGTACCATCATTTTTGACCTTGACTTTGGAGTTTGACCCACTTTTGCTAAATTTTATCAGACTTTAACCTTTGCCACAACTTTTGAACAGTTGGTGCTAGGGCTTTTAAACTTCACATGTGCATTCCTTCTGACAAGGCCTTCCATCGGATACAGTCAACTTGGACCGTTTGACCTATTTTGGAAAAAACTTTAACCTTGACTTTCCTTGGAATACCAACAATTTTGACCTTGGAGTTTAACCTACTTTAAAAAAAACCTTAACATTGGCCATAACATTTGAACGTTTGGTTCTAGGGCTTTAATATTTCACGAACTTGTGACAAGACCTTCCCTTTGGCACCATTTGATCTTAACCTTGATGTTTTACTTACTTTTTGAAAAAAAAATTAACCTTTGCCATAATATTTGAACGGTTGGTGTTAGGGCTTTTATATTTCACAGGTATATTCCTCGAGACATTAAATTAACAATCCTGTAAGAGTTAAAAAAAGACAATCAGAGGGGAAAAACAAATCTAAATGCAGGAACTTGGTTTTGTAGAGAAACTTAAAAATAGTAATGAACATATTCAAAGATGTGTACAGTGTTAACAATAAACAATTATCTAACATACATTTTATTTTACTTTTAAAAACAGATGTATACTGTACAAAAATTCCGCATACCCTCACTTTGCGTTTTTATGTCTGAGCTCTTAAGTTTTTGCATACACTCCAATAGAAAATCTCTCAAAAGATATACTCTGTGGAATTGTTCTTGTCGCACAACCAGTTAGTGAATAAAAATATGACATTAAATCACTTATAATTCTACTTAATAAGATCATACGTCCACCAAAAATAAAATGCACGTATAGAATGAATTAAACTGGTCAATTTAGTTATTGTAAAGGTGTTTATATTGATAAAAATATTGTAACATTTACATGCAAGGAAAGTAATCTTTTACTAAGATCAGATATAGTATTTTAGTATGCTGTGATGAATAACACGTCATGTTACAATATACGAGTAGCAAACAATGAATCAAAATCAACCAACAACTGGATCCCATACGCAGTTCTGTGATGAAAAACTGAACTGAAGTCCACTAGTGCAAGACTGTACCCAAGGATTCAGTCCATTATCGCAGTGTATGTACTTGTGGGGGTCCTGGTGGGGAAACATCGTGATTCCTTTGTCTAACTGATCCTGGGTACAAGGGTTAGAGGAGGTGTGTGTATTCTCAATACATGTCTGGCTCTGCTGATTCCAAACTAAATTTGAAGCACATAGCATGACCCAAGCATGACCCCATACGTCACAGTGAATGAACTTTGTGTTATCTCTTGAGTATGCAAAGAAGAATTGGTGGTTCATCAGAGCTTGAGCAGTACAGGGATTCAACAAGTCAGAGTCTAGTGGAGTCTTGTCTTTAGATATTGTAGCAGTGGTGGATCCACAAGAATGGGAACCCTACAATTTATAGCATGTTTGTAAACATTAAGCACATTATAACGTGATTAGAGTTACCTCCGTTATTTTTCTGGATGGATGTATTCTGCCTTTATTTCTCTTATATCGCATCTTTTCATTTTGCTTTGTGTTGTAGACCTGGCTCAAGAATATGGGCACCGCAAAAAACCCAAACATGAGGTTGATTCGCTTACTAGCAAAAATTCGATTAAAGTACATTATATAGAAATAACTAGATGCTGTTATAAAACAGTACTAGTTATACCCGTAAATAGCTGTATTCTCATTCATATTTGGGTAACCAGGGAAGAAGCCACAATAATTCTATAATGAACACAAACAATATATATGTATGTATGATATTATGAAAAATGCTCATGGACCTCTGATATAATTATTTTATATAATGAATTCATTACCAGCCTGAAATTACAGAATCTAATAAAGTAAATTCTGACTCGGTTTTCATAGAAAAACGTTGTTTTTGATCCCCCTTCCAGGTTGAACATAAAAACTCCAAAATCATATCCCAAAAGATGAATGACTACTTCGAAAAGATGTAATAGGAAGTCTGAAAAGCACGATTTTGTAGAAAAACGTCGTTTTTTGACCCCCCCCCCCCCGATGAAAATCGAAATTTTGAAACCTTATTGCACAATTTCAGGACACTCCCAATCATATTCCTAAAAATGAATGGGCTGCTGCAAAATATGGAAAAACTGGAAACAGTTTTTTGTAGAAAAACGTTTTAACCCCCAATTCCCCCCATGGTGAAAATGATAATTTTAAAATCTTTTTTGCCTATGTACAGGGCACCTCTAATCATATTCCGAAAGATGAGTTGGCTGCTGCTTGAAATGTTGGCGTAGTTTAAGGATGAGGATAGTGTGACGACGGACCAGGATAACAACAATATACCCGAACTTTCTTCAGAAAGTGATGCATAGTATAAAAATGATTATCACAAAAACATAAAGACAGAATCTTTAAAGAATACATGTAATTCTTAACACCTGGTGATATCTTTCTCCACTGGGACACTGTGTGATGTACATTTTCTGCTGATAGTCACACTTAATAAACTTGGTGTCGTCATAGGGGTGCGGATGGTACATTTCATTCCTCTGTATAGCAGTGGATGTGCAAGGATTAGCAATTACAAGCTCGTTAATTCCTGGAAGTTAAGGAAGATTTTTTAGTCCTCTTTATAGCCAAGTTCTTTTTTAAACCGTGGGATATGTTTTACTTTATATACTTTATAGAAAGCAAAACACGTACCTCCCGTAGAACTGCATAAAAATTCCTTATACTTCTCATGCATTTCAAAGTCCAACTTGGTGCATGCACGCTCTACGTGATTTTGGCGGCAGACTATTTCAACATCTATTATTATAAAATGAATAAATATATATCATGTTAAACTTACCTTTGCACATTTAGTATTACTTAATAAATCCTAATTACAAGTATATAGAGGTAAAATACTTATTAAAGTAGGAAGTGTTGCATACATACATGTATACATATATACACCTGTTTTATTTTCTGTAGTAAAAATTGCCTGATATTTGGCATCGGTACAGTTTTTCAAGCCAGCTGCTTCTGGGGGAAGTTTTGTTCCTACAAAAGTTACATACAACTGGCGCCCGCCTACGGTTCTGTTAATGTAAAGAACAGCAGGATGACCATCAGTAGCCGTTAGTTTGTCATTGTACAGAACTGGACTGGGGTGGGGGTTGTCGTAGGACGTGTACACATGGACAATTCCACAATTCACAGACACCTTTCAAAGTAAGAGTAATCATCGACAATAAAAGTTCACATGGTGTAATTAAAAAAATGCATAAAATTTGTCAGAGATAGAAATGTTTCCGTCATTGTAAAGACCAAATGAACATTTAAAAAGAGATAATGAGATAATTACCGGTAAGTGAAAAAAAAATTGTGTCATGAAAGTGTGACGTTGTACTTTGGGTGTTTAAAGGAAACTTACATTCATCTTGATATTTGTGGAATTCTTGTTATTAACATTATGGATGTTAGTTGGTACAGATATTGTTGGGTTCGTGCCGTTGTCAGTAATGTTGCGTTCTAATGCAGGTGTCCCTTCATTTCCCGATGTTGCAGTCGGTGATATGGTTGATCCAAATATATCAGTCACTGTACCTGTTACGGGTGGCTTGGTATGATCAATATTTATCATCACTGGAGCTGAAATGTAAGAGGGGTACTCAATGCTGAGACGTATTCTGTTTGTATAAGATATGAATTTATGTGACAAATAAAATAATCAATTTTTAAAAATGTTTCATACCTCGACATGCAGCTTTCTTTATTTCGTACACTAGGGTATCAATATCGGAAAACTCGGTGATGAAGAAAACGTGAGTGCAGTTTGGATTACTTGCTACTTCATTTAATTCTTCCTCATTGATATTTCCTATTCCGATAGCAAAGAGAACAATGCCGTCTCCTTTAGCATACAAAGCTTCCTGGACAGTGCTATTAAAGGAATTGGAATACCCGTCAGTGATGACTAGACCAACTTTTGCTGCATTCGGTCTCGAGTTGTAACCAAAGACAGACATTCTAGCAGTACGGATGGCAGATGCGGTATTAGTTCCTCCGGCATCATACTGAACGTTATCAATTGCAGTGTTAATACCACTGTGTGTATTGAATTGTCCAAATCCAAATTCTACACGGGAATAATCACTAAAAGAGATGACCGCCACTTCAACTGCATTGAGCCCAATTTCGAATTGTTTTGTGGTATTTTTAACAAATTCCAGCATTCGCAGGAAATTTAAGAATGCAATGCTTCCTGATCCATCCAACATGAATGCTAAGTCTATCTGACATTTCTCTATGATTCAAAACAAATATAATCATTTTACACGTGAAATCTTATTGCTTATACATTGGGAAATGTATGAGTACTCAATTAATTAATTGTCGAATGCTCATAAATTTATTCAAATTTTATCAAAGACCGGTAGTTAATGACACAATTAAAAAAAAAAAATAAATAAACATGTCATATTCAAGTTTATCTTCAAAAATGGGGAAAAAAGTAAAATTAAAAGCCTTACCCTCTGGGATTTTGTTAACTTCCGTTATAAACTGAGAGGCAGATCGTCCTTTGTGATAGTTGTGTACCCAGAAATCTGCCTGCTTTTCTAGGACACCAGGAGTATTGTTTCCGACAAGCTGCTGCAGTTTCAGACTTGCGGCTAATCCGGAATACAGAGGTTTGGTGAGATCCTGCCAGACTGTTCTTCTCCAATCAATGTGAAGCTTCTCTTTGATAGCCTCACACATGTCTTCCAGTCCGTAGCAGTGTTTAGTGGATTCGAACTCTGATTTTTGTATCTGTTCAGGAAAGATGTAATACTGGCGTTCAGAAACATTTAACAATAGAGTTTACATACATTTAAGATTCCATACATACGATTTAACATATTTTTATTAAAATTTGCCAATTATCCCTGAGAAAAGTGACAGGATGACATCATATTTATGAATAAAATAATTATATACATATTGGAGAGTGATCAATGTTAGAACCATTTATAACCTGCCAGATTCCGCCGTAAAAGTGTGGTCTGAACGTATCCGTACTGAGTCCATCCTTTGATTCCACGAAAGCAAGTCTTCTGAGAAAGATTCGGTCATTTGGATAGATACAGTTTTCTCTAATAATGTCCACGACAGCCTGCACAATGTCTGCTCCAACTGCGCGATCTTCCCGCGTTCGATCGACAGCAGACGAACAGAATTTCAAAGACAATGCAAAAATTACTAACGCCAAAGAAAGGACTTTCTTGTTTTCATCCATCTTCCTGGTTTGTCAAAACTACTATGACTGATGAAAAATAGCGGTGTTGCAAAGATGTTTATTTGTTTTAGATAAATACCAGCACCTTATAAAAATAGAAATGTGTAAGTGACAGAATACAAATAGTGCAGAAAAAATCTTTATTTAAAAAAAAAAGCTTATCATTCGCATGCGATTTTCTTTGAGCCTTTACAAGTCAATGTATAGAGTTTGGATTCTATATTGAACTTTTATTAATATATTTGTTCCTTCCCTTTGATTTGGTAGGAAATTCACCAAAGATAGTAAAGTATTTTTTTTAAGAAATCAAATGGAAGCTTTCTCTTTCTTAATAAAAATTCCAAAAATGGTAACTTATCGCACAACTGCAATGGAAAACTTTTTTCTTCCTAATCTAAAAAAATTAAATTTTCTACCAGAGATAAAATAAGCTAGAATAATCTACATCAAATTCTTTCTGATTAAAATACTGGAAAAGAGAGATCTTTTGTTGTTGAAACACGCTTCTGAGTACTGACTGGACGGGAATCTTCCACTTGACCCTCAGGACTTGAAAGAAATTAATATTCTTGTAAATCTGCTACATTAAAAGTTTAAAATTTATGAACTTATACTTATCTATAACATAAGTTTCAAATGATAAATTTTAAACTTTTAATGTAACAAATATATGCATAAAAAATTGCTTCTTACATAATATACATGTATATAGATAGCTACGTTGTAAATGAAAAAGTAAATCCAAAATAAACAAACAAGTTCACATATAATAATACATAAAGCGCTTTTGCCGTGTAACGAAATTATAAAAACAATATATATATATATATATATATATATATATATATATATATATATATATATATATATATATATATATATATATATATATATATATATATATTGTATCAGAGTGTTGTTTGGAATGGTGTATGGCACACGATGTAAGTTGGTCATTGAAAATGCTGATCAATTAACTTTGTACAATTTATTATACAGGTAGAATACTTAGAAGTGTATAGTAATATCGCATTTTTTCATCAAAATTTTGCTGAAATTGAACAGCAAAATAATTACTGACTGATTGTATCCAAATTATTTGTTTTTCTATACAGGAAGAGTTAATTAACCTCAAAGTAATTTGACCTTTGTTTGAAGTACTTAAAAATTTATAACTCACTGAAACTCAATGACCTGAATAATCAATCGATCTTATGGCGTTGCCAGGTACAAGAGTATAACTATTGACAAATTTTCGAAGAATAAATATTCTATAACAATGATATTGAATAACGTATGTTGTAAATTCTCATATCACCAAACGCAAGTAATTGCTTTAAAACTTTTCATAGCAGGCTTGTATAATGCAATAACATTCTTTTCAAATTATATACAGTGGTAGTAATCAATATTTAATGAACGACAGAAAAGAAACAGAAGAGAAATAAAACAATTATTTAATAACAGATACTATTATTATGATTACAAAGTTTATAAAGACTTTGAAAAGTTTGTTTATGGAACGCAATAAGAACAACCAGTTCAGACATCACCCAACAGGTGCAGTTTCCCACACACAGTTCTGAGAATCAAAATTAAACACTGTTTTGGGGGTACAGGACTGAACCCAGGGATTCAGGGCGTTATCACAGTGGATATACTTGTGAGGGTCCTGGTGGGGAAACATGGTGTATCCCTGTTTAACTTTGTCCTGTGTGCAGGGATTTGTTGAGGTGTGTACATCCGGGATGCATGTCTGCTTAGACTGACTCCACACCATGTTGGAGGAACAGTTAGACACCCAAGCATGCCCCCAAACATCACAGTGAATGTACTTGGTGTTATCTTTGGGGTAGGAGAAGAAGAATTGGTGGTTGATAAGAGATTGTGGCGTGCAGGGGTTCACTAGGTCAGAGTCAAGTGATACCCTATCTCCTCCCACTGCTACCTGCGCTGTCCCACAGGAATCTGAACCCTGTTCAAGTACATTTACTACTGCTACAGCATGTAATGACATGATTATATCAACATAAAAATCATTCATATTGCATCAAAGAATTTTTTGCAGATTTTTTATATTAATAACATAAGAATGGGACTACACGTACATCGATGAGTGGTAATTGTAGCGGAAATATTTTAAGATAGATTCACTTCTTCAAAAGAAAGGTTATTTGATATATTTATAACTTAAGTGTTTGTGTTAACAAAATGATTTATATTTATGTATGCCTATCAGTGTAACTTATCAATACTGGATCAATTTTTTTCCAAAAAGTTTAACGGATTTGTTACATTTTATATTAAGCATCATCAATTCTGGAAAAGTTTCCGAATATAATTTAATTGTACATTTAAGACATACGGATTAAAATTTTTGAAATAGTTAAGAGAAAGTAAAAACAGTGAACAGACTTCTGTAATCAGTCTGTATTAAACAGAGTGTAATAAGTAACAAGCCGAAAAAGTGAACAAACCAAAGGACGGATATTTTAAAAATATTTGTGTTTATTAAACAAGAAGTTCTTTTAAAAACTTTATACATGTAGATATGGACATGCATACTTTTGTGTACCGTTGTCCATCCGGGCACTGGATGACGTACATCTTCTGTTGATAATCACATCTTATGAACTTGGTATCATCGTCTGGATGGGGGTGATAAAACTCTCCTCTCTGAAGAGCAGCAGTTGTACAGGGATTCAGAACTGAAATACCTAATATAAAACATACGACACTAAGGTGATATAAATAAGAAAATGGGGAAACAAAGCCTTGCTAAATCACACTCGGAAAGATTGATCAAATTTGTTTTCAATAAATTATTTTCCGAATTTCAATGATCTTTCACACAACAGTATACATGTTACATGTATTCATCCTATAGAGCATATAATCTGTCATATACATAAAAGTTTACTCTGCTCTCTGATTGTTAATTATATTAAAATCTTGCTTTTATCTCTGTTGACCAAGTGTACTTTGACTATATCAGTGCATTTGAATGTCTTGGTAGAATTTAAGAAGATACTCACCGTTTGACTGACACACCATGTTCTTGTAGTCTGGTTTCAGCTCGAAATCCTTTTTTGTACATGGCCGTTCAATTCCATCTTCTCGACATATCACATCAACCTCTGTAAAATATTTGAACAAATAAGTTATAAATAGTCATAATGGTCAAAAAAGTCACTTTTTAAGATCCTACATTTCGTTACACATACATGTATATTTATTATGGCCTTTTTTCCAATTCATTTGGAATCCACAGAACTGTCTAAAACATTGAAAATTCTAAGTAGTTGCAATTGTTGATGCAACATTACATACAGTATTCTACATTATCATATTATAGCATTATCTGCACATGTATTTACATTTGAGATTTTAAAGAGAGTATTTATAGATCTTCACGTGCATACTGGATATATTGATATGAGCAAATGTTGAGAAGTAGTTGGCGTCGCTGCAGTTCTTTCCCTTGATGTCGTATGGTGTTCCCACTGACGTCACATACAGAGGTCGGCCGTCTGCTGTCTTGTTCAGGAACAGAAGTGCCGGATGTCCGTCTGCAGCGGTCAGTTTTTGGCTGTAGAAGACGGAGCTAGGGTGAGGGTTGTCGAAGGAAGTATACACTTGTACAACACCGCAATTTACCTTGACCTGGCGAAAAGTATGAATGGCAATTATAATGTTAATTCAGGTGCCTGCATGGTACAGACAAGACTTGTCTAGAGAATTAAGTTTCGAAGCAAAGTGATATTAGCACAAATAAGTTTTGAAAAGAACAAAGTGGAACTTTCTTTAACTTTTCATGCGATAATTTGGATTTTACCTCCAGAACATTGTGGGCACCTGTGAAGTTTGAATCCGTTTTCTGTGTGACAAAGGCGAGAGTTGTAGTGGTGTGGATGCTGTGCTTGTAAGTAACGTTCAGTCTGACTCCATGTATATCTACGTTAGTGCCATTTATGCCTACCACACTGTTTGAATCCACAACAATTGGTGCTGCAAATTGCAAGGGGATATATGAAGGATACTCGTATTGTCCGATTTTTTTTAGTACTTAAATTCACACGCAACGTACTTTATCTACTGGTAACTTTTAGAGATATTCTAAATTTTAAATCATAGTACCACCAGATGTTCTCAGACAAAAGAATCAGCATACATTGCTTGGGGTTTAGAAAAGATATCAAATGATAAAAATTCTTGTGAATTTCATTTTTAAACAAGATGTGTTTGTGAAACACTGATGCCCCCGTATGGCAGCTTATGGCGAAGGTTCATCACCTTCATCACCTGCATACGGGGTATATATCTCTCAGTTGATTCGATACGCAAGAGCATGCTCTACGTATGTACAATTTCTAAAACGAGGTAAATTATTGACAAATAAGTTGATAAAACAAGAATATCAGCTGTCTCGTTTAAAGTCATCATTTCGTAAGTTCTATGCTCGATACAATGACCTTGTCAGCAAATACAATTTATCATTGAGTCAAATGCTGACTGACGTTTTTCACACTAATTGTTAGGCCATTATTTACACACTGAATTGTCGACGGATTTTTTCGTTATTTCCCGATCATGACAAGGAGCATACGGCGGGTGTGACCGGTCGGCAGGGGATGCTCACTCCTCCATGGCACCTGATCCCACCTCTGATGTTTGGAGGTCCGTGTTTGCTCTGCTCCTGTTTTGTATTGATTAATGGACTTTTGAGCTTGAATACTGTTCGTTATCTCCATATATTTCATTAAAGTTTCTCAAATGCAAGTCAAAATCCAGGCCAAAAGATAAAAAATGTTAAACTTGAAAGCCCTAGCTGCAACTGTTCAAAAGTTATGGCGAAGGTTAAAGTTTTTTAAAAGTAAGTAAAACATCAAGGTCAAGGTCAAAGTTGTTGGTATCCAAAGGAAGGTCTTGTCACAAGGATTACACATGTAAAGTATGAAAGCCCTAGCACCAACCATTCAAAAGTTATGGCCAAGGTTAAAGTTTTTCGAAAGTAGGTCAAACTCCTATGTCAAGGTCAAAGGGTCAAAGTGGTTGGTATCCAAAGAAAGGTCTTGTCACAAAGATTACATATGTGAAGTATGAAAGCCCTAGCACCAACCAATAAAAAATTATGGCCGAGGTTAAAGTTTTTCAAAAGTAGGTCAAACTCCTAGGTCAAGGTCAAAAGGTTTAAGTGGTTGGTATCCAAAGGAAGGTCTTGTCACAAGGATTACATATGTGAAGTATGAAAGCCCTAGCATCAACCATTCAAAAGTTATGGCCAAGGTTAAAGTTTTTCAAAAGTAGGTCAAACTCCAAGGTCAAGGTCAAAAGGTCAAAGTTGTTGGTATCCAAAGGAAGGCCTTGTCACAAAGAATACACATGTGAAGTTTGAAACCCCAAGCACCAACTGTTCAGAAGTTATGGCCAAGGTTAAATTCTCATAAAATTTTGCAAAAGTGGGTCAAACTCCAAGGTCAAGGTCAAAAGGTCAAATATGATGGTACCCAAAGAAAGGTCTTGTCACAAGGAATACACCTGTGAAATATGAAAGTCATAGCTCCAACCAATCAAAAGTTATGGGCAAGGTTAAAGTTGACAACAGACAGACAGACAAGACAAAAACAATATACCCCCGGGATCTTTCGATCCGGGGGCATAAAAATATCCAAACTTACAGTTTAAGCTGTAATATTTCCACAGATGTGTTTTAGAATAGATGTACAGAATCATGAGTCTCATGCATGTCCTAACTTATTGGAATTTTTCAATAATAGGGAAAAAGCATATAAAGTTCAAAACTATTTCGCGTACATATCCTTAAGTTTCATTTCATAGATTCATAAATCTGAGAGAAAATAAATTTCAAAACAGAATTATATTATAATATATAATTAATATAATATATTACATAAACCCAGTACTCTACAATTGAATATATTATAAGCGATATCTACTAATACATGACAACTTCGCCGTGCGCTTTACATAGAACCGGATGTTTTAAAATTAACATCATCTGTAACGTAGTTTTCAGGATGTTTCGATAAACAAAGATCCGGTAACCTCATGCTGACCAAGGAATGCCAATGCATTGGAGATAAATTGAACATTTTATGGCATATAAACATAAATCCCCAAGCTAACACTTTGTTTGTACATGTACTGGTAATCCTGCATTCAAAACAATTTTCCCGGAAACCCCAAATCAGGTTAGATTAATTCCAAGCTCAGTGGTAGTTTTTAATTACAAGGGAAATTACTAAATGTTCCTTCATTCATTTCCTTTACATACCTCTACACGCCGATTTCTTAATTTCTTGAACAACATTGTCGATTTCTGAAAATCCCGCCAATGTGATCACATGGGTACAGTCTGGTGGACTCGCTATGGCATATAACTCTGCCTTATTAATATTCCCGATTCCTAGGGCAAAAAGTACAATTCCCTCTTCCCGTGTTGTCTTGGCCTCCTTAACAGTGTCATGAAATGAGTCCGAAGATCCGTCAGTAATTACAAGTGCAACTTTAGTAGCGCCTTTCCGAGAGCTAGTTTTGAAAATCGATTCCCGTGCCAACTTAATCCCTTCACTTGTTGCTGTACCCATTGCGTCGTAGTTAACGGAGTTGATTGCTTTTTCCAAAGATGTGTGATCTTCATGTTCTCCGAACTGGAACTCTATCCTGGCAGTGTCGCTGAAAGACACCACGGCAATCTGAGCATTGCTAGGTCCAACTGTCAAACCACGGGTAACTTTCTTCATAAAACCCAACATGTCAATGAAGTTAAAATATCCTATGCTTCCAGAGGTGTCCACTATGAAAGCTAAATCAATCTCACAAGTATCTATAAAGTAAGATGAAGTAAATATTCATTGTTTTCTACTGAAGTAAATATTCATTGTTTTCTACTGAAGTAAATATTCATTGTTTTCTACTCTTTGTCAAAGATTTTCGTTCTCTCTCTCCTCTGTATGTGTTTATGTATGTAAATGTCATGAAAAGCGAGAATCTTATAAATTGTTAGTTTTGATAATATGCCCTTACCACTAACCAGTTTTTGGATCTCTGACAGATAAAAAGTCTTTGTTTTGCCATGTTGGTAGTTGTTGACCCAGAATTCCGCTTGTTTGTCTGCCTCCCCCGGGGTATTGTTCCTTGCCCTCATCTGGAGCAACAAACTGGCAGCCAATCCAGAATACAGCGGCACTGTGAGGTTTTCCCAGGCTACGTCTGTCCATACTATGTTGAGTTTGTCTTCTATGATTTTACATTGGTGCTCCAAGCCAGTACATGAAGATGTTGAATTGAATTCCGATTCTTTAACCTCAAAGAAAGATTTTTCATTCACAGGTCCTTAAACGATCGATGTAGTGATATTCCTATTAAATAATCTCGTAAAAAAATATTCAGTTTCCCTTACTGCTCTTTTGTTACAAAAAGAAATATAACAATGTTTATACTTAATATTTTCCTCCTTACTTGCCATATGCCTCCGAAAAAATCGGGTCGAAATGTTCTTATATCGAGTCCATCTTGTGACTGAACGTATGCCAAGCGCCTGAGAAAAACCCTATCGTTTGGATATATGCAATTTTCGCGGATTATGTCCACCACAGCCTGCACGATTTCAGGTCCGACTGCGCGGTCTGTACGCGTGCGGTCCGTGACACCATGACAACCAAGGCTTAAAAAAATGATTGTACAGAAAAGATGCAAAAAGAAGTATCTTCTATGCATCATGTCGAATGAAATCGAACCTTTTTCCGTTTTGGAGTCTGGGTTTATTATCAAAATATTTAAGTTGTCAGTTTATTGAAACTAACAACCAAGTCATTTTCCACAATTCGAGGGTTTTCTAATCTGTCATTGTTTGCTTTCGTTCAGGATGTGTCCGAAATTTCTTGACCAAAGTTTGATAACAATGGTCACTTTTATTACGACTTTAGTTTGAATAAGGGTCAGTGTTGTTCCAGTACAAAAAATAGTTTCCACCGCGTAAACGCACGCGTACTCTTACATGTACTTCACGTTTGTACTACAGAGGGTTACAAATATTTTCAGAGTTACATTTGCAATTCACGCAGTACTTAGGTCAAATACATCTTTAAAAATAAAAAAAAATTGATGTACATATTTTTCGTAATCGGTCAACGATTTACACAAACTTTAACATGAAAATAATGTTCCTCTACGGAACTACACTACAATTAGGGTATAATGGCCAAAATATAGGTACAGAGTTTTATAGAAGTGTGTGGAACAACCGCCAATAATCTTCTGCTGGACACGTTATTACTGGTGACGTAAATATAGTTAATAATGAGGACCTTAGATCACTAATTTTAAAAAGTCCTAAATATAGGGAACCCCGATCCTTCAACTGGCGTCGGAATTTCATAAATATTATGGATTCTGTAGAGGATTACGCCAGGCGATGGGCCATACATGAAAAAGAAGACCTTGACACTTTGTCAGAATGGATTAAGTGTATCAGATGTAAGTTAAAATCCCGCATTAAAAGATTGAGGGGCAAAATGAGAACCATCTTTTCTTCTGTATTCAATAATCCAGAAGTGAAAAAAGAATTAGATAGATTACATGATCAGTACGTACTGGTCCCTGCTGACAAAGCAGGTAACAACATTGTCTTTGTTTTTAAGGCTCATTATATTAAATGTATTTTAGAGGAACTTGGATTTAATTCTACAAGTGGTAATCCAACTTATACTCATAGTTCCCTTTCTAAGGAAGAAATTCTTCATAATCATATGTCAGTTTTGAATATTTTTGATATTCCAAACAACCAAAATGAATTTGAATTACCATATATTACCATATCTATATTGTATTCCGAAACTTCATAAAAATCCTTACAAACAAAGAAACATAGCGGGTTCCAATAAATGTTCAACCAAGCCTCTTTCTTTACTCTTCACTTAGATATTAACACTAGTGAAGGAGAAACTTCAAGAGTACTGTACAACATTATATTCGAGAAGTCGTGTAAATCAGATGTGGATACTTAAAAATTCCAAGGAACTTTTGGAAAATTTGAAATCACAAGATTTTACCAAAATCAACAGCTTAAAAACTTTCGACTTTTCAACTTTATACACAACCATTCCCCACGATAAATTAAAGTCCAGGCTTTTTGATATCATTGACAGCTGCTTTTTTAAATAAAAATGGAACTCGTAAATTTACTTACCTTGTCATTGGTCATTTGCAAAATTATTTTGTTAAAAAACATTCTGATTGCACACACAAGTACTCTGAAGTTGACATTAAAAAGATGCTTGAGTTTTTGATTGACAATATCTATGTGGTTTTTGGAGACCAGGTCTTCCAACAATCTATTGGAATTCTCATGGGTACCAATTGCGCCCCGTTATTAGCAGACCTTTTTGTATCCATATGAAGCAGAATTTGTCCAAAATCTTATACGTGAAAAGAAGAAAACACTTGCTGTGGCCTTCAACTCGACATTTAGATATATCGACGACGTATTGTCAATTAACAATGGTTATTTCCATTCTTATGTCGATATCCAGGTGAGCTTGAGATAAAACATACCACAGAGTCTGAAACATCTGTTTCATATTTGGATATTTTACTTGAAAAAGACGTTAATGGTAATCTAACAACCAAGCTTTATGATAAACGTGAAGACTTTAACTTTTCAATCGTCAACTTCCCTTACTCATGCAGCAATATACCTTCATCACCTGCATACGGAGTTTATATCCCTCAGTTGATTCGATACGCAAGAGCATGCTCTACGTATGTACAATTTCTAAAACGAGGTAAATTATTGAAAAACAAGTTGATAAAACAAGAATATCAACAGTCTCGTTTAAAGTCATCATTTAATTTCGTAAGTTTTATGGTCGATACAATGACCTTGTCAGCAAATACAATTCATCATTGAGTCAAATGCTGACTGACGTTTTTCATACTAATTGTTAGGCCATTATTTACACACTTAATTGTCGACGGATTTTTTCCGTTATTTTCCCCATCATGGCAAGGAGCACACGGCGGGTGTGACCGGTCGGCAGGGGATGCTCACTCCTCCATGGCACCTGATCCCACCTCTGATGTTTTGGAGGTCCGTGTTTGCTCTGCTCCTATTATTTTCTATTGTTTAATGGATTTTTGAACTTGAATACTGTTCGTTATCTCCATATATTTCATTGTATAAAAAGACATGTAGACTAGTCAAATCAAAAGCAAGAACTAGCATGTAGTGAAGATTCAAGTTTGTTCAAGACACGTTCTCCGTGATTAACATTTGGATAGGGTTGGAGTTTATTATTTTGATTAAGATTAATGTGATTCATGAATTCCAAATGAACTTTGTTCCGAAAGAGAGAAATCGATCCCCAAAGAAAATAAATTAAATAAATTTCTTTTAAACAAATAAGCAAACAATCTGATAAATATTATCGGTGAGATACGACCATTTGCATCCATTGCAAGGTAATGATGGTTAATCTGTTACATGTAATATAATTTCTGACTATGTAAATAAAATGAGGGAAAGATATCCCGATACTATAAATCAGACATACATGGGACACATCTACGACAAAGCATAGGTGTTGGAACCGGGGGGGGGGGGGACTAGGGCTTAGCCAACACTTTTTTTTGCAAAGATAGACATTATAGAGGGCGGAGCCCTCTCATGGGCCCGAAGGGCCCGTGAGAACGAAGCTCTCCTTATAGGTAACACGTATATATAAGATATATAGAATTCTAAAGAAAACTTTATTTTTATTACAATACCAATGGAACTGAGAAACTTGTCGCCAGCGGCCAATATGGCGTCCATAGTCTTTTCCATCTTGAATGAATCTCATGACGAATTCCCGCATAAATTGGGGGGGGGGGGGTGATCATACTATTGTATATACCTATAGCCTTCTGTACTGCAAAAACATTTGACAAGTATTTTTATTAAAAAGTTTCCTATTCTGATAAATGTTTTCTTGGCTTAACGAAACAGCAAATACAGAAATCTTCATTTGACATTATCAATTGTAAATTTTGTAGTTCTTGTACATGTATATATACTGTAGGCCAATGTTGATGAGCTGTACTAAAAAGATCTCATTTAAAAAATAATAATACTTATACAGCAAATATTCTAAAATTAGGAAGTGTATGTTATCTTCTCTTGAAGTACAATGTCTGTAGAATTTCTTTTCTTTTGTGAAATTCACCTACTATTTTTCAAAATATGCCGATCCTTAGGTCTCACTTACGGTCGAACATATTATAGGCATTGAAAATTGGGGCTTAATCCCCAAACTTTTTTTTTATGTTGTTGTTGGTTTAGCCCCCCCCCCTTTTCAGTTAACCCCTCCCCCCGTTCAATTTGCTTCCGACGCCTACGCAAAGATTGTGAAAATTATAGGAATTGTTGCTAAATGGCATACTCTCAACGCCAGGGGTCCTAAGTCCACTGGTGCCTCACGGCCACGAATGGACTATCAGGACCCTGACCATACTGACGTTGTTAGGATGGCTAAATGGTGAATGACTGACAACTAAATAAAAGAAAACAAAAACAGGAGTTTATCACCCGATGAAATTAAATAAACAAGAGAAGTATATTTACAATACATTAAATACAAGTCATATTACTAGTTAGCATTATAATATATGGGGGGAAAAGGGACTCTTGCACTTCCCGGAATAATATTAGCTGTGCATGGTTAGTTTAAATTTAGTTTTCGTAGCACATTTCCGGAATCAGAATTTCACTTTCACTCGATAAAACGCAAAATACAAAGTTAAGAAGCTTATTAAAGGTAATTGTTTTCAAAATTGGTTATTATATAACTGTAATATGAATTATTTGTATATTAGGCTTCGTATAGCAATTTCTAGCCATAGATTCTTGTGTGAATTAGTCTGAATATTTAAAGAAGCAACGGGATGCATGTATGCACGCGCATCCTGATAACAATGTGTATGAAGGATATTCTCAAATAAACAGCACAGAATAAATACATCTATGTATATTACCGAATATTGGATTTTACATAGATTTCTACTGTTCTGACGGAAAATTTAAGTGTATTTAACAGATATAAAGCAAAGTTATTGATAATTGTCTGCAAATAATGGATCAATAAATAAAGGTGATGTAAAGTAAAGTTTGTATACCTCTACTCTGCAGGTATAAGTGCTGTTTAAAATGTTTTACTTCTTTTCAGATAGCCATGTGTGATGTCACGTGATGATGCATAGCACTTGATGTCTTTCATGAACAACAAAAACAGCAGCTGATATGAATTTTCACCCCAATGCCATGGCAACCCACCAAATACCTGGTGCTGGTAGAAACTATGCCTACATAAGGCAACCAATGGTTGGTAATCCAGCAGGTCTTTCAGCATATCCTCTAAATCTGATGCAGGCAATGCAACCAAGTCAGGCCGTTTTGTCTGGAAGCCCTATGATGCTCCAGCATCCAAATATTGCTCAACCTGGCCAGGTCTTGTTGAGACAGGGGCAACCTTTACTTTTAAGACAACCTGGGACGAATCTATTACAGCAGCAAGCTCAAGGATTTGTACATAATGGAATGTCTGAAGTTCCTGTTAGTGGAATGCTTAGTTCAAGATATAATTTCACTCCACAGGGACAGAGTGGTATTAAAGTCAATGCCCTGATTGGACCAAGGGTTAATATCAATCCACAAGGACAAGCACAGTTAATGAATGCCAGGGTTAATCTGAATTCACCTCAACAGGCGGGTAATGGTGCATTGGTTAGGAATTTAATTGGAAACAACATCCAGATTCCAAGACCAGCATTTGTCCTTCAAAATGGTCAAAATATGTTTACAACTACTGTAAGCAGTTCATCTCTACAGACTCATACCGTGGTGTCAAGTTCAAGTGTGTCTCAGACAGAGGTAGTGCAGTCTGAATCCAACCTAAGTCCCCAAGAAGAAAGTGCCTCCCCTCATCCAACCATATCCACAGAGAATAGTGGACTTATCCCTGAAACCTCAATCAGTTCCCCACCCTGTTCTGGTTCTACCACAGAAAATCCAAGCAATAACCTACAGTGTAGTGAAACTACCATAGTGTCTGTTGCTGATACATCCCCAAGCATTCAGGGATCAAAACTTGTCATTCCAACTGAAACCCGAGTTCTGCATAGAGAAAAACCCTATGATAAAATAATACGCCCTAATTATATTGCACTAACCGATCCCAACAACCATACAAGCAATAAAAAGGTTTGTAATCAAATATTATTTTCATTTATTTTAGTATGGTACAAACAATCAAAATGGCTATGCATATATTTTTTACTTACACTGATATTGCAATTTAAAAGTAACCATTTTATTTTTTGTAGTTAACAGTTTATAATTTAATCGTGTTTGTATTCATTGACAATTATTTCTGTGTAAATATCATGAATACTAAATTATCACTACATGAGTAATGTAAATTTCTTCAACACTCTGGAAATATCAGAAGGTTGTGTATTTACAACAATACAGTTATGTCTTATATTTATTATGAATACTTAATTATTTTTCTTAAAAATTAATTTTTAAAAAATTAATTTGGGGATTGTATATTCTTTCAAATATAAATACATTATTATACAATTAAATAAGGAAAATAACACTACTGAAAAAAATAATTTCGAAAAAAAAAATATACAACACAAACACTTCCTCTTCCAAGTATTTATTCTATATAAAATCCTGTTTCCTTATAAATTCAGTTGCAAGAATGGTAGTCACATCCATTAAGAATTTCTGTCAACTTCACTTGAAAGAAAAATTCACCATCAAATTACATTAAATATAAGATGAAATTGACAATGAAAATTCAGATAATCTTTTTAAAAATGCTAGCTTTGCTGTTACTTAAAATGTCATTTTGAATAGCATTGTCAAGGGGATAAAATATCAGCAAGTCTTTTAAAAGGCACCTCTTCTTATGGATGGGACTACTACATGTATTCTGATATATTATGCATTTATCAATGTAATCCAATAACTCTGTGCAGGATTCAAAAGATCTGTTGATAGAAAGTTTGCAAAAAGAATTACAGAGGCTTCAGAAGGAGAACTCTGAGCTGAAAGTGGAAAACCAGAGACTAAAAGGAAAAGAGGTGAGTTAATTACTGTAGACTGTTTGTTTACCCAAACTTTCAGATTTCCCATCTGATATTTTTTTTCATAATTTAAGATAAAAAAAAAAAAGAACAGCCTAAATGGATCCTTTTTCAAACCTGTTTATCTTCAGTTTTGCAAATAATAATTTGTTGTAAGTTACAGTATGATAACTGTGTAAAACAAAAAACAATTTTAACATTAAAAAATATATTTTCTGTATCATTCATCATTAGAAAAATAAGAAAGAAAAATTTAGAAAGGAAGACATGGTTGATGAAATAAACAATACTAGCTAGATGTCATCTTGGGGATGGCTTTGTACAACAACAATTTTCTATAAAATTATGACGGGGATGCTTTGATCAAAACTCAGGGATGCTTTGACCAGTACTTAGGGGAGAGGGGGTTGTATCAAAATGACAGTTCTATGAAATTATGATACTGAGTGGTTTGACCAAAGAGCCATAGTGTATTTGATAGGCATTTTCGCCTACTCTACTAGTGATTTCTTAAATTCATTGTTTATCCAAAATTTTGTCATACAATATCAGTTTATACATACGTAAAACCAAACCACACAATAATGATATTTCAATACTGATAGTTCCTTCATATGATAAATATAAAATTTATCCAGTTTGTATAGAGTGTATAGTAAATATTGAGGTATCCACCTAAAGATGACAAACTGTTGCCAAAGACCACCCTTAACCAGAAAAACAACTTTTGAATAATTTTATTTGGATATGATTTTAATTATCAATTAAAATCAATCACGTTTCACAGGTATTAGAAATTTAATACAATATCCAATTTATTTAACGACTCCGCATTTAATTAACAGACACAGTTTAAAATCAATTTAACTATGGAAACATTAGGTTATTCAAGTTCAAAATCGGTGAAAATTTTTATTTGAACGTAAAAAACATATATCACATTTATCTTCACTCAATCTCGTATTTTTATTTTTATTATTTTTTTTTTTAGCTCAGATACGCCATATATAGCTTTAACTGAAGTTTGTAAATTCATAGCTACTTGTTTTATTTTTATTGATTTTCTAAATCTTTTGTCTCAGAATTAGAGTATTGAACCAATTAAATGAATGTCATTTGACATACTTGCAACTATGAAAATATAATACTCGTCCTCAAACCATATTACATAGTTTGATCTTGAATTGAAAAGGTATATCATAAATAGAAACAGGTGATTTCCTTTTAAATTCTTGAGTCGGCCGTGTCGTCGGAGAGGCAGCTATGGCTCTATAAGGGGTGCATTGAATAAAATTAGGGGGCTTTCTGACTGAGGGAGTTTTATTAAGGGGCACTTTGACTGGCACCCATATAATTATGGAGAAAATCTTTACTGATAAACTAGCATCCCAATGTAGTTCAAATTCAAATTTGTTCAAATCTTGGGCCACAATAGGTGTCAAGGTTTTACATAGGAATATATAGGAAAAAGACTTCTCAAGAATAGCAGAACCATATACAAGCAATCATATGCACTGATGATTTAAGTTTGTTCAAGTCATGATCCTTGGAGATGTGATGTTGCCATGATATGGGATCAAAGTTTTATTTTCAAAGTTAATAGAACAATCTTAAAAATTCTTCTTGTCCAGAATGAGTCTTATGAAGTGAGTAGTAATGTCACCCCCTCCCCCCTTGGGTTAGGGTGGGGCTGAAAATGGACCAATGTTTTGTAACTTAGGAGAATATACTAAAAATCTTTATTTTGAAAAGCAGAACTACAGTTTGTCAAAACTTATATGCAAGTTACTGCAAGATCAAACTCTTACAAAGGAATAAATAGATTTTCTCAATAATAAAAAAGCTACAGTTTAAAGACTTGTTATCTTTAAATAAAGTGTATATTAGAATTGATGAAATTATATTTTTATGAAGTTTCATGTACAATAATGGGTTTCAATCAGTGATTTTTCTACCTCCCAATTTAGGTCCGAATATTGACCTTTTCCCCTCTCAAAAATTACCTATATTTTCCAATTTAGGTTGCTTTTTCCCCAAAATAAAATTGTGTGATTTGTTATATTGATTTTTTAACGTACGATTTATCTAAAGTGGAACGTTACTGTTCTCAGTCATTCAGACTCTTAAGATAATGGCGAAAACAGCAGATTTATTCTCTCCATTTACAAGACATTGAAAAACACACATATGTCAAAACAATATTAAATATATCATAGAATAGTGATGGGAAATCGGAATTTTTTTCATAATCGATTATCGGAATGATTGGATGCACTATAATCAACTAATAATTGATTGATTTCAAGTATAAAATTTGTTCATTTTTCAATGAAGCAATGAAATATGAAGATAACAAACAGTATTCAATCACGAAAGTCCAATGAAACAATACAAATTTGGAGCAGAGCAAACACAGACCTCAAATAATATGTTGACAGTGCGACCGTTAGGGCGAGCGCAGATGTTTATTCAAGTTTAATTTAGATTGGGCTCGATCGTCAAACTGCACGTGACGGTGCGTATAGACTCTGACGTCACATGACATCGTATTTAAGTTGCATTACCAAACCGAAGACTGAACATTGTTGACTTTAATGAAGAACGTTTTTTATTTACTATTTATCTGCAATATATCCATTAAATCAAGGCGAGTTTAATTTTTTTGTTAAACTTTTGTTGTTATTCTCGCGAGAACGTAGCTTAAACAAGCGATGCATTGTGGGTCCAAAAGTTACTGTGGAAAAAAATTTGTTTGGATCAATGTGTAAGTCCGAATTTTCTCTTCGCCCAGGCATTGTCGTTAGAGCTAGCATTGCGAGAGAAGCGCCGCTCGCTGCGCTCACTATTAGAGGTGGGATCAGGTGCCATGGAGGAGTAAGCATCCCCTTCTGTCCGGTCACACCGCTTTGAGCTCCTTGTCATGATCGGGGAAAAAAAAAGGAAAAATCTGTAGACAGTTCAGTGTATAAATAATCGTCTAACAATTAGTATGAAAAACATCAGTCAGCATTTGACTCTATGATAGGTTGTATAAGCTGACAAGGTCATTGTATCGACCGTAAAACTTATGAAATGATGACTTCAAACGAGACTGTAGATTTCCTTGTTTCATCAACTTGTTGGTCAATAGCTTGCCTTGATTTAGAAATTGTTCAAGTGTAGAGCATGCTCTTGCGTAACAAATCAACTGAGAGACAAAAACCCCATATGCAGGTGAAAAAGGAATATTGCTACATAAGTAAGGGAAGATGACGATTGGAAAGTTGATGTCATCTTGTTTATTGTTAGGTTACCATTAATGTCTTTTTATAGTTAAATATCCAAATATGAAACAAATGTGTCAGACTGTGGTATCTTTTATTTCAAGCTCACTTGGATATATCAAGTCAACAAATGAATGGAAGTATCTATTGTTAATTGATAATAATTATCTAAATGTCGAGTAGAAGGCCACAGGAAGTGTTTTCTTCTCATGTAGAAATTTTTAAATAAATTCTGCTTCATATGAATACAAAAATAGGTCTGCTAATAAGGGGGTGCGATTGGTACATGTACCCATGGGAATTCCAACTGATTGTCTAGTTGAAGGCCACAGCGAGCATTTTCTTCTTCTCATGTAGAAGTTTTTTAATAAATTCTGCTTCATATGAATACAAAATGAGATTTGCTAATAATGGGGAGCAATTGGTACCCATGGGAATTCCAACATTTTTGGAAGACATGATCTCAAAAAGCTACATAGATATTGTCAATCAGAAACAGAATCAGAAATCTTTTCAATATCAACTTCAGAGTACTTGTGTGTTCAATCAGAATGTTTTTAACAAAATAATTTTGCAAATGACCAAAAACAAGGGAAGTATACCGTATTACGGGTTTTCTTGGTGGGTGTAAAATTTGGCATTTTGCTTGCTCAAAGGCATGCCAAAAATTTTGGCATAATTTATTTTAGTTGACATAGGTTTCAAACTCTTTTCAAAAGAACACTAAGAAGAATACTGATTATTAAAATTTTAGCAGGCTACTACCAAAATGCTAAATTAAGCCAAAATTAGCACCCCACTAAAATAACCCGCTATACAGTATTTACGAGTTCCATTTTTATTGAAAAAGCAGCTGTCTCTGATGTCAAAAAGCTAATTAAGGTTATTAATGAAAATCTTGTTCAATATTGATTTTTCCCAATTTGACACAAATGTCCATGATTTTTCCCAATTGTAAAGGCCCAGGCCCCTTTAAAAATGTAGAAAAATTACTGTCATTCACATATTCATTTGTCAGGGTAGGAAATTTTACTGGTGAGCATTGTGGTATATACATTGTATGCTTCATGTATCTTTTTTTTTGGTCATTTGTAATATGTGTATTAATAGAAACATTGTATATTTTACAAGCCTGAGCCAGAGAAACCGAGTGCAGCTACATCCTCAGACTCGTTACTAGTCAGCGTAACCTCTGTCGAGGGGATTTCAGCTACAGAGGAGGAAGAAATTGATGAAGAGGCATTGTTAAATACTGACAGTCAGACAGACAAGGACACATTAGGTGCTAGTACTGCAAATCCAGAAAATTCAATCAAGGAACAGATCTCAGATGAACAACACAACTCTGATACACACAAATCTGTTGTGGAAACAAACAGTGTTGTAACCAGTTCTCAGAATCTGGTCAACTCAGAATCTGACCTGTCTGCTGAAAAGAAAGAAACAGAGGTATCAAAGAATGGTGAAAATGAAGTGAAGTAACTTTTCCCATAGTCATGACAGTCTTACATTGAGATTGCAATATGTATAGACATTGCCATGATATTATGTGATTAGACACGAATACAGCTCTCTGTAAAGTTTATATAGTTTGAACTTAAATGTGCATGTGCTCTTTGATAAATATTTGTTGTTTTTACAAAGATTGTTCAATGTGATAATTCACATTTAAAGTTTTCTTATATTTATGAGAGAAAATTGAAAGATGTATTTTTATATTTCAATAGCAGTAGAAAATTATTCAAGCTTTCTGGTAGGATTTAATCATCTTACTGACTTTCAGATTAAAGCCTTGACATTTCCAGGAACCTTTGATGGTATATTTTATTCTGAACTTAGCAAATTCATACTACACCTTCAGTTCAGTGTTATGTATTAGTGAATTTATTTGAGTCTTAAGCTTTGTTGTGTGTTGACATTAAATGTGGTAATCAATCACTTAATATTGGATGGTTTTGAATTGAATATTATGGGCTTTTACATGTTACTGTAAATTCCTAAATATACGCGAGGAATAAATTATCGCGTAATTACGCGAGAAGCACCACTCGCGAAATAAAATTACTCGCTTTTATTTTTATGGTGCTTTAATGTATGTAAAATCTCTAGAAAAATCACCCATTCGCGAATTATTGTTCTCGCAGTTTGACGCCCTTGGGCCACTTCGCGATATTAAGTACTCGTGTAAAATAAGGAATTTACAGTATTGTATACATGTATATGTTTTGTACTATAAATGAATAAGGACAATGTCAGAAAAGTACAGAAATATTAATTTCATGGTTGACAATTGTTGATTAATTATTATTACTACTTAATCATGTATAGGTATTGATGAAACCCAACATTTGTGAAGATGGGTGATAAATATTTTTAAAATATCTTTTTATAAACTTAGCTGTGATGAAGTGGCCACAGAATTCCAGATGTGATCCATCATGTTTTCTTTTCGTGTGAAGAGCCTGTAAGCTAGTTCCCAGTACAGTTAAGCAGAAATATAGCAAACCACCATTATGCTTTGTTGTGTCAGCTATCCACTTTATCTAATTAAGAGAGAGAAATAACCCTTTGCTCTGAAAAATAATTCAATTATGACAATTTTCAAAGAGAAGATGTATATAATATAAAGATAAAATTCCAGCAAATTTATTTTATCCAATAGGACAACGTTTGAGATAAATCATTGTTAAAGATGATAATTTATATCGTAAATAGTTATCTGTAGATGTTATAGTTACCTTTCTTTGCACAGGGTTATTTGTCCTTAATGTTTCATTATTTGCCTTTCTTGGTAAAAAAAAAACTTTCTTACAAGCATAGTGCTTATTATAAGTGTGTTTTGCCATTAACTTGTTGTACCATACATTTTTTTTTATCTGATTGTATCAGATTATTTCTGGATTTGATTTAGAATTTTCTTTTAACTAGACAATTTTTTTTTATCCTTCCAGATTTCAACCAAAACTGAAATAGTTACCAAAAATATTTTTCCCTATATTTTTCTCTCTTTATATTTTTCTATTGGATTAGTTAATGACAATTCAAAATTAGATATTTATATTCAGGATAGAAAAAAGAATTCAGTACTACCATGAAAAATCTGTGATGTCCACACAAAAAATAAGCACAGTCTGACCTATATGTGCACTGAAATTTTATTATCTCTCAGTTTGATTCTTCGGCTTTGCCATTAGCATAGACTTTATTCAGCTGTCACATTTAATTGTTTCATATCAGTCCAGGAAAAGTTTTGAATTTGGTCATGTTGGAAGATTCAGCAGCAGTTGCAGAAATTGACTCTTAATAGCTTAGATTTATTCTTAATCTGTCTACCTTCATAATTATGGTTTCAGCAGAAAAGGTTATTGTTTTTTTTTAAAGATAGCTTATTTCTGAACCAAAATGAATTTTATGTCAATTTCAAAAAAAAAAAATGGAATGAGTAAAGTTGAATCCAGTATCTTCACATCTGACAAAGTCAGCAGCCATTGTTGAATTCAGCAATATTACCGATATCAGGTTTTTTCCAAACTGATGTTTGCCACATGATTATTTTTATCATGCTTTTTTGCTTGCTTTAAACAGAGTAGCTGCTTTGTAAAAGTAATAGATCAAGTCTTCTGTTGTAGAATGAAAAGTTCATGGTTTGATTAGAGTTCCTTTTTAAAACATTTTTTTTTATGTCAATGTCATTGTAGTCCTGATTATCAAGATTCTTATTGTTTGCTTTCTGTAAACTGTCCAGTCAAACAAAAATGTTTATAATCTTAAAAAGTGGAGAGAAAAAATTACATATAAAGCATAGCTGCATTGAACTTACATAAACTTAATTAAGGAAACCTTGAAATGTTTACTTATCTGTCAGGGTGCCATCCTACAACATCTTTCAGAATAAAGGGTTCAAATTTAAATTTTAAAATTTTTGGGTACTGGGATTCAACAGATTTTGTAATGGGTGGAGGAAGATGAATTGACTAAAAGTGGACAAAAGTTTTACAATCACAAGTTGTTTTCAGTTTATGTATTACTGGAAATCTGTAAATTCAATAAGGAAAGATTTTGATGAGGGAACAAATAACTTTAATTATTTCAGAGTGACTTGCATTAGAACAAAGTCTGTGTAATTTTGTTGTACTTTTTAATTGATCTGACGTGACAACATCGAATTGTACAATGGAAGATAACATAGATATGAATGAAATTGTTTTTTGGTTTTAGATAGAATTTTTTTGTATTAATACTCTCTGAAACAAATAATTATCTTTATAAAATAAGATTTAATGGTATTTATATTATTCCAGCACAGATTTTTTATGCATATCTTATTTTTCTCTGAATATTTTTATCTAGCTGGAATTTTATGTAATATTTCTGGTAGATGATATTTTCCTCCGAATTTTATGCAAAGGGCAAAGGAAACATATTTCTAATTAATTTTTAAATCTTACTGTAGACATGTTTTGTTTTCACTCTTTTTTATCACATAAGCATGCTCTTTAGTTTATAGGAAAATTTTAATAAAATTGAAAATGTTCCAAAAAAGCTCATCTCAGATGAAGACAGATCTTATGAATAAGAAATACATAAACAAAAATATTTTTCAAAACAGAAAGCTAAAATTGTGAACCCTTTCAAGCTTACCATACCTGGAAGCTCAAGCGAGCTTCCTTCTCAAAGTTTGTCTGTCTTCTCTCTGTCTGTTGTCATTATCTTTTTACATTTTTAGCTTCTTCTTATGACAAGAACTTTGGGTCATTTTCAGTCAGCATCCTTGGGTAATGGAAATTCAAGTTATTCAAATGAAGGGCTATTCCCTTTCTCAAGGGAAGGTAATAAGTGAAAAAAATGTGTAGGCTGGGATCATTTAAAATTGTCAAGAACCTCTGGAACAACACTTTAAAGAAAACTTCCTTAATTAGTGTAGATTTAATTTTTAAGCAAATGCCGGTCACAAAAGGGTGGTGGTGGCAAATATTAAGATAAGAATATTCATTTGACAGAATGAGAATAGTTACTCAGGTGAGCATTGTGGCCCGCGAGCCTCTTTTTTAAGGGTTTTATTATACTTTGACAAAATAATGGAGATGTTCTTTTAGGAAACATGTTTTTAGCACTATTTTTTATTATACCGTTCTTTTTGTTAGTTTTTTGGTGTAATTTTCAATGACTGAAGTGGTTCCATGACGTCATATTGAGAACTCTTGACTGTTGTTTTCTGATAAGTAGCCAATAAAAAGTGTTCACAAAAACCAGTGTTTTATTTATTTGCACAGTTTTTTTAGCTAGTGATTTTTTTTAGCAAATTATTATGTGTAAGCACGTTCAAAGAAATGTAACGATATCAAACTTACGGGAGCGTAACAATCTTTAGATGTTAGGACATATGCAACGTACATGTGCGTGTACTCTACAATGTACCTTTCCCACTGATATTTTCCAAGATATTCTTAATTTAAAATCATACTACCATCAAATATGTTCTCAGACAAAAAAATCACCATACATTACTAGAAGTTTTGAACAGATATCAGGTCCGTGGCAACGGTTTCAAAAAAGGGAGGCAACCCCCCCCCCCCCCAAGAAAAATAGACTGACCGAATGTGGGAGGGGGCTTCCCAAAAATAATCTGACATGCAAAAAAAAAAAACTTATTGACTGTACAAATCCTGGAAATTCCCAGTGCTCGCCTTTACAGCAACAAAAAAAAGGGGGACCTGTATCTAAAGGAAACTTTACCACAGCAAAATACTATACTCAGAAAAATCGGACCCCCCTTCCATTTGCGTTCTACGGGCCTAGATATCAAATGATGAAAATCTTCCTATTTTTAAAGATAAAGTTAACAAAAATATAGTTTTAGCTGATATTTCCTTTATTTGATTTAGAGGAGGTGTTCAGCATTAGCAGGAATTATAAAATTGCACAAAGGTCCCTCAATAATTGGAACTCTTAAATTATAAAAGTAAGCAAAAAATGTAATTTTAACAATCAATAGAATACATCTTCCTTTTATGATCCATTTCAAATATGTTGGTATCCTCCCTAAGGTCCAGTGTGCATTGGTTTAGATTTTTTGTTACCACATTTGTACTCTACAGCTTTGGAAAGGATATAATCAAAGGAAATAGATACATTACTGTAGATTTCTTAATATATATGAGAAATTAATTATCATGTAATTTCGCGAGAAGCACCACTCGCGAAATAAATTTACAACACATTTCGTGGGAGTAATAAAAACATGCCATTGATGTATGTAAGTTATAAAAAACGAAATACAAAGATTTGTAACCCTAATGTTAATACATGTAATTTAGACCACTGACTTCTAAAGCTGAAAATATATCAAGCTCAATTCAGACCCGTAGCAACGGTTTCAAAAGTGGGGTGGGGTGGGGCTACTTCCCAAAAATCTGAAAAGCAAAAAAAAAAAAAAAAAAAAAAAAAAAAAACCTTAACTGATTATAAGGTGGGGGGGGGGGACTTCCCAAAATTATCTGCAAGCAAAATTAAAAAAAAGCTAATTTACCGTCCACATCCTGGATTTTGCCAGTGTTCTACTTTGCAAAACCTTCAAAAAGTGGGAGTCATACCAGTATCTAAAGGAAAATTTACTATAGCAAAATACTTTGCTCAGAAAATATGCCCCCCCCCCGAGTTCTATGGGCCTGCACATATCCTATCAATATATCGTAATTTCATTAGGGAAGGTCTGCACTGAAAGACTTCTAGCCAGGCATCCAAAAATCGGTGCTTTTTACGGGGAAAACAATGTTTGCTGTTGAGTGAACTTTCAAGGTTTATTTTAACATTACAAATATTAAATTACATACTGTAGGTATAAGCAAAATCGTTCTTACAATTGTAAAAAGAAAGAAAAATATGATCGATCTTTTAAATTCCTAACATTTCAATACTAAGGACATACCATATTTGCAAATATATTTTAGATGATTTAATTAGTCAGAAATCTGACAAAAAATTAATTTTTAGATTTAACTAAGCTGGAATGAAACGTTTGGGATGTTTACCGCAACAATAAATTAAAATCGTACATACGCATGAGAATTTGAATTTATTGCGATATTTAAGTATTCCACAAAGCAAATATTATAGATTATTTTGGATGAAAATGGAGTTTTATTGCGTGATTTTCCTGACGTTTAGAAGGTTAACAATGTGAATTGTCATCTGTACCTTGAAACTGGTTTATAAATGAACGACCGCACATCACTATCTACAGCAGGTATATTGTAACAATAAATCGGATATGATCGGGTTGATTCTGCTGTGTTTGGTGTTTGGTAAGCATTTCATTACGTTTTTTTAGAATAACTTTGCATACTTCATCTTTACCAAAAAAGTCATCTATTCTTTGACTAGCACAATGTAACGTTAACGTTTCCGAATTTTGGGAAATATACAGCTCACATCGACAGTATTATAAAAAAATTGCAGTTCTCTATAAATTCAATTTAAAATTGAATCCTGACTGTTTAGCTAAAACTTATATTACATGAATTATACTGTCAGAAATACATATATGTAATAAAGTTTCTGAAGCTGATTGTGAAAGACTTCAGTAACTGCATTATTAGCAGCACGTATTAGGTTGTTCCATCTACTTTCTCAAATTCTTCATTTTTTTATTTTCTCGGTTTATCATTGTAAAAACAGAGAATCACTACATACATTACAAGAAATATAAAGAAGTAAGAATAATTCTGATTCATATCATAAAAATGTATTAATATTAACAAAGGAATAAAAGGTCTTGAAATGATCTTACTGGGGGACATTAAATGTTGGCCGCAAAAATAATATTGACATTAATGCTAAAGCTGTATATAATCGAAAAGGTTCTAATGACTATGTAATCATTCCTATTCTTTCTCCAACCCATCCCTCCTTTTTTCACTCTTTTACCGATGTAATTTTCACTCGGCCATACTCTTATCTTCTGGGACTTTAAATTTAGTATTGTGTATTTATTACGCTGTACATCACAAGATTTTTTTTCAGTTTCTTTTGTTGGAGAGAGCAATCTAAGTATAAATGAATATAACTTATATCCAATCCAGTTGATTATGTTTCAATATAATATACATGTATGCTTAAATCAAGAAAAGATATAATAAATGATATTTTCATTTAAATGAAAGAGAAACATTTTAATTCTTTTTCTTTATAAAAAATGAAAGACAATAGCTGAAGATATCAGTCTTTAAACACTTGAATATTTTTTTTCAACAGGGGTCACAGTAGGGGAGGAACTTAAGGCTGTTCAGCCAGGAAGAGAACCCCCTGTATATGATTTCAACGTATGTAGTATATTTCTCAGTATTTAAATTGAATGTTACTCACTTAAAAACTTAAAACACACACACGCAGAAGAAAAGATTTTTTAATACGAATTTCCAATAATAGTATTTCTGTCTGTTTGCACGAATATAACAACCGATATTGAACGTAGAAGAAAGGTCTTATAGAAATTGGTATGATATTTTTTTTTTAATTTACTGAATAACAGACTCGTGTTGTCGGGGGCAGTAATGCGAACATTGCTGACTGGCCGTGGCAAGCCTCACTTCGTTACAATGGAGGACACACATGCGGCGCCATCATCATCAGCCCGAATTACCTCCTCACTGCTGCTCACTGTGTCAACGGAAGAATGTAAGAATTTCAGTTTTCAGTTCGGTACACAAATAGACCTAGTTTAATGAGACAATAATGGAATGAATTTGGTGTTAAATGGACATGAATCAGATCCTCAATTAATTAAACGTGTTGCTCAATGTATCTTTCATATTGATTGTTTTCCAGCTACTCTCTCTTTGATATTGAGGTAGGATCTTCCAACAGAGGAGGTGGTACCGTATACAAACTGAGCTCAATTACTGAGGTAATTCTCAAACAAACCCTCTATGACTTCACTTAGTAATTAATTAAACAATACGAAAACATTTAGTTCATAATATTCTATACATATCCTGGGCTTCTCAGTGTTGATATAGGAAGAAAACTTTTTTAAAGATTTTTTTTTTATTTATAATGGTCACCAAAATTTATCTTTAAAAATGAAATGCCAGGTAGAAAAGAGGAGAAAAAAGTTTATTTTGCTTGATTTTTCCAAATTATTAATGGCTGTTTTAGCACTCCGGTTACAGTGGCAGTTCGGCAGGCTTCCCTAATGATATAGCAATTCTCCGGGTCCAGGGTAACCTAGTGTTCTCGGACACGGTGCAGGCAGCTAAGCTGCCATCAGATAGATACTACAACCACAACTCACACGAGTGTTACATCACTGGCTGGGGCAAAATCAGAGGAAACCAGAGTATGAAATATCAATTAATTTTCTTACATTATTGCTAGCGCTCTCGAGCGCTAGCAACTACGTTAGTCTATATTTCTGAAATACGCATGCTCGACTTCACGGTCGGGGATTCTGGGAAAACTACTGTAGATAGACTGTACGATAACAATTTCGTTTTGTCATACAAAAATAGAAATGATCCGAATTTCAGGCCTTTCCTGTCTGATATGCGCAATATACATTTCGTAGGTTAGAGACAGTCAATACCAGTCTAGATCCGGATTCTGAATCTTTTTAAAATTTATTGTCTAACCTACACATAAAAGTACAAGAAAAAATTTGGCCATATAATGCCAAGATTCTAGACATCTAGCTTTCCTTACAGTTTTTCCACCTTAGTGGATAATTCCGGCAAGCTCGGAAAAAACAACAACAACAAAGATCTTTTTCAGAGTATGTCGGAAAGACATGTCAATTTAGTGTTTATCGTCTGAAAATGCATATGATCTGAAGTTTCGTGTTCTGTTGTCTAACCTGCACGTAAATGAACAAAAAGTAACAGTAACTCTGGTCTTATAAAACCAAGACTAAAGTTGTAATGAATACATAGCTTTTCTAATCGACCTTCATGGATCTTTCCGGCAAGCTCGGAAACCGCGGCAACCTCGGATATGTTTTCCGAGCTTGCCAGAAAGGCCCGAAGGTGCTCCTCGGTTCTACTGACCTTTTATTTTTCACCTCGAAATTGAAATTACATTAAAATACAGAATGCTTAAAGCACAGTTAGGGGTTATGCCATTGCCGACGTGAAGCACACTCATAGATTCACCATTCTGAATTGTGACACACACACCTCAAACTCAACCCCCCAGTGCACCAGTCTGCCTTCCTTTTAATAATTAATCGATTCAGCAAATTTAACAAATGGTTCAGATATCTTTTTCTGTATTTTATTATGCTACAGCGCTAGCTCACCAATCTTTTTAAAAGATATGCTTGTATATATATACATGTATATGATTCCCTAGGCCGCCGCCATGTTGGAGGTCAACCCAGCGAATAATCGATTTAAACACCCGTGGCAGAAATATATTGGGGGAAAAATCTTTACAAAACGAGAATCATGAAATAAAAGAGGCGTAAACAATTTTATATCAGAACAAACAATGTCTTCTACATCTCGACAACCAGAAAAATAAAACTGAGGTTAACAATCGAAACTTCTCTAGCCTTTCCGAAAGTCGCCGAAAAGCAACCTATCTCGAATGTTGAGTAGGCGACCATGACACCCCTTTCAAAAACATTGAAATATAAAGGGAGACCTCTTATCTTAGAGTTTGGAGCTTAACTTCATTGAATGTAAAGATATTACATAAAATAAACCACAGAAAAGAAACTGCACTCTGCATCTCCAATACTTTATTAAATAGGAAGCGACTCCATTTTAAAAAAAAAAAAAAAAACTGGTAACATCCGGTTATGTAAAACATTCGGATGTTTTTACCGAGCTTGCCAGAAAGGTCCGAGAAGGTTGGTTAAATAATGAAGTAATCGAATCTTTTAGATGTCCAATATGGCGACTAACGGAAAATAACTCTTGTTGAATACATGTCTATCGAAAACTATAACCAATAATTGAATTTAGTCACACTCTTATCCCAAACTTTTAATTACTTTGAGAAATCCGCATTTTTAATGGACTTTTTTTTCTGTTAGATTCTCTACCCACAACTCTACAGGAGGCTATGATTCCCGCCATCTCTAACTCGGAGTGTGCCACCAGAATGTCCGGAATAAATGGGGCTGCTATATACGATCAACACACCTGTAACTTTGACGCATACGCCAGCACAAATGCATGCCAGGTAAGTAAAATTATGCTTTGTATGACTGACGTCAACAGGGTGATGATGCAAGTTCCGAAATGTATGTATTTAGTAAAAGGAAAAAAAAAATTACATTAACTTCATTCACACTAATCTTTAGCAGTAAATATTAGCAGCATTAAAAAAACACAAAAAACGTATAAAACTGAGAATACTTCATTTTTGTATTGAAATCAATTGCTTTTTTCTTCCTATTTACTTATTTTTCCTATCCAGGGAGATTCTGGTGGACCCATGGCCTGTAGAGCATCCTCTAGTGATGACTTTGTTGCAGTTGGCATTGCATCCTGGGTAATCACAGGATGTTCCGGGTCTTATCCCTCGGTGTACGTCAGAATCGCCTACTACCTGGACTGGCTGATCAGCAATGGAGTCCCTTTGTAAACTTTTGATGGAGGTCACATAAAGAATTCTAAAAATATTAATGATGGTTTATTTTGTTTCTATGATTTGATTACCTATGATCCGTGTTGTATAACAGACGATATCAAATGAAACCATCACATATTTTGTATACCTTATATTTCTAGAACCTTGTTTACTTAAAAAATATGAAGACAAATATGATCAGCATGATAATCAACTAATATTTGCACATCAGAAAAACTACATCTGTTCTTTTTATGTATACTATTTTATTCAATGGGTAATTATTAGGTAAGTTGATTTAGTTTTAAACTTATTTTCATTTTCTTTAGATTACGATTGAAATAAAACCTCAAATCTGTTTTAATCTCGAGTTGTTTGTATAATTTCAACCTAAGATATTAACAATTTTTCATTCATTTTATTTCATTTTACTCTAACCAGAACTTTTCCATGTCATGATTACACGATAGAGGTTAATATTTACATTGACCAGTAGACAGATAGGAGAAAATCTTCCTTCTGTGGATCATACCATGAGAATAACAGTGTGTGTTACACAGTTCATGTCAGTAAAAATTTACTGATAATTACATAGTAAACTTTTACGCCAAAGAAAGAACAAGGCATGTGAAGGACCATAATTGGTCCCTTTTGAGTCGTCACACAGACATCATACTCGTAAATATTTGTGATTTTGTCTGTTTAAACATATTGAAAATGAATCTCACTTTTTTTTTTACTTGTAATTAATTTAAATTATAGATAGTTTTTGTTGGACACGATTTTAGCAAGAGTTATTTCCCGTTGGTCGCCATATCGGAAGTTCCTTCATTATTCAACCAATTTAAACTGGTCATACTGGGCAATTGGGTAAAGTAAATTATATACGGTACCAATTTTGATGCACCAGATGCGCATTTCGACAAAATATGTCTCTTCAGTGATACTCAAGCAGAAACGATGGAAATCCAAAATATTTAAAGAGACACCGTGACGGAAAAAAGGAAAAATTGACAAATGTAGAATTTTTGCAAGACACCTGCAAATTTTGTTCAATTCTTGAAGATATTAAGTTTCAGAAACTTACAGATTTCGGAACCTAAAAAATCTACTTTTATGGAGGAAATAAAAGTAAAAATAATTTTTGTTTGCCCCAACACAAAAATATTGCTTCACTTCTTCCTCTTTATTGTACGCATGCGCAGAAAAGTTGAAGAATTTCCCATGGTGTCAATTCCATAGATATAAATGTCGGATGACCGAGGATTTTGATACAATCTTCAATAAAGATACTCAGAACTTATTCCTTACCTTTTTCTTGCTCCAATTCAATGTTGTTTACAAGTTTCATTGCTAAGAATAAACGTCGCTTGACCTTGACATTGTTGACATTGACGATAACAACTAAGCGATAGATACAACCTTAAATTTGTTTATCCGGCACTTACATTCTGCAATTCTTTTCTTGCTTTACAGTGCAGTTGAGTACTCAAAACTTCGCTTATTCATATTTCACATAAATCTTTTGTTTTATGATACATTATCTTAAAAGAAACACATGATTTTGACTCATTATGTAACTTTAAATAAAAAAGATTTTGAAGAGCTGAAAAAGGTGTCAAAGACTAGAGCCAAATACGTTGAATCATCAGAGCTATGCATGAGGGAGATACTCCTTAATTTTGAAATAAATTTCTAAATTTTACCACAGCAATTAAATACATATCCGCATTTTCAAGCTAGAGCCGAAGTACTTAGCTACTTGGTTGTAGAGATCATCGGGGACTAACAGTCCACCAGCAGAGGCCTCGACCCAGGGGTCAGGGATAACAATTTTTCTTACGAATTTATGTTAACACAAGCTTCCTTTGTTCGTAATTTTAGTATTTTAAAGATTTTTGCCCTTGTATTTCTGCCATACAAGTTTAAAATTGGCTGTCCAAAGAGGAAAATTCGCTAGTTGGACCTCCAATATGGCGGCCAAGGGAAGTAACTCGCAGGGAAAATACGTCATACGAAAACTACCGGGTATCTATATTTACATTATTCAGAGTTATTCTTTCATCGAAAAATATATTCCTTTTGTGTTCGTATATATCAATAACAAAATATGCTTTTTTCAACATTAATTATGTCCGTTTTTGTTTCAAGTGCTATTAGGCCATCTTTAAAAAATATTGTTTGGTTGGCCTCTCCCGACCGACTGGCTAAAATGGCCCGACTCAAAACCTTTTTTAACTTCCAGGATGCTATTTTTTTATTCATTCGAAAAAAAGATTTTGAAAATAAATTCAGCATATTGATGTTGAAATTTTCTTGGGGAAAAAATTTCACCTACCTACCTACCCATTTTTTTTTAATTTCAAACTGAGGGCAAACACACTATTTTAAACTTGGCCTTAGATATCTATTATCAAATGTACCTGTTGCATTCAGTTTCGTACATGTGTTAAAAACTTAGTACATGTAAGTACCTACATGTACATGTAGCCTAGTTTCAAAGATAAGCTCACTCAGATTTACAAACACAGATATTTCATTTCAATGGATCAGACTAACAAAATAAAATAATTTCTAGGACAGTTCCGTGACACTTTTTCCATGACCCCTAGTTTCAATTGTCCAGTTTTCAAGGATAAGACCAATGGACTTCGTGACAATAAGTCACTTATCTATAACTCAGAATGGACAGGAATGCCTACCTATATAAAGAGACTCACGGTTCTACAGATATATATGATACCCTAGAGAGTGGAAACAACTAGGTACAGTATCAAAATGGCTTTCAGAAGTGTAACATTCTTTTATTGCGGCTGAAGATTTTCAAATTCAAAAATTTAATAAGCTGTCTGCAATGCACATATAAAGTAAAACAAAAAGGTGGAAAATCCTCGACAAATGTTTGCATTCTTTTTCTTTTGCTTCAACATCGGTTGTAAATACTGAATTGTTTTAAATCCCGGATGGGATTATTATGAACTCAATGCTAATACCAGTTTTTTTTTAACCAGCTGACAATGAAGGTTGCCATTTTCCTGATCGCCCTTCTGCCTCTGGTCTTCTGTGCTCCATCTGAGGTGGACAAACGCTGGCTTGTTGACCGTAAGGAATAATTAAAATACTTCGTGTATATGAACAATAATTTTACTGATGATAATCTTCTTGAATATTATACTGAAATCATCAAAGAAATTTGATAGAACAAGCACAATTTAAAATTTTGTTCCAGTCTACATCATTTGTTCCGCAGGATTCGTTTTAATTTTTGAAACTTCGAAAATGTTTCCTTGGCTTTCTGAAAATTTGGACATGTGTTGAAATGTTGTCTTAAAATAGACTGCACAGTTTTTTTTTCAATTTCAAATATTTAATTGAGGAAAAACCTTACAATCTGTCTTTTATATAAATTGCCCAAAAAGAAACAAATCCATCATTCCTGTGGTTTTTAATTTCAATGAATGAAGTCCTTATGGATATGTTCTTCCTTTCAAATGTTTATTAACGAAATAAGGTATGTCTTAGTTATTCGTGAGTAGTAATGCAGACTTCTGCGTTAAGAAATAAGAAGTATATTTATGCCTCTAAAAGGAATATTCATGGGTACTTATATTTATTTTAATAGATTTTGGAACAATTCATTGCTGAAGTACTTTCTTAATAATCTCAGCGAGATTAAAAATTTTGTACTAACGTCTCTTCTAAATCTCAGACCAGTGCCACACAAAGGATTCGGAAAATCTTGCTCGAACTTCGACCGCTTCTTACGATCAAAATGGGTTGAATTGAATTCCATGCCCACTTCAACTTTTCGCTTTGTACATCCTTTTAACTCCCTATCATTATAAAACTTTCGTTTCTTACCTTTACAAGGTTTAAATTCAACCAAATTCAGGTTGTTGATATCCATAGCATTGTCTTATTCGTTTAACCTCGAAGAGTTCCAGTCAAGGAAGCTTATGTCCATGATCGTCACTTTTAAAACTTTTTTTGATCTTTTTGAACTTTTTTTAAGGCAGAAGCGACCAATAAATCAAACAAGCAAACACGATTATGGAGACGCTTGTTTTTAATTTAAGTGTTTATAGAGGGTATTAAGAAAGTAATCTCAGCGAGATTCATCGAGACTAAAAATTTTGTTCTGAAGTCTCTTCCGAAAATCGTTTAAACCTCTGACGTCGAAGAGTTCCAGTCAAGGTCACAAATAGTCTGCGATTAAACGATGTATTTGCGATTCTGAAAAACTTTACATAAAAATTGAAATTGTATGGAAAAACTATCAAATTAAGTATCAGCCTTTGTTGCCAGTTCATGCTGTCATGGACCAGATTAAGCATCTGATCACACCGGATATGGAGGTTAGCACCTGTAATACCCTCTGCAAGTCCGTCGTCAGCGGCCTCGGCGAGCTTGTCTGTCCAACCGCCTGTAGCACGTGAGTAAACTGAAACTTCAGAATCTTTTGAGAAATCCCTTCACTCGGAAGTTTTACCAAGTAATATAATGCTTCAGTCTGTAATTCTTATTTATATTAAAATTCTATTTTTCAGACTGATCTCCACTCTCAACGGTTAAATAAATAATTAAAATACTTAGTTTTGTTGTAATTCAATTTTGTTATGTTGTTTATCACATGTAAGATGGCAAAGAACTGGTTCGCTGCAGCAAACAGTACAAAGCTAGAGAAACATTTTAAATAATATGTTATGCACGTACTACGACACTGTTAAAATAACTACATGTAGCTTCTTCGTTTGAGACCAAAGAAGACGTTTTACTTTTTCATTGACATCAATGTGTGCATGGACCTGCAAACAATATCTTCCGTTTCATAAGGCCTAAGCTACATGTAAGTACATGTATACACGACACGCTTTTCGGGTCCAGTTATTACACTGAAATATGTTGGGGAAAATAAACATCAAAACCTTTGCTACAAATAGACCAGGTACTCAATTTAGCATTTCATTATCGACCGAAAGAGCGGCCGATCTATTTGTGATTGTGTTAGGTGGCAGAGGATAGTTTCGGATTAAGTACCGATCAAAAAATATTTTAAAAAAAAATAGAGAAATCTAAGGTTTGAATGCATATTATATGTGATTTTATTGCTAGAATATTTTATGTGTGCATTTGGAGGGAATTGGTGGGCGGCCTTGTATATTTTGTTGATACATGACACTTTAGTGTCACTACTATTCATAGGATATGGACTAGAAATACGAAACTAAAATCAAAAATCACTCATCCGGGATTTCCTCAGAAAAGCGGGGTGGGTTCATAGGATGAATTGTAGCTTGAAAATGAGGTTGTTGAGCCAGTATCTCTTGCTGTTCAGTGGTATGTACAGGTGTTTGTCTGCATTTTGTGTGGTAGCGTAGGGCATTAGCACGGGCCTGGAAGCTGTTGCGGATCTGGCGAAATAGTGAAAATAGACTAAATTCTCATGAAATTTTGAGATTGTCCCTGTGCCATCAATTGGGCTCAATGTGTAAGTTGTACATGTTTTATTCCTAAAAGCTTCAAATTCCTCAAGGGACTAGACCATATTATTGTTACATGTAGAGAGAATTTAAAATTTTCCAATGCACATTTTACAAGCAGCTCAATATTAAGGAAAACATCAGCCAGATGTTTTGATTGCCAAAAAAACTGTCCTCCGCCACCTAAGAATATGCACATGGGGAGATGAGTCGTCATTTTTTCATTGTTCGATGGAATTATTTCTTATTAATACCTTTCATAAAAACTAAAAATAAAAGTCTTTATAATTTGCTTAATAATAGTCTAAATGGTGGTAGCTACGTTTTAATTAGTTTTTCATTTCTCATAAGACGTTAATTAGTTTTAACATTTTTTAGAAAGTTGGTACATGAACCGCTACCCCAACATGGGAGTTCTTAAGATGTAAACACAGAACGTAATGTTTCCGGATATCAATTAGAGTTAATATTGACAAAAATAATGTATGCAAATGCACTACAATTGTAAAAAACACAAATATACTTTTTTGCACTTTGCATTTATCGTGATACATGTCTATCACAACGGAAACGTCAGCATTATCATGTGACAAGGAATCTGCACGTTAAATGTTTGAACGTCATGGAAATGAGGATAAGATTTGTAGAATTATTTATTTACATCTTTATTATAAATATACCAAAAATGGGATCAATAACCCATGGATATCTTGCATACAGTATATTCTTAACACTGCAGGACTATGTAATGTTTGGAATGATCCAAATTTTCATAGTGTTAAATGGATTGCGACTGCAATAAACCAAACGCTCAAGACCAATTTTTACAAAAATGGTATAGTGATATGAATAATTCCAGTAAAGGTATTACATATAGAATTTTTAAAACAAAGTTTGAATGTGAAAAATACTTAACTATTTTACCAAGAAAATTTAGAAATATCTTTTCAAAATTCAGAACAAGTAACCATCGTCTTCCCATAGAGGTGGGTAGATGGAATAATGTTGAAAGAAATGAAAAAGTGTGCTATTTATGTAATAATAATCAAACTGGAGACGAATTTCATTACTTACTGGAATGTAATATATTTTGTAATATTCGAAAAGAAATACTATGTACATCCAAATATTATAAAATTCTGTAATTTAATGACAAATACTGACCCAGCATTCTTAAGAAAATGGTGTATATTTATCATCAAAATTTTTGACACTGTCTGTCCTCCTGTAATCTCTGTTCGTCCATATTCGTTGTAAATATGTATATATGTACCTCTTGTACCATTCATATTGTTTTTGAGAGAATAAATGAATGAATTAATTGTTTTGTCCGAAATAATTCAGACATTCATCTTTTGATAAATAATATGATAATGATATAATCCTATACCTTATTGCCGATTTCAATATCCATGAATTGATTTTTTTAAAATTAATAGTTAACAATTCACCGAAAATTAAAGTATTTAAAAATGCACAGAAAAGTAAAGTTAAGTGTAAAGTTTTGCAAGAAATGTATCGTAATCTTTCTGTACTCCCGAATTTATTTTTTGAGACTCTTTCAAATGTGAATCCTTTATAATGCTAAACATGTTTGCGGCCGATTTGATGCTTTGCATCACTTCCACTTGTTTAACGTAGTTTTAAGTTGTTTAAATCATATCCTTAGGAACAAGACTTACGAGAAACTTAAAAAAAAGTTTTAAACATTTTCTCATCGTAACACCACATAATGGTGTTTGAGGGAGGATGTGAGGGTGTTTGTATATGTATGTGTGTATGTGTGTTTACCCGTATTGTAGTTTATATATTCACTCGGTTCACTATATTTCAACCACATACATGTATACGAGTAAATGTTCCTTGTGACCATATACATGTACCTCACACTACGTTGAGCGTGAATATTTTCAAAGATTGAAAAATTCTTGGCAAATAAGTTTCTTGTTACACTCATTTATTATGGAAATTAGAATAAAATTTATTGATGCACCTTCTGAGGTCATGGGTTGAGATATTTATTCAAATTGCATAGTGTTTCAAAATGAATGATTAACAAATTACTGCATTTAGATATTGTCCCTGTTTTATATCAACATCAGAATACTTTTACATGTATTGGTTTTCCTAATACAGATACAGAGTGAACTGTTCTGATAAGACAAGCCAGGAATATAATCCTTGTTAAAGTGACATTCTCTCTCTCTCTCTCTCTCTCTCTCTCTCTCTCTAAAAATCAAGAGTTGTAAACACTAGATTTTCATAGTGACTAGTAATTAGTAGTGATTTTTAAGTTCGATAAATCAAGTCTAATTATTATATAATTCACATAGTATTTATAGAAATGTAAATGATGACATTGCTAGAAACGGAGGATGTTACAACACACTTTGAAAAATTGAGCTCTTTGAAATTTTTTTTTTCAAAGTTAAATTTGGAACCAAGTGAAAGCACTTTGAAAAAAAAAATCTTTTCAAAGTGCGTTTCTATCGACCATATTAACGCACTTTGAAAAAAAAATTGCACGGCTTGGTCAATATTCTTGAAAATTTTAGGTATGATAAATAAATATTTTAACCTGATTGGATAACTTTTCGGTGATGAACTCACTTCAGGATCTGAGATGATAGACGTTTGAAAGATTTTTAGGGGTTGTCTTATTCCCAAAGGTTCTCGTAAATGTTATAAAAGGGAAGTGGGTCTTTTAGAAATAGTGAAGGAATTATTTTTCAATAGCACAATTTCGTTTTTTTTTATTTTATTTTATCGAGTCTGTAATAAGTTCGATAGATAAGTTCTCTTTAGTAAGGGAAAGGGGAGCAATTATGATTTTTCCATTGAAAATAATTTTCCCGCACAATATGCATATGATGTCTTTTTATTCATTTGATAAGTATTTAGAAGTATGAAAAAAAAAATTGTTTACACCTGCATAATATGACCCCCCCCCTTTTTTTTATTAGTAATAAGAGGTATGAAAAAAATATTTATGAATTTTATACTTTTTTTTAAATTTGTAGTTTATTTGATTTTGTAAAGCTACCTTGACAGAAGTCAGTAGGCTATTGTTGCTTAGATCAGTGATATGTCCCCTGAGCCTCTCTTGTTTAATATTATAGGGTGAGTTTATTTTTTTTTTCAGGAAAGCTTATCTCAATTTTGCATCTATTATAGATATAACTCAAATTAATTGAGAGAAAGTATATCAATGTCACACCAGTTATGTAAATACATATATTTAGGTAGAAAAGATAAAAAAAAGTTAGGCTAAAGGACTTTCGACCTGTCTTCTCCTCGTTCTCGATGAGGGTAGATCAATTCATCTGTTTTTCGAAAGAAATATAACAAAATAATGCTTTCTATTACTAAAATCTAAGTCCAGAATTTTTGTTTAATACATATTTTTTTCAAAGTGCGTTAAGTGTCTCTATAGTGAAAAATGTTAACGTACATTCTTAAAGCACTTTGAAAAAAAAAAATCAAAGTGCGTTTATTTTGTCCCATGCACTTTTTCGAAGTGCGTATTTTTTTCAAAGTGCATTGCCACAGAGGGATAACATCTAAACAATATTAATGTACATTCCCATGTACTTCGGCTACAAATACATTATTTTCAGGGAAAGCAATTCAAGAAAACTGCATGATTTTGTACCGAGTTTGCCACAAGGATAGACGTGTGTATAGCCTGCATTTTCCTATCGAGATGACTAAAAAGACAAAGATTAATATTACTCGACCCTTTTGGAGACGTAGGTAAGTTCTTTTTGCGTCACCCTCTCACAGCGACTACACATTTAATTAAGTATATTTTCATGATCTTGATCTTAACACCACAAGGAAACAATAATGAGATGTCCTAAATAGACCACCGCCAAAAACTGGAAAGCAATGTACAAAGAATATTTACGCATTTGCACTGATATGTATGGCCATGTAAGTAAACTGAAAAAAATCCAACAAAAACGTTATTATTTTCATGCAGATACAGTGTGCATATACATGTATATATAATAATGTATTCCAATACATTTTTCCGATTTATGGAAAAGTCAAGATAGGTTAAGACTCCTTTCTGGCCCCTGGTTTAAGATGTCTCTTAGAACGTTGCAGTAATTCATTATTGAAAACCTGTTGTCACCCATGTTGCAAAATGAGTATTGACTCTAAGTGATAGGATACATAGAGGTCACAGGAAGATCACAAAATTGGTAAATTTCTGAATTTTCTTATTTTTATTCAAATTCAGAGTCACTGATTTTAAAGCGCGTTTTCTTTCAGAAAACACAGAGCTAAAACATATTTCATGCAACAGTATGAGACACATGTACTTGTATATCGTGTATGACAATCTCAGATAGGCTAGCTCGTACTCCATCTTTTCAGAGTTAATAGGTATCTCATGAAATTCTAATTTCAGAATTGTTGAAATTTGATACAATGCTTCACTTTGTTCCCCTCTTGCAGCCTCCGAGTAAGCTTTGAAAAAAAAAATATTGCTAGTTATAAAACAAGCATCATTGAAAGTTCTTACTTGTAAACTATCACAATTTTAACTGTGTTTTTAATCAAATAAGGGGCTATATTCGGCCCTTATCATACATTGTCCTTTAATCTGTTTATTCACAATTCTCATCTGCTGTTTAGAATTGAAATACTATGTTTATACCTTCGTGGTCTCTTTAGTCCATTTGGAAGAAAAAAGAATTTTTGATGTACAATCAATCATCACCAAAATCTCTGACGGTAGATGCAAAATGTCATGATTTTTGTTCTCCTTGAAAGGTTATATTTTTATATGATGTCTATAAAAAAAGCCCGAAATTTATGGGAGAATTGTTTTTGTCGGTTATATTTAGCCGTCAACATAATTTTCTCTCGCATCGGTTACTTTACAAAAAATAATTTATCAGTACAGACAAGTTTTGAAGTTTTTTTTTAGACACAAAATGTTACTTTATAAAAACTTGCAAAGGACCCATGTTGTTATTTATGATGGAGATATTAATAATAGTGTTCACTCATTCTCGTCAAGTCTTCACACGCACTTGGACCACCGAAAGAAGATAATGCAAGAAGGTAGTTCTCTTCCGTCACGATTTCCATTGAAAGAGGACATCTAATTAACCTCACGTGTATCTTTGGTAATGGATGCAATTAATTTTTCTCCGTCTATTTATTTTACAATGAAGCAAACACTACACAAAATCAACACATATTTCTATAAAGAACATCATTATTAGCAGTAGCACGTCGGAAACATAAACCCAGTCTTATGTACATTTTTGTGATTAATAAAACAATACAGTTATTGACTCAATATTTCGGCTCATTGACCATCGTGAGTTTATTAACACGTCACAGTGTATATGCATTGGTATGGTATTTAAGATATTATATTTATGACCCAATGTGACGTATGATGTCCCTTGAAGGGTAGTTTAAAGTATGTTCTGCCGTTAATTCTAATGACAAGTAATTATGGTCACAGAGACAAAACAATCCCCAAATTGTCAAAATGAATTGTTGCCTAACACGTTATTAACATGTCGAGCATGCCAATTAGTTGACACCCGTGGTATAAAAACTATCCTTGGCCACAGAATTCGGTATTTTGAATATAGGGGTTGCTGAGCAGAACTTACACTAAGAATGAACGGATTAATTGTTGTTGTTGCCTTATTTGGCTGTGCATGTGAGTACTTTTTCTCCGTTCGTTTTCTGCTAGTCCTTTGATACAAAATTTAAAGTGTCATTTTCTAAATAAGATTTATGGGAAAATATGGAAATTAACCTTTTTACACATCTTGTGCAATGAATTTTACTTCTTAAATTCCGGTCCATAACTTCAACGAAAAGTTTTCATTGTTCAAAATTAAATAAGCCCATAAATATACATGTATTAAGATGTTCCTATTTTTGTTCTAAGACTCTTTCCCTATTAGTTGATTTTTTTGTCTTTTTGTGACAGATGCTCAGTTGGAGTCCCCTATGGCTTTAGCCATGCTAAGTGGTGGTATGCGCGGTGGTGCCGGTGCCGGTGGTGCAACTGGAGGCATAGACCCACTTAGTCTCGCCGTCCTTGGTGGAACCGGAAACAGCAAAATGTTGCAGATGATGACCCTCATGAACCTCATGAATAAAAGCCCAACCCCCGCCACTGAAGCCAATAACGCCATTGCTCAGCCAAAAGCAACTCAGGATAACACTGCAGTCAACCCAATGATGAATTCTCTGATGACTTTGAGTCTGTGCAAGATCAGCGAGACCGCCGGAGACCAGAGGTTCTGTACCCCCTTCACCTGCAAGCTTGAGTCCCTCCGCCGCTACGCCAACCCCAACCTTCTGCAATGTCAGCAGATGATGGGATGTTGCTTTAAAGACATGCGCTCTATGTACATTGCCAACATGATGAAAGGATTATAAAGTAAGAGTCCTTATGATAGTGAAAATTATGAATGACCTAGCTTTTTCAGCAAATTTGCCAATCACAGGAAATATATTTAAGGGTTTCATCTCGCGACTGGAATCTTTTAAAATGCAAATACTGCACTTAAAAGAGAAATTAAAGAATATACTGAAGAAAAATCAAATATATATAAAATACAATTTTCAATGTATAATTAAGTTTTCTAAATAGTCTTCAACAGAAATTAAAAAAATACTCTGATTTACATCGGAATATGTTTCAGAGGTTTCATAAGGACTATACTACACAAGGATGGGTCAATGGTATTCTAGATAGGAACAGAATATCGGTAGCAAAATTAAAATTGACCACCACATCAATCATTACTGGACATTTACAGTATTGTTCAACTGTAATAAATCTACAGAATTAGGAATGGTTCTTAAGGCGCTGCAGGTGTCACTTTTGTCATGTTTTATGTCAATTAGCTGTCCGCAGAATGTCCGCTAGAAAACTGATTGCTTGGACAATTCCTATGTGATAATGACCACAGTATTCTTAGTAGATTTATGTAGAATACATAGGTGCCGCAGGGAACACCATGTGTACATCTACATGTAATACGTCGTGACTAGTACATCTTACAATAAATGGTCTTCAGTTGAATTATCTATTATATTTTCTAGGTTGTAAATGTATTTTTAAAAAAAATATTATTTTATTAACAGGTAACAGCCATGGTAGAAAAAAGTCATCATCATTTTCCATATTTCCATCTTTTTCACAACAGCCCATCGCCCGGTGTTGTCATCGCATGACTTTCAAAGACTTTACAAAACGTACGAATGCATTAGTGCTGGTGCTTTCGTTCTTCATCATGTCTTCAAAAGACGTCTGTGTACCGTAATTTATTACCAAATAAATTCGTTGTTTTGTTAATAAAAAATTATTCGAAACTTTTTTTGTTGTGTTGGTTTTGGTGTGTGTACATGGAATTCAATTTACGACAACAAACTGCTTAATGCCGACTGCAGATTGCCATGCCAACAGCTTACTACCAACTACAAGACTTGCATTATTCGAAACAAATCATGTGTCATATTGTAAATTTTGAATTTACAACTTCGCATGTTGTAAATTTTGTATGTATCCACGCAGTACTTGTAATGAATAATATTCATGAAAAGTTTTTACTAACACGCTTGTCTCATGGTAGATGTCGATATTGATGCGAACTTGCTTTCAGAAATTCATTTTTAAACTAACATCAAGCTTCATTCAATGTCAGAATACATTTTATATTGTAGCCCATGTAGCCCAAAATATCTCTTGACTTATTGCATGCTTTTCACGATTTTAATATTTGACGTGTCAAAACGTCAGAACATGCACCATTGGGAAAACTGGAAATTTGCCGCCTCAAACCGAAGACGATTTCTTGATACCTGCGCATGAATTAAATTTCATATTCTAGCTAGTACTCCGCTTAAAAAATTCCAATCAACATTTCTATATGCGTACATGTAGGTCTCGTGATATTTCAAAATGCACGAAATCAAAACAAGCCTCCACAGTTTGATAAATAGTTTTCAGCATTTTGTTTTTATTATAATTATATAAACGAAGCATAAAAAAGATATTGGTGAGTGCTAGAAGCATTGTGTTATTGATAAATTGTCAGTTATACCTTTAACTCTGTTCGCAAGCATCAAAAAATTGACCCGAGAATGCCGCCTTGGAATTGACCATATCAAGTTAGATTTGTTGTTTTCGATTAGAACTCGTAGGAAACAGTGTTTTAGAAGAAAGACGTAGGGTATAAGAATCTTTATCGTAAAATCAAAATTATGACTGGTACCTAACCTTTTTCAAAACTTTTCCTTTGATCGGACTCATAACCTTCTTTATTCTTAAGTACTCTTTTTATCAATGTTTTATTTCATACGCTTGGGCTCCCTCCTGTTTAAAACCAATATCATGTCATGATAAAAAAAACTTGATTTACGTCGTCTATGAAAATGACCATATGCATCTCTACGATATGACAACTAAGCATACATGTATTAATTTTGTGCCATGGTGTAACGATGACAGTACAGTCACTGGTATTTTTACATGTATTATGATTATAATAAAAATCACTGGTGAGTTTAGAGGTCACGCCCTCTAAAAGTTATAAAGCATGTAGGTACATAAATGGGATATTTTCCCCGTAAAAAAGAAACGCTTAAGGTGACATCATTCCCTGATTCTTGATTATTTAAACCAAATGTTCTTTTCAAGGGATCAAAACAAAATAGACAATAAATGGAAGTACACACACATATATACTAATGCATTTTAATTATTATCATTATTATTTATTTCTTATTATTTTCAAAAAAGATTTTTGAGTTACCTCATTAATGCAAATAAGACGCCATTTTTTACTACCCATAAAAACAAAACCAGCATATTTTCCAATTTTTTTTTCTTGATAAATTTTATAACCTTCAGAGGTTCTCTTCTTCGAATTCAATCCGAAGCCCTTTTGAATTGATTCCGTGTAGTTATAACATCTTTAGTCCATGAAATTTTATCCCTTTATCAGTAAGTTAGCAATTAATTTGATAAGATAAAAAAAAAAAAAGAAACATCACTAATGATGTTATAATTAATCAAAATTCCTGAAGTCATTTTGATTTATTGACCTAATTTTAAATTTTTATATATTGAAGAATATTGAATATTCGATTTTAAAACCTCTTGACTACTTAGTAACTTCGAACTATCAGCTTTTGTTTTCAAAGTAAATCTGAATTTAAAAAAAAACCAACCAAACAATTTTTCATTTAAACTCGTTTGGCAGTAATTCAATTTTTCTGTGATCTTCTCAATGCGAATTTCAGGTCTTTTAATAAATCTAGCATCCAATCAATCAAATTGATGAAACTTCTTGTGATTTCAGTTCACAAACAAGTCGGCCACATGCGAATGTAATGTTTATAATCAGGGATTCCTTCATCAACAGAATAGAAATGAGTTTGCATATAAAGGGAAAAGAGTTACATTTTTAATTTTTTTTTTTTACGGCAAATAATACTCCTACCTGTCGACAAAATGCTTACAATGTACATTGCTCAGCACCAGTAAAACAAAACAAATTTCTGGATTTATATAAAAATAATAACATTTATTTCACACACATGGAACAAGAAAACAGAAATTTTATCCCCTTGACGCGGTATTACTGGAGCCACTATTTCCTCCCATTCCTCCAAGTAAACTCAACATAAGGATTTTGTCCATTTTAGCGCCGCCGCCGCCATTGAGAACTGAGGCCATTAAGAGGGGATTCATGCCCATTCCACTGCCGCCCTTGTTCAATAGAGACATCATCATCATATTCTGTGCCATATTTTCACCAAACTGTGCATGGACACCTACGGAAATAACATGTAAATATTTATTTAAAAAAAATAAGACTTTGAAAAATCAGGTATATAGGAATTATTTGTCACCTCTTCACATCCATTAACTCCTTTGATAAAGATTTCTGGTAACATCCACTGTACTGATAATTTTGATGAAATCACATTTTTAGGGGGAAAAAAATTATTATTTGCAGTTCGTAACCTTTTGTATTGTTCCATAGAGAATTATTAATCCTTAAAAATAAAATCCGAGCTTTATTAATCCTTAAACGTAAAATCCGAGCTTTAAAAATAGTAAGATGTGCATGATATTTATATAGTAAGACAAATTGATTGTCAAAGAGTGTGACAATTTAAGCACCCAACAGAACAAACGAATGATGAAATTGTATGGATATGCAATGGTTTTTATTGGCCTTCTCGCCAACGCACATGTACATGCATTTTCAAAAATGATAAATCTAAATATTTGAATTATACTCACAGGCAATGGTCACTACTAGTGCGAAAACAAGTAATCCTTTCATTTTGAATTATCTACGCACCAATCTGCACACTGAAGTGATGCTTGTCCAAGTGACACCTTCCTGTGACCTCCTAGTTTTATAGGAGCCACAAGAGCGTCAGACGATTATTTTTGCATATGCCCATTGGGCAGTAGACGAAGACAACAGATCGTGGCCCCCGTAATGTTACAGTGTTCAATAAATATATATCATTGTTTTTCAGGATTTATAACAGGTTTAGCTGTCAAAAATATATTTGATAAAGACGAATGGCGTCTTGTATTAGTGTTCGTTGACAATCAGACCCTTATACCCAATTCTATGGACTCGTTAGAGGATTAGACATTACGACATTACCGTGGAGAATACACATTATGAAGAAAACACTCTAGATTAGGCCACTCGAGTTTTTTTCTCTGTTAAATGTCTGCTACTCAGTTGAAAAACTTACTTACCTACTGGTATTCATAGGAAAAAATATAATACAGATAAACCGACATAAAACATAAAGTCATTTAAATGACAGAAACCAAAGATTTGATTTAGTTATTGAACTTCTGTCGCAGGAAGATATTTTTTGAGTAAAAACAGGAACATCTATGTGGAGTCTAATATGCTCGGTCTAACTCGGCAAATTCGAAAGAAATTAATCGAATTAAATCTTACAACCAAACAAAAATCATTTTCTGGTCATGAATTAATTTTTTTAAAATTTTGTTTTGGTTGTCTGACAAGCGGACACTAAAACTTGGAACTAATCATCCCAGACTGTAAAGACTACTGTAACCAAAATATTATTATCAAACAATTGATTGCCAGACAACCAAAACAAAATTTTAAAAAAATTAAATCATGACCAGAAAATGATATTTATGATATTTATACCCTCATAATTAAACACTAAATGCGATGACAAATACACCATGTATTCAGATTAAAGACAATATTTAGAAAAGGATCGCTTGACCATTGGAGAGTATGATGAGGTAATTAAGTTTGTTTCTTGGGACTTCCGGTGAAAAGAGCGAGTAAATGACACACATGTAGGACGATGGAAAGAAAAGTTAGTCTCTCTGGTGAATTCTGTAAGCTAAGGCTCGTCGCCTGGTCGCCCGCTTTGCGCAGTGGTTACAGCGTTTGCTCTAGAGTCGCGGAGTAAAGAGTTGACCCTTACTTTGCGGGTTCGAATCCAGTGTGTGACGCGGAGATCTGTCCTTCAGATGAGACCGTATAAATCGAAAACCCGCGTTGCAGTAGATGCTGGTACGAAAAAGATCCATCACTGCTCAAAGGCCGTGAGTGCAGGATACAGGTCTTATTTTGCAGCCCTCCGCCGGCAAGTGGTGGCGTGAGAAATTCTCGAAGGGACGTTAAACAAATGAACAAACAAATAAGCCCAGCCTCGTTAATTAGTTAAAAGCAATGGCTAAAAACAGAATAAAAGGTCAGAAAACCAGGATATACCTATAGAAAAGTTTGTCGCCACTGAAGCTTCGAAAACTAAAGTGCAAGAAGATGAGAAATTTTGATAAGATTAATAGATGGCGGTAATATTATTACGTACGAATGAAAACAAAACGACAAGGTTGAAATAGCAATGCATGGACACACGCGCATGCTCGTGTGCTTCTTTTTGATACCCGGAACAAAAATCTTAATACCTTCATTTTCTGGACAAAATACTGTGTACATAATTTTAAGTTCTGCAAAAAGACATATACAAAGTTTCTTGAAAACACGTGCATGCATGTGCACTGCAATTTCATTGGCTGAAATTTTAAACGTGCATGCATGTGTGTTGAAATCTGAATGGGCAAGGTTGTAAATGTCTTTTACGTTTTGTAATTTTCAACAAAGCAAGACAAAGTTCAAAGTTAAGGCAAATCATTTTCTTTCTCAGAAAAAAAACAAGCACATGCATGCATATCTGCTGATTTGCTAACATTTCGACTGCCGTAACATTTTAAGTTTTCAATGAA